GGGGGGGGGTTCGCAAGTTGCCGTTATCGAGGCGAGTGGCGAGTGATCGCGAGCGAGTGGGAAGAGGGGGGGAAGAGAGACAGAGCGAAGGGGAGGGGAGGGGGGGGAGGGAGGGGATGGATGGGGATTGAAGGATATGGAGATGGTTGATCGTTGATGATTGAGGAGTTGAGGAGCTGAGGAGCTGAGGAGTGAATAGAGGATGTGATTATTCCTAGTTGCGTGTTGGATGATGGATCAAAGATGATGGACGGTGGTGACCTTGGGGGCCTTGGGGCTGGGGGGCATGGGGGAAGGTTGAGACGTACTGCACAGAGGTCGCTCGAAGGCAGTGCAGACAACACAGGAGCACAGGGAGCGACGGCTGGAGGATCAGGGCGTAGGTGCAGTGGGGCTTGGGCGCGTGCACCTGTTGTACCCCCTGAATGTTTCCCCCTCCCTGTTTGTACCTGTATCGAAGAAAGACCAAAGGACGACCGAGTGATCCTAATAATTACTCAAAATGCTGATGAAATAATAGCTACTGCATATAGATGAACCATACAGCATTAATAGGCAGTTCCAATAGACTATGCTAGCCTTTGTCAGTACAGTAATACTATATAGCTATATGTACTATTTTGCTGCCATACTGCGTCGCCAGGGCCCTCCTTTACAAAGGAATCAGGGTCACGTTTGGCCAAAACACACGGGAACAGCAAAATCACATGCCATACTGGCCACACTGTTCTATGTCGGAGATCATACTAATAAGTTTCCTCTTGTACTAGATACCCACTTGACTTGTAGGGCCAAAGGCGATCCTTTCATGCGTCTCTCTACAAAGACAATGTAATTCCCAGCAAAGTACCGTTGTTGGATTAACACTGTATGTCTCTTTTGCTATATCGATGCGGGAGGGTGAAATCGGCCGGCTGGCGCGGCTGGGAAAGGGGAAGAAGTGACACGGGAGGAACATGGCAGGTGCACAGGAACCGCACTGCGCAGGCCCGCAAGGCTCGCAGTACCGCAGAGCACGCGAGCAACGCGAGCAACGCGAGCGCGGAGAGCGCATGCTGGCGCCCAGGGAGTGGGGTGGAAGTATCGTAACCCAATTAAGGCTATTTCCACAGGTCCTCTTCCCAGTTTCCGTCGGATTGTCAGTTTGTCAACTTTGACAGCTTAACAGGTACGCGGTTGAGTAGGCGCATGCGGGGAGACGTACGCCTCATACGCCTCGTACGCCTCGTCGCTCGTAGGCCTTCACTTGGATCACCTCTTTACGTGGCATCGCGACGAGCTGCGCGAGCTGCGCGAGCTGCTTGCCGCTAGAGATGCTGACTCCTCCACTGCCTGAAATTGCCTGCAAAGCATTTCCTTTCCAACCAACCCGCCCCCCCTCACCCTTACTGTACAGAAAATCCCATCTATAACTATCACTCAAAACCTCTCACACTTTCTGCACTCCTTCTTTCACAGCAAGTTCTGATCAGCTGGCAGCTGCCAGTCTGCTACCATGCTACCCCGCCAGCGCCACCCCAGCAACATCCGCTAAGAAACTGAGTCGTAGTATGTACTGGGGAAGGATGACCACGATAAGGTCGCTATCGCGCCGCCGACAATGGAATTTATTTCATACTTTTGTATTTTATTATTCCATAGCTGCCACGTGACATGCCAACACGCGTCGTTCGCCCACTCCGTCATCCGTCATTGCGAGTTGAGGTTCAGTTCAAGGAAGCTAGCTGTTTGACTTCTCATTCAGCCCAGCATTCCAACCTACCATGTCCGCCCAATCTCAAGATTCGAGCACGACCCTCCAGCTGATTACAGCTAATGGCTTGCGCAGATCGGACCCCGCGGCGGCCGAAGCAAGCTATCGTGCAGTACTCTCCAAGCAAACCAGTGCGTGCAGCAGCTCAGCCTTGCTGACGTCTGCAGCCGATGAGCAGGAACTCAAGGACCAGGAGATGGCTCTCCTCAAGCTGGGCTCATTGTATCGTGACGAAAAGCATGTCTTTTTAATGGGTCGGTCGCTGACCTCAGTAAGATGAGCGAGCTGGCGCAGCTTGTCGTTGACTCGCGCGGGTACATGTCCACTGTCGCTAAGGCCAAGACAGCCAAACTCAGTGGGTCTACACGGCAGTCATTTTTATTGCAGCCCTCTGACGCATTATTGCAGTTCGATCTCTGATTGACCTCTTTCCTCCCTCTGCTCGGGAGCTTCAGATGAAGGTCACGAGCGAGAACATCGAATGGGCGCGGAAGGAGAGGCGTGTCTTCCTCCGCCAAAGTTTGGAGATCAAGCTCGTTGCTCTGTGAGTCCTACATTCAGCTCTGATTTCTGACGCTATCAAGCCACATTGACGCCCATAACCATCGCCAGGCTCTCAGCTTGACCGAGGACCTTCTCAAGGAGCTAAAGCAGCTTGACGACAAGATCATCCTCACAGAAGTCTTCCTCCTGGAATCGCGTGCTGCCCATGCTATTCAGAACCTTCCGCGCTCAAAGGTATAACCACACTATAACAGACCTCGCGCTAACTGATATAGGCCGCTCTCACTTCAGCACGCACAGCTGCTAATTCCATTTACTGCCCTCCCATCCTCCAAGCGCAACTCGATTTGCAGGCGGGAGCTCTGAATGCGGACGATAAGGATTACAAGACCGGCTACTCGTACTTTTTTGAAGCCTTCGAAGGATTCATTCAGGTTGACGAGAACGATTCCAGGGCCCTCAGTTCTCTCAAGTACATGCTGCTCTGCAAAATCATGATGGGGCTTGTAGGTTCCTCCCCAAAACTGTCTGCTTACCACCTCAGCCCGATGATGTAGCGGCCCTTCTGACAATGAAGTCAGCCGCACGCTTTGCTGGCAAGGATTTGGATGCCATGAAAGCTGTGGCGCGTGCTCAGACCGAGCGAAGTCTTGAGATGTTCAAGAGAACTCTCCAAGACTATCAGGATCGTAAGTGGTTTACTCATCTGCGGTCGAAGACTCACATCACTACAGAACTCCACAAGGATCCCCTCATTCGATCTCATCTCTCTGCCCTGTATGACACCCTTCTGGAGCAGAATCTTCTCCGTGTCATCGAGCCGTACTCGTCAGTCGAGTTGTCGTGGATTGCCCACGAAGTCGGTCAAGGGCGAGACGTCGTCGAGGAGAAGTACGTCCATTCTCCGCACTACAATCAGACTGACCGCCAGACTGAGCCAAATGATCTTGGATCAGGTGTTTTTCGGCGTTCTGAACGAGAAGGCCGGGACGCTTGAAGTCTTCGGCGAGATGCAGTCTGAGGTGAGTGCATTGACTCACGAGCTGGACGAGCGCTCGCTAATAGGCTCAGGGCCTTCTTAGTGGGGCCTACGACACGATGAAGCAGATGGGGAGCGTTATCCAGGCTCTGTATGAGAAGGTAAGTTTCTGCGTCCCTCAATAATTGCCGAAAGCTCTATGCTCATGACTAGGCCACAAGCTTGTCCTAGCTGGATCATAGTTTAGGTACTGGACAGCATGAGAGGTTGTGTCGGTGACGTTCACAGGTCCACCGAAAGTATGCATATATCGGTAGATGATGCCGAGCTTGATTGAGGTGGCTGAACAATAAAGGAATTCATCGCGCTTGGTGGCATCACGGCGTTCAGTTTTGGCCTGGGGCAGGATTGTGCTTCCGGGGCCCATTACGACATGTGCCTTGCACAGACATTCCCCGCGCGATCCTGGTCCTGCTCACGAGCTGGCTAGCTGGCCATCTGCCTGCTGTGTCTTCGTTTGTCATTCTCCTCATTCATCGCCCATTTTGGTGTAACTGGATATCCCTCTCACCCGCTTTCCATCGCCTCTACTCCGCGTCCCGTCAAGTCTTCCATCGCCACGGATTGCTCGTCATGACCACCTTGCAGTTTCAACCGCTGCAGTCTCAACCAACTCCTGAGTTCTGGGCATCTCTCACTTCCCTCAAGCTCGATAAACTAGGTCTAGACGACTCCGTCCTCCCCATCTACGCTGTTGTCGACGAGGGCCGCCAGATCTTGGCTCATGTCACTTCCAAAGAGCCTCAGAGCCCCGCAAGTGACGTTCATCAACATCTTGTCCACGGAGGCGTCATTCTCTCAGCCGCGGCCTTTGAGAAGCCCAAAGCGCCCAAGTAAGGCTCAATGGTCAACGGAAAGCGATCGTCATCCACTGACTTGGAAGCGCGCATCAGCACTCCGTAATCATCGAGGGCGAGTTCAAGAACTTCAATACCGTCGAGGAGTTTCGTTCCCCACAGCCCAAAAAGGCTCTATTCGACTCTGTAGTGGCACGGGTGGGTTGCTCCTGCGTAGTCGCACCGGTGGATCGTTGACGCCTAGATGGTCGAGTCGTTTGCAACAGACAGGCCTGTCTTGAACAGGTTTGTCATGTTTGCGTTCGCCGACCTCAAGAAGTACGTTTACCACTATCGTTTCGCTTTCCCTGCGCTCGTCTCGAAACCTGCCTGGCAAGTGGACGGGTCATTTGAATATGCCGCGCGTACTGTACGTCTCATTGCGCTCGCTTTCATACTCACTTCAAGGATGTGGACGAAGTTCGAAAGTTACTCACGCACAATACCGACTGCTCTGATGCGTATCTCGTCAAAGGCCCTCCAGGCCAGCGCCGGCTTGCGCCTATCACGCGCGCCAAGTCATTCTTTGACGGCGTCCCCGATGCAGAGGTGAGGACAGCTCAACGTTCAACTGACATAACTAGAGGATGCTGGTCTTCCACGATCCTTCAGCTCTACCTGACAATCCGGGATGGTTGTTGCGCAACGTACTATACTATCTGCAAGTACACCAGGGCATCCTCAAGGTTACCGTCCTCTGCCTCCGGCAAGGCGACGCCAGCCGCACGGCGGCACTATTCACAACCAAGCCAACCGCTCCGCACGCCATGCTTCAAGCGGTAGGATGGGAGCGTGATCATAACGGGGCTCTTAACAGCAAGCGGGCGGACCTCGGGTCATCGCTCAATCCTACCCGGTGAGTTTGCTCCGGATGCGCTCCACTAACACCAGTCTTGCCGAGCAGGCAGTTGATCTGAACTTAAAGCTGATGCGCTGGCGCATTATGCCCGAGCTGGACCTGGACAAGGTGTCCTCGACGAGGTGCCTACTCTTGGGCGCAGGAACCCTGGGATGCTATGTTGCCCGTGCTTTGATGGTACGGACGCACATCTGCCCAGTGCAGCGCTCACACGCAGGGATGGGGCATCAGGACGATCACCTTTGTTGACTCTGCTCGGGTGTCGTTCTCGAACCCCGTGCGACAGCCCCTGTTTCGATTCGAGGACTGTCTTGATGGAGGCAAACCGAAGGCTGCGTGCGCTGCGGAACGCCTCAAAGAGATTTTCCCTTCCGTCGTGAGTGATCCGCGCTCTCTCTGGATTTTCCATCTAACTGCAGAACGCTGCCGCTCACGCGTTCATGATTCCCATGCCAGGACACCCAGTGGGCCCACTGGAGTCTGCACCTGGTGCCAAGCAAAGTGTTGAGCTCTTGGAGAGTCTCATCTCGAACCACGACGTTATCTTCCTCCTGATGGATTCTCGAGAGTCTCGGTGGCTTCCCACTCTGATCGCCGCCAGCCAAGGTAAACTGGTTATTAACGCAGCACTCGGGTTTGACAGCTACCTTGTCATGCGCCACGGCGTAGGGGCCTACGAGAGTCATCCAAATCGCCTCGGCTGTTACTTCTGTAATGACATTGTCGCGCCCGCCGATGTGAGGCTCGCGTGCGACACAACTTCTGACAAGCAGTCATTAACCGACCGTACACTAGATCAAATGTGCACTGTCACCCGGCCGGGAATTGCTCCTATTGCTGCAGCCTCCGCTGTAGAGATGCTGGCGGCCGTTGTTCAACACCCTCTCGGGTAAGATGATCGTGCCCGTCGAGAATTTCTCGCATGCGGTCGTTAACGAACAGGCGAGGCGCCCCCGCCGAGCGACCGAGTCCAACGATTTCAGAATCTCAGCCTGGGTCTCCACTTGGACCAGTGCCCCATCAGCTGCGGGGTACTCTTAGCCAGTGGAACACGTCTATTGTGGAAGGCTACGCATTTGAGCGTTGCACTGCGTGTAGTGCAAAGGTAAATCATTCAGAGATGGTGTGCTGAGTAATCAAGGTAGTGCAAGCGTATCGGGATGGTGGAGTGGGGTTCCTTTATCAAGTGTTCAATGAGCAAGGTCATCTAGAGAAGGTGACTGGTCTGGACAAGTTGTATGAGGAGGCTGAGGCAGCGTTGAACTCGGTCGACTGGGAGGAGGCCAGTGACTCCTCACTCCAATGAATAACTTGTTACGTAATTACAGGAGTATTTGTTCCCGTTCCTCGGCGTCGATGTAAACAAACAACGTTGTTGTCCCTTCATCTCCACCCCACTCCTGCACTCTCCCCGCCATTTCCATTTGGCAACTCTCTCCCCACTTGCGCATCGTCATCTTGCCAGAGGCAACTGACACCAATCATTCACTGTACGCGACGCGTCATGCAACCACACCGGCGCACGCTGGCTCCAAGTGGGCCGGCCGGAAATTCGGCCATGGTGCCCGCTGCTCCCGCAGCCGCCCCTCCTCCGACCTCTATGAGGAAGGCTCCTCAGCGCAGCAGCGGCTTACCTCGGGCATCAATGGCGTCTCATCCTTATGCTTCTCAGTCGCGTTTATCTACTGCCGCGGGCGAAGGCTTGCTACAGAAGAGGCGCAGTATGATGGCACCGAGCCGCCCAGCAGATTCTCTGCTTTCCTCAAGTGCAACTCGCGCCGACGTCGCTTTGAATGGCAAGACACCCCAGTCGGGGCGTGCTCTTAATCCGTACGTGCCCTTGTTGAGGTTTCTCTGACCTTAGGATTCGTCGAGCATCTGCGCTAGGCCCCACAGTAGGACGGCAATCCACGCTTGCACCATCATACGGGTCCTTCCCTTTCAAGGATCCACGGCCTGTCAAAACCCCCGCTTTCACGGCCCAGTGCAAAGAGAAGATTGCCGGCTACCTGGCGCGCAGCCGGGCGCAATTGCCGCTGAGTGCCAACTGGCAATCGTCCCCTACTACACGTGAATTTAAAGATCTTTTCCGATATCTGGCTACCGAGCTCATCGGCCCCAGCTTTCCATGGGGGAAGAGCTTTGAGAAAGACTGCTTGTCCATCCTGCGCGATCTTCACTATCCTGTGCTGGACACGATCAGCAAGACTGCCGTCACTGTCCCAGGGAGTCAGCAGTCTTGGCCTTACATCCTCGCCATGCTGGATTGGATGGTAGAGCTGTGTAAAGTAAGTTTGAAGTTCTGTCCGCAGCAGTTGACACGTGCCTCAGGCCCAGCAACGTTGGCATGACCCGGAGTCAGTGTCTGACCCGCTCCTATGTCACGCGAGTGAGCTATCTCTCCAGCATCCACAACTGGAAGAGCGGCTCTTCTGGGATTTTGTGTCTGAAACGTACGCCGAGTGGTTCGAAGGTGAAGTAGAGGAATTCGAAACAGCTCAGCGTCAGCTGGAAGAAGCTTACGGTGAGTCACTATTAGCCGCCACTGTTGACGGTTCAGATCGCATTGCGGCGTCTTCGGTTGAAGAGTGCAGCCGCCTGGAACGTGACATTGGCGAAAGGGAGTCAGAGTTGCAAAAGCTTCAGAGCGACGACGTGAGTACGTGTGCGCTGACTTTGCTGAGGACTTGCAGTCGCCGATCAAAGCGATTGATGAGGAATACGACCGATTCATGAGCGACAAACTCAAGTTTGACAACTTCATCGAGAAGCATCGCGAGAAGGTCGACAACCTCAATCATCGCATCGAGGGTGTACGTGGGGCCATCGAGGACATTGGTATGTGATGCGTCTTCTGCTGCGAGTCGCTGACACCCTAGTGAAGCGAACCACCACCACGCGTCAGCATCTCATGGATGTCGAGGCCGAGGTTGCTGCACAGAACTTGTCACCAGATGAGATCAGCCGCATGCAACATGACAAGGTTGCCCTCACCCAACAACTTCATGACATCGGCACCAAGATCGCCGAGGTCAAGCGTCAGTGCCACGACCAGGAAATGCGCGTAACCAACTGTATGGACGAATGCGATCAACACCTCGACTCTTACGATCTTCTCGGTAGTCGAATTGGCACGCTGGGAGTGATCGCCGATCCTCTGCCGCCCGGGCTTGTTCGAATCGACTATTCGCTTAGCATCGACCTCGGCGCTGATGACGTTCAGGCGATTCTGCGGAGTGGGCGTGCAAAGCTGGAGACGATACGGCCCGCCCTGGACAGTTATGCTCAGGGATCGCGAGACCAGATCGATAAGCTTTGCGAGGAGGAAACGACTCTCGAGCGAAAGCACCAAGATGTGGCTGAAAGTGTGGATAACAGGCGGGAAGAGGTTCTCCGGCGGCAAATTCGCTACGACAAGGAACGCAAGCAAGTCGACGAGCAAAGGGAGGTGGGTTACAACGGCAGAGACAGTAACTGGAGCAAAGCTAATGAATCCAGCTGCTGAAAGAGGAGAAGAGTGAGCACGGCATGGCACTAGCCAATTTGGAAGCCGAAGTTCGAGGAAATGGACTGCCGCACGGTGGTGTGGTGCAGGCCAAGGCGCGCCTCGAAAGGTCAAGGATGGTGTAAGTTTTATGGGCATCTGTAATCAGTCAACCCTCTTGCTGACAGGACGTGCAGATTCGAGAGCTTGCTGCAGAAGACGCAGCAGCTTCAAGTGCGAGCCCTCACGGAACTTCTCGGACACGTGGAGGCGGTCTCGTCGTGCAAGGGTCGGACTGAGGAAAGTCTTGAGTCGGTCATGCGCTTTGCTGAGCGTCAAGATTGAAGAACATAGTGAAGTTTGATAATGGGGGCGTGGGTTTGAGACGTGCGTGAAATTACGTGAAATCCGAGGCCATCTCCACGTCCACAGTCGGAGTGGACGCGACCTTGCTCCCTAACTGTTCTATAGATGCTTGGGTGCCGCGTATGTACTATATCTCTAACTACTGCAGTGCTGGGAGGATTGGATATGCCAGCGGTCAATAGACTATAGGCCACGATACCATGTACTCCCAGCGGTCGTGTTGCAGCATCAATAGAATTGTATACGCATTCCTAAACCTCAGCCCTATTCCCTAATGCATGCCAAAACGCTTTTCGAGATCATGTCGTGCAGGCGGGTGCCCAGGCCCTGCCGCGCTCGGCCCAGGCGGCTGCCACGCTGTCAACTCTCAGTGTGCATTTATACTCACTCACACGCGCCACGCGACAACGCGCATCCAACCCTTACCACGCACCCTATCACCCTAAACCGCCCCTGGCACCCGGTCCACCATCCTTCCCTCCATTCACCTAGCGCCCAATCCACTCGCCGACATCCCATCTCTTCTCATCTTCATCACTCCACCCGCTCTAACTCTTCCTCCTCCCCACCTCTCTCCTCTCTGGCCTCTCATTCTCTTTCTCGCCAAGCCGCATCCTCCGGCCAGCCTCACTCTTCATCATCAACCTCTCCCACTCGCCCGGGCCCCAATCTTCTTCCCCAGTGTCGTTCCGCAAGTTGCCCAACGAGACGCGTCCGCGCGTCCGCACGTCCGCACGTCCACTCTATCCACTCGCGCACTCGCCTCTCCCTTCCACCCCCTCGCGTGGTTGCCGGCTTCACCTTCTGCCTTTACTCTCCCCCATCTACTGATCATTGCATCTTCCCTTCGCCCCATCGGCAGTCCGTTGGCCTCTACATCTGACTTCCGGGCTGGCTAGCGTTCATCTCCTCGTCCCCAGCTTCTGAACTTCGCTGTATCCATGGCGTTGGTGTACGCCAAGGGCACGCGGGTGTGGCTCCCCGACTCGGCAGCAGGCTGGATACCTGGAACGGTCACCGCTATTTCCCTCCCTGCTGACAAGGAGCCGTCCTCTGTCGTCACTATCACCGTCGCCCTCGACGGAGCATCTCCCGACCAAGCTGTGGCATCCAAAGACATCAAATGTACCTTGGCCGCCCTACAAGCTGCCTCGGAACCCAACTCGAGCGCGCTGTCGACCGCTCCTGCCAACTCTACTCAGGACGCACCACCTCCCTTGCGCAATCCTCCCCTTTTGGAGAGTTCGGAGGATCTGGCAAGCTTGAGTAATCTGAATGAGCCCAGTGGTACGTTGTCTCTGCATGTGGCACTTCTTGCCAGTCCGCACTAATGCAACAGTGCTGCATGCCATCGCGACTCGCTATGAGGCCCATCAGCCATACACATATTCTGGTATTGTGCTCGTGAGTACATTGGCCGACTCGTCACTAACGAGCGCGCAGGTCGCTCTTAATCCGTTTAGTCCCGTTCCACTGTGTGAGTTTGCACAGTCTGCACAGTCAAAGTCAATTCTAACTTGCAGATGGGAATGACATTCTTCACGCCTACGCTGGTAAGAAGAAGGGCGAACTTGAACCTCACTTGTTCGCCATCGCAGAGGAGGCGCTAGATGACATGCGGAGGGGGAGTGGAGGAGGCGGTGTTGACCCAACTGGTGCTGGTGACCAAACTATCGTTGTCAGTGGAGAAAGGTGAGCTTCAGAACGCAGGGTCGGCTGACGCGCAGTGGAGCGGGCAAGACCGTGTCCGCTAAGTACATTCTTCGCTACTTTGCGTCCGTTTACAACCCGTCGCGGACGGAGTCGAGTGGAGAGCGCCGGAGGGCGGATGGCACCGGCAACGACGAGGAAGGGATGAGCGAGATTGAGCGACAGATTCTGGCCAGTAATCCCATCATGGAGGCGTTTGGCAACGCCAAGACCACTCGCAACGACAACAGTTCTCGATTCGGCAAATACATTGAGGTAGGTTTTAAACAGGAATTGGCTGATTGCTCTAGGTGTTGTTCGATGCGGACAACAAGATCGTTGGAGCGCGCATTCGCACCTACCTTTTGGAACGCTCGCGTCTCGTATATCAACCAGAGACTGAACGCAACTATCACATCTTTTATCAGCTCCTATCGGGCGCTCCGTCCAAGGAGCGCAAGGACCTGTCTCTTCCCACGGACCCCCAGCAATTCGCCTATCTTGCCGGGGGAGGCTCCTCTTCCTCGACTATCCCCGGTGTCGACGACGTAAAGGAGTTCCGCGATACGCAAGAGGCCCTCAGTACCGTCGGCATCTCGGTGGAGCGGCAATGGAGCATCTTCAAGGTCCTGGCCGCTCTGCTTCACCTGGGCAATGTGAATATCACACAAGCGAGGACCGACGCTGTCCTCTCGGATGGTGATGAGTCGCTGATTTTGGCCACCAATCTCCTGGGGCTTCCTGTTGCAGATTTCAAGAAGTGGACGATCAAGAAACAGCTTGCGACGCGCACTGAGTCCGTCACAACCAACTTGACCGCCGCTCAAGCGACCGTGGTGCGCGATTCAGTTGCGAAGTTCATTTACTCTTGCCTATTTGACGTAAGTGTTCTTGGCTGAGTGTGTGCTTGGCTGACCTTGCAGTGGCTCGTGAGCGTTATCAACGAAAGTCTTGCGGGCGAGAATGGTGCCGGCGCACTTAAGTCCAGCAAGTTTATTGGTGTCCTGGATATCGTGAGACCACAGCCTGCCGCTAACATGCTAACAAGCAGTATGGCTTTGAGCACTTCAAGAAGAACTCGTTTGAACAGTTCTGCATCAACTGGGCGAACGAAAAGCTTCAGCAGCAGTTCAATGCTCATGTGTTCAAGGTTGGATTTGCGCGCCGGTCGGACTGACACCAGCTCGAGCAGGAGGAGTATATGCGTGAGCAAATCAACTGGACCTTCATCGACTTTACGGACAACCAAGCGTGCATCGATGTCATTGAGGGAAAGATGGGTGTCCTCGCGTTGCTAGACGAGGAGTCACGTCTACCGTCTGGCGCAGACGCTTCCTTCGCCAACAAGCTCCACCAGCAACTTGGCAAGCCAGAACATAAAGGCGTCTTTAAGAAACCTCGCTTCAATCAAAATGCCTTCACCATTGCACATTATGCTCACGACGTGACGTACGAGGTCGATGGGTTTTTGGAGAAGAATCGTGACACTGTCCCGGACGAGCACCTCACACTTCTGCAAAATGCCTCGAACGACTTCCTCCGGGAGGCAGTCGAGCGGTCCCTCGCTGTGGCGAGCACAGTATCAAGTACTCCTGCCACTCGAACGGGAGCGAAGCGAAGTGGGCCTGCGGCGCGAAAGCCTTCCCTGGGTTCCATCTTCAAGCACTCACTCATCAGTCTCATGGACACCATCAACAACACCAACGTCCACTACATCCGTTGCATCAAACCTAATGAGGCGAAGAGGGCATGGACATTCGAGCCGCAACAGGTTTTATCCCAACTGCGCGCCTGTGGCGTACTGGAAACCATTCGGATCAGCTGTGCGGGTTATCCGAGTCGTTGGACGTTTGCAGAGTTTGCCAACCGGTACGTGGGCGTAGTTGACAAACTGCTGACTTCGACAGGTACTACGTCCTTGTCAACTCAAAGGAGTGGGAGGGCAATTCGGATGTCAAAGCATTCTGTCAGCTACTTCTGCAGCGGACGCTGCGTGATGAGGACAAATATCAGATCGGCCTCTCGAAGATCTTCTTCCGTGCAGGCATGGTTGCTCAGCTCGAGGCCTTGCGCACGGCGAGGTTGAACGCCCTGGTCACACTAGTCCAAAAGAATGTCCGTCGCCGCATTGCATACAAGCAGTATCAAGATCTCCGGAAGAAGACGATCGCAATTCAAGCCTGGTGGCGCGGTGTCTTAGGCAGGCGACTGGCCGAGGAAACCAGGAAGCACGCGGCTGCCGTACTTATTCAACGCGCGTCCCGAGCCTACTTGCAGCGCCGCTCCTATCAGCAAACCAGGCAAGCCGTTGTTACCATCCAGTCTGGTTCGTTGGATTTCTGCGTGATGCTGACTTTGCAGCTGTGCGAGGCTACCAAGCCCGCAAACGCTACCACGAGGGTCGAATCGTGGCTGCAGCCGAGACTTTACAGCGGCTGTTCCGGGGCAGGCAAGTTTCCGATATCAAATTAAACTAATCTCAGTGCTGCGAGGAAGCGAGCCGCGAAGGAGACGAAGCGCATCACCATTCTGCAAACGCTCTGGCGCCGCAAGCTGGCCGTTCGCGAACTGCATGCTCTGAGGGCTGAGGCAAAGTCCGCATCCAAGCTCAAGGAGATCTCATATCAACTGGAGAACAAGGTGGTGGAGCTCACCAAGACTTTACAGAAGCGCAACGGGGAGAACAAGAGTCTCAACGTGCGAATCGCGGACTTGGAGAAGGAGCTTGCGGTCTGGCACTCCAAGCACGACGAAACGCACAGCCGCGCCGTGGAGTTGGAAGCCAAGCTCTCCTTGCCCACTGTTCCGCAGTCAAAGTTCAACGACATGTTGGGCGCGAAAAACGACGCAGAGTCTCGTCTGCGTGCCGCCATGAAGCGCGTTACCGAGCAGGAGGAGGATGTTGCTCGCCTTACCAGCCAACTGGAACGTGCAACCGCTGATTTCCATGAGCGCCAAGCCGCCATTGACAGTGCAGTGGCCAGACACAACGAGGATGCAGCGACGATGTCGGCCCTCCGACAGGAGGTGGCGTCGTTGAAGGAACAGATCAGCCGCGCCAACGCACTTCACACTCTCACCAAAGGGTCACGCGAACCTCCCACTTCCCCGACCTTCGACCGCGGGCTACGCGACTTTGCCAATGGTCTGCATGTAGCCGAGCGTGGCAATGGTTCGACGCGTCGCCGTCAACGCCGTCATAGCACCACTGGACATGGGGCAGCGGCAATTGTCCACTCGGACGACGACGGCTTCGATCTGAAGAAGGCGACCAGTAACCCTCGGGCCGTGTCAGTGATGTATCCACAGGGCACAGCTCTCCGTGGCCGAGACTCCAACGGGCTGCCAACTGTCAGCGACTCAACTCCAGACGAGGTTCTTCGTCTACTGGAGGACGAGGAAGGATTGGACGAAGACGTGCTCCATGGACTCATCGCCAATCTGAAGATTCCCGCAGCCAGCCTACACAACCCCCCATTGGCGAAAGAGGTCATCTTCCCTGCGCACCTCATCTCTCTCGTTTCCAACGAAATGTGGAAGCTTGGAATGATTCCGGAGAGTGAGCGCTTCCTCGCCAACGTCATGCAGAGCATCCAAAGTTACGTCATGGTCAGTCTACATTCTCTTCCTGGTCTGCCTCTCTGTTCTCGCTCACCCATAGCAATTCAAGGGCGAGGATGTGATAGTGCCCGGCATCTTCTGGCTCTCAAACGTACAGGAGATTCTCTCGTTCATCTGCGTTGCCGAATCGGACGCTCAGCAAGGCGTCGCTCCAGGCATGGACGAGCCTGGGGCGCGGGAGCTGGACTGGGAAGCCTATGAGCGCCTTGTGGGCATCGTCAAGCATGACCTAGACAGTCTCGAGTACAACATCTACCACACGTGGATGCTCGAAGTCAAGAAGAAGTTGGGCAAGATGGTGATCCCAGCCCTTATCGAATCACAGTCTTTGCCCGGCTTCATCACCTCAGATGGTAGCGGCAGGATGTTTTCTCGCATGATCGGCATGGGCGGCGGGAGCAACCAGCCTGCGGCGAGCATGGATGACATCCTCAACCTTCTCAACAAGGTCTGGAAGTGCCTCAAAAGCTACTACATGGAGGAGAGTGTCATGCAGCAAGTCGTCACTGAGCTTCTCAAGCTGATCGGCACCATCGCGTTCAATGATCTCATTATGCGACGCAACTTCTGCTCGTGGAAGCGAGGTATGTCCAACAACTTTTTGGAGCTGATCGGTTTAGCCATGCAGATCCAATATAACATTACCCGCATCGAAGGTGAGTGTCCTGTCTAGCTTCGCTCACCGTATCGCAGAGTGGTGCAAAGCTCATGATATGCCTGAAGGTCTGCTTCAACTTGAGCATCTCATGCAAGCCACAAAGTTGCTGCAGCTCAAGAAGGTGAGCATCCGTGAATCAGAGCAGAGCTCACTCCAGGCAACTCTTGGTGACATCGAGATACTGTTCGACGTCTGCTGGATCCTGTCACCTTCTCAAATCCAGAAACTGATCTCGCAATATCACAACGCCGATTACGAAGCCCCCATCTCCCCTGATATCCTTAAAGCTGTTGCCGCTCGCGTTCGTCCAGAGGATAAGAACGACCAGCTGCTCCTCCAAACTGAGCAGGACGAGGTTGGACCGTACCAGATCCCTCCTCCTCGTGACATTGCTGGCCTAGAGACCTGTATGTGGTTAAGTCGCGCACTTGCTGACTCATTTACCAGATGTGCCTGCATGGCTCAACGTGCCCCTGATTCGTCGTCTTGCAACATTCGTTGCGTAATGTTATAGAGATGAGAGGTGATATTCTAAATGTACATTGGATCCAGGCGCGAGGGAGTGAGGGAGTAATGGAGGGAGGTAGGGAGTGAGGGACGTTTCGCCGTGGAGCTACAAGCCATAATTGCTACTTGGAGGAGATAGCATCTCAATACTCTCCATGGGCGAATGATGGTTGTAATCCCAGACAAGACCATTGCCGTCGTGGTAGGAGTGCTGGCTTCGCTGGCGGTGGCTGATATGAGGTGCATGGGCGATGCGATCATGGCAGATCGCACCCCACACGTCGGATCGACGGACCTGCTGCCCAAGACATGTGGAAAGCAAGCAATAAATGATAGCGGCGACGCTCATTGTCAGCTGCATGTGACTCCGTAGTTGTCAAGCACTTACCAGACACAGAAGACGACGAGAGAGAACACAAAAAGGGAAACGTCCATTCGAAGTTTTCTTGCTCTGTATGATGGAGGCAAGCTCAGTTTGAGAGAGGACTCGCTGATGCCGAGATATGGATAGATGTAGCTAATGGCACATTGATTACAACTCGAGAGTAAAGAAGATCGGTTCCGCGTGTGTATCACGTGACCAGCATTTGTTGCCGCACACGTAAAAGTTGGTTCATTTGCGACTGATGTCTCGTACTGCTTCTTACTGCTTACTATCTCGACCGCAATGGCATCGCAAGGCCATCATCATCGCCCTACTCTTAAACAGGTCAGTTGAATGGGTCTAGCTGTGTTACTTGAAGTCCGTTGGCTCACTCTCCGCAGTCCAATAAGTCGTTCAAATCCAAGCATGCGTCCAAGGGTGCGAGGAAGGCTGCAGCGAAAGGTAGGTTGTGTCTTGGCTACGTCCGTGATGATGTCCACTTAACAGCTAGGGAAGCCTGCGATCATTTCTGCCCCAAACACATCAGCGCGCAAGGCAGTTGACGCTGGCGCAAAGCGTATCCGCCTGAATCAACAATCTCAAAAGCGCGATGCCAAGCAACGCGCCGGGCGCGAGGATGCCAAGTTCTTCACCATGAGCTCTAATGGCGGTGAGTATTTCAGACGGACCGAAGCGCCATCGCATTCAGCTTACAGCGACAGGCAAGGTTCCACGCATTGTATCCATTGTGCCACTTTCACCCACACTCTCTGGCGAGCGCTTGGTGCGTGGATTACTGCCCGCCCTCGGCCTCTCGGAAGCAGATATCATGGGGCTCGACTGGGATGGCCGCTCGTCCTTTGTTACCGCCGCCCCGCGGTTCAAGTCATCCATCCACTTCAATATTTTGCCTCCACTTCAGCTGTTCCCAGCTTTGGACGCCGCCCTAACCAGCGACATTGTCATTATCCTGCTCAGCAGTGCGGATGAGGTTCAGCTTGAGGGCGAAGCCATCTTAAGGTGTCTACAAGGACAGGCTGGTGCTGTGACCACTCTCGCCTGCGTCCAGGTATGTGGCTTTCGCTCGAGGGTGGCTGATATCACAGGCCCCAGAAATGTCTCCTCTCGCGGGCTCCGCCAAATCACTGGTGCACAAGTCGCTTTTGTCCTTTTCGCGCTATTTCTTCCCATCCGTGAATAAGATCTTCTCTGCTGACACGGCGAACGAGGCTATATTGCTGGGGCGTGCGCTGTGCGAAACATCGCCGGCCTTCATCCACCATCCTGATGGCCGGGCATGGCTGGTGGCTGAAGAGCAGCCAGTCTGGAGCGCCGTCGGGAGTACTGTCACCGGCGGTGATCAACCAGTCGTCGAGCCCGGGTTGCTGCGAGTGACAGGCACTGTGCGTGGCGGACGATTGAGCGCGAATCGTCTTGTGCACTTGCCCGGATACGGCGACTTCCAGATCCAGGAGGTGAGCTGGTATCATCGGCAGTGCTGACTTGTATAGATATTGGCCGCGCTTCCGCGCTCGAAAGAGCTATCCACCGACTCTCCACTTGTCTGTCTGTCTTCACCTGGGGCTGATGCCGACGACTTGACTGCCAACAATGTGCCTGACCTTCTTGCCAACGAGCAGACGTGGCCGACTGAAGAGGATATGATGGGGGCGTCAGAAGCCGAGATGGACGGGCTTGCGAAGCGCGTGAAGCGCGTCCCCAAGGGTACCAGCGCCTACCAGGCGGCGTGGATCTTTGACGATGATGATGATGAAGGGGACGCAACCGATGCCGATGTCGATGAGTCCGGCAGCGACATGTCGAGTGCTGAACCGACGGAATCAGGTAAAGTTATTCACCTTGAAACCCCTATGCGCACCGCTCACACCTCCCTAGGCGTGAACACTCCGCATTACGACCAAGAGGATGAGCTAGAGGACGTCGAGCTCGATGAGCGCACTGAGGTTCACCAGGAGATGACAGCTGAAGAGGAAGAGGCTGAGTGAGTTCTCTCGTTGGTAACAATGCTGATGCTTAAGATACGAAACGTATCTTCGCGAACGAGAGAGGGCGCAACGCGACGACATCAACTTTCCAGATGAGATCGATACGCCACGGCACATTGCAGCCAGCGTACGCTTCCAGCGTTACCGTGGGCTCCGGAGCTTTCGCACCAGTCCATGGGATCCATATGAGAATCTCCCTCTGGACTATGGCGAAATTTTCCAGTTCGAGAGCTTCGCAGCCACCCAGAAGCGAGTGGAACGTGAAGCCCGTGAGGAGGGAGTTGCGGTATGTTGTTCATGCCAGACGAGGGGCTGACAGTGACAGCTTGGCACGCGCGTTACTTTAGTCATAAGCAACGTTCCGCGCCAGGTTGCGATCGACAGAGCGGCGGGCCTTCCGTTTGTCATCCACGGACTCCTTCGTCACGAACACAAACAGACGGTTCTTCATTTTGCAGTTCAGAGGAACACCGAGTATACGGAGCCTGTGCGAGCGAAGGTGGGCATTTCCACACTGATTGAACTTACATGCAGGATCCCCTTGTCATTTGCGTCGGACCGCGGCGCTACAACATCAACCCACTGTTTTCTCAGCATGTGCGAGGAGGTGGCAAGGGTGTCAACAATGTCCACAAATCGGAGCGCTATCTGAAGCCTGGTGCGACGACGGTGGTCACGACGTATGGCCCAGCGTGCTTTGGCAAACTCCCATGTTTGCTGCTCAAGCAAGGCTCTCGAGCTGGTGCGTCCTCGCTAGACTTTAAACGCTAACGGACGTAGAGCTTCCTGACCTGGTCGCAATGGGTTCGTTCCTCTCCTCTGATCCAACAAGGATCATCGCCAAACGCATTGTTCTTACAGGCCATCCTTTCAAGGTTCACAAGAAAACTGCGACAATCCGCTACATGTTCTTCAACCGTGACGATGTTCAGTATTTCCAATCCGTGGAGCTTCACACAAAGTATGGTCGTACTGGACACATCACCGAAGCCCTCGGGACTCATGGATACTTCAAGGCCCACTTTGACGGCCCTATTCAACAGATGGACACTGTCTGCATGAGTCTTTATAAGCGACAGTTCCCAAAGGTGGGTAAAGCAGCCGCAACGAAGCACTACCTATGCTGACTCCTCAGTGGTCGACATTGTTCCACCCGCCGACTGGATCAACATCTCAGGCAGATTTCGACACGCAAATGGAGTTGGAATGAACAGCACATAGACACGTATATGTTTGTATGTCCGCCACATCATCACATTGCTATTGCCCCGTGTCCCGTGCGCCCACCCCGATGCCCAGACTATGGGGCATGGGCGGCTTACGAGTTGCGGCTACAGCTTCTAATGTCGCGTTCGCTTGCTCGAGTGAGATTGGAGTTCGTGTTGATGCAGGTTGTGCCGCGATGAATAAGTGATTAAGCAAGGCGGAGGCGGGGGGTCGAGAATTATGATTGATCTCGAAAGTGAGGCGGAGGAAGTCAGCAGCGTCCGTTGAGATGTCGCTCGGAGTTGCAGGGCGCGCGAGCGATCCAATCTGGTAGCGGTCAGCCTGCTGTGACGTGTGCGGTCAACATACACGAAAGATCGCTTGCATCTGCGTTAGATCCGCCCATGGATGCGTGCCGGTCAACATCTCCACAACAAGGCAGCCAACACTCCAAATATCCGCTTTGGAGGTGTAGCTCGTCTGCTTAACGACCTCGGGGGCCATCCAGAATACCGAACCTTGCAAGGAGGGCCGATTTGGCCGGTCCATCAAACCTTTTGTTAGATTACAGGTTGTTCCTTTACCTACTGCTCTCTGCCTTCTTTGAGATGCCAAAGTCTGAGATCTTAATGCCTCCTTTGTTGTCGACCAATATATTTGCGCCCTTAATATCTCGGTGTATGATGTTGCGCTCGTGAAGATAGTTGAGACCGGTGAGAATCTGGCGGGAGAAGTTCCGCACAAGAGCCTCCTCGAAAGCTCCGTAACTACTAAGCAGGGCAGCGACCGATCCACCAGGCACGTACTCCAAGAAAATGTAGAGATTGTTGCCATCGGTGGCAGAATCTGGGTCATCAGCGCGAATCCAATTGCCATCAAAAAATGGGCCTGCCAGCTCACCAAGATATTGAACAATGTTCTCGTGCTGCAGCTCCCTTAAAAGCTCTATCTCTCTCTCCAATGCTTGCACAGTACTGCGCTTCTTCTCTTCGTTCCTCGCGTCTCCCGACGGCAGGTCGACTTGCTTAACCGCCATGAGAAGCCCGGAATGAGCGTCCATACCGAGAAAAACAGAGCCGAACGAGCCAGCTCCAATGAGTGCACCCTTAATCCACTTGATAATTTGTCTGGCTGGTATGTCAGCACAACTTTCGGCGGCTTGACCGCAATTCACGTACAGCCGGCTGAGGTAAACGCTCGCCCGTGGCCGTGATCCTCGCTATCAGTGGTAGCCTCGGAATCATCGGACTCGGTATCTGAGGGACTCGAATCAGTTGTGTCATCCTCGCTTGGGAAGACGTCTGAGGCGGCTGGGGTGTTAGGACGATCTTGTTCTTGGGGGTCGCTGAGGGTCGACATGCTGGCTCGGCGGTTCTCGACTTCAGCTGTAATCTCGTCGACTGTAAGCAGACTCGCAGTGTCGCTCTTATCTTTGCTCTTGCGAATGGAGGAGATGACACTAATGCGACTTAGGTTAGACCCCGAGGAGCCACGCCTCCCTTGCCGAAGTGCCGGCCGTACTGTGGACGGTGCAGGCGAATATTGCTGTAGAGAGTCTACCAGGCTCTCGCCCGTCGACTCGAAAGGAGGCAATAGAGGAGGACGAGGATCTACAGGAGCGGCCTGCTCATCGGCCGGGGCGGCCGCTAACGGATCGCTTGCTTTATTGGACATCTCGACTTCTTCTGGAATCGCTGCAGGTGTCGTAGCAGAGGACACAGTGCGTGTGGAAGGGGGGCGAGGCCTCCTGTTCAGACTAGACGCATCATACGCTCCGGGCTGCCCAGAGAGAAGAGAAGTGCTGGAGGCTGCCGCTGGATGGCCGGCGCCTACCGCGAGACCTTGAGAGTGACCCTGAGACAAACGCATCATGCTTTGCCGCACCGTCTTCTCTAGGTCACGCTTGCGAGCAGACGGGAAATAGTCCGCAAGGTGATTGGAGATGAGCTCGCTTGGTGGACGGTGACCGAAGAAGTTGTACATCTTCTTGCGAGAGGTGGTTCCAATTGTCGACGACCTGGCCGAGTCAGTGGCGGGAGCCACCTCGACAGCTCCAGGAACTCCGAGGCTCGACATGATAGACACTGTGCTGGCCCTGTTGGTTTTCTTACTGGCGACCATCTTGCCCGGTGAATCCTGGTCCCATGTTTCGCCCAGTCGAGGTACACCGGCACTGTAATACAACGGTGAATGGGGAGAACGAGGCGGCGGGGACACTCCAAAGAAGAGATCCATGTTCTTACGATTAACAGAGTGAGACACGCGACGCAACACGAGTCCATTCTCTCTGATAACTGCTGGGTCGTTATGCGTGCCAGTGCGGAAGAATCGGTGACCTTGACAGATATCCAGTAAGGCAGACTCCGACAGGGGAACTTCTGTGCCTGTTAAGCGAGACAAACCCGTGTGGCACTTACCTTCCTCTGAGCCTTCTGACTGAATGAAGACACCCCAGCCGTCCACTTCCAGCCGATCGCTATCGTTGTCATTATCTGGCCCGAAGCTGCTCATGCCAGTGTTTCCCTTGCCAAACTTCTTCAGGACCCGTTCAAGGACCTCCACTCCACTTGCGCAGGTTGACACGTCAAGCTTTGTCGTCCGGCCGTCCTCAGAGTTGACAAACTTGACGACGTGTCGACGAAGATCCTCCAGCGACGGTTGACCAGGCCGAGGCGAGGGGTCTATGGACGGGGCTTGCGAACCAGGCAGCGTCGGCCGCGAATATGCCCCTCGCTGAGAGTCGAGACCACCCTTGCTTGCATCCGATCGTAGAGCAGACGCAAACGGGTGCGGCAAATTACCTTCTCGGGTTGAACGCTGCGTCGGCGAGATAGCCTTCTGATCAGCGCGATGTGGCGAATCCGCTGGTCGCGGCACCCCTGGTCGGTGCTTCTGTGCGTCTCCTCGTCCTAGGCCTGCATAGCCGCCATCATCAAAGTTCGGACTTGGAGACCGCCGGTGATCACGAGCAAGCGGGGGACGTAGTGATGCGGTCGACTCCTGGGACGATTTGGCTGCGGCAGAATCCCCCTGTCCGGGAGTCTTGTAAACGTTGGGCAGATGGTGAGACCTGGGCGTGACAGCTCGAGATGACGGAGATGCAAGGGACAGACCGCCTTCAGGCGAGGACGCAGGCGCAGGTCGTTGAAGATTCAGAGGTGGCGGCCGTGAAAGTTGAAGACGCTTCGATACCAGAGCGGTCGCTAGTCTCTTGGGGACTTGTGACCCCCTCGTGTCTTGGACGAGGGGGAGGGGGCTACCATCCGCAGGTGCGCTCGCACTGTGCAATCCTCTGCTCTGCGACGGTGGGGGTGCCGGTACCCGCGCCGCTCGCTTCCGGAGCTCGCGCACGCCGCTGAGAAGCTTGACTCGATCGCCGATTTTTGTAATGCCGATCTCCTTGAGGCTGGACATGTCGAGATCAAGCAGAACCTTGCCGTCGATGTCATTGCGATGGAACAAGAGCGTGTACTGATCACATCGGTAGAGTCTCAAAAAGTCGGCAATTTGATTGTCGCCCCAGGACTTGACATGTCCAACGAAGGTTTGGCCATGAGGAGGGCGCAGAAGCGGAGGAGTCGAGGGACGACGGCTATCTGAAGCCGGAGAAGCAGCGAGTTCATTGCGCTTAGATGAGGTGGCAATGGTAGCACTCTCGTACTTGGAGGAGAACCCGGCCGACGTTGGTGTGGTGTTGGACGACTCTTCTGAGAGCGCGACTGACATTGTGACCCTGCGAACAACCAGTTGCAATATCCTTCAGACGCGCGGTAGGAGCCGCGAGCAGAGATTAATGGCAAAGCTGCTGTCAGTACCATTCACGGATAGAGGAGGGCTGCCGCAACGAGAGACAGTGACACAAGATGGTCGTCAAGGAGAGGGATTGTTCACACCGGTGATACTGACTGGAGGGGAGGATGAGGAAGCTGAACTCGTAAGCGGTAGATAAGGGATGGGGTGTGTCGCTGGGGTGACTGGCCTGATACAACCAAGCGTAGGTCGAGGAACGGGCTAGATCTGCGATGAGCTATTGCAGCTTGAGGTGAATGGCATGGCGTGGCGTTCAGAGCAGAAATGAGGCGGCGAGGAGTCGAGAGATGCAAGGTGCGAGATGGGCGAGGGTGAAGGATAATGGCGATGTATGATGGGCGGCGAAAGGCCAATGAGTGACGGAGGAGCGGGTGATGAGATGGTGAGGAGGGGGCAGCAAACGACGTTGACCAGGCGATCAGGCAATCAACTGTGCCCAGCAGTCGGCAAGCCACCTTGTTCCCGCTTTCTCGGATTCAGGCACCCAATCCTCCCTCCACTCTCCAACATCACTCCCGACCTGGCTAATCTGTCTCGCCCACACCATCCCATTAGTAGCAGCATTGTTAGACATCTTGCATCCTCATCAACAAACAGCACGTCAATGACGCTTTATCTCCACATCCTACAACCAGCAATCACACCCACATGTACAACGCACAGTCCAGCGGTCCACTCCACGCCAATTCCCGGCACCAACAAATCACACATCCCCATCGCGAGTAACACCAACACCACGGGCGGGGGCAGCTCAGCTCCACCTAAACGAGGCTGCAAACTGAGAACCTGGAAGCGCGTCAATCAGGCCTCCCTAAACCCTACCAGGCATCTTCACTCACTTTGACTATGAACAGAACCCCGCGAGTGAGCTCTGACGTTGAGCGACCTGCCCTGTGGACGGGCATCTGCTCCTCGGTTGTATCATTTTCAAAAGGTGGTGGAAGCGCCAGTATACCGCGCACCGGTGAGCTAAACGCGGGATGAGGCTTCTGATACTGAGCAGTCAGCAGACTTCCCTCAGCACTTACATTGCGGGGGTGTTCTGAAGCTTTGGCATTTGAGCCGCTTCCCTTTTTACGCCAGAGGCTACTGCCACTCCTACGTGTAGATGTGTTTCGGAGGGCATCGATGGCCAGTCGAACGCGCTCGGCACTAGGACGCTGATCGGGAGAGAGGTGAAGGAGCTTTTCGAGAAGCAACAGCATATTGCGAGGGATATGTCGCCTCTCGCAAGTCTCCACAAGATCGGTGGTCGCCTCGAATCCGGGGTAGGCAACGATCTCAGTGTGCAACCTCTGCAGATCTTCGGTAAACTCGTAGGGCAGACGAAGGAACAGGAGTTTGTGGAGCACCATTCCTGATCAATTAGCGCCATGGAATATCCAGCCACTGACCCAGCGACCACATATCAGCATGAGAATCCGAGGGCCTCCAGTTGCCGCTCTTGTCGGTCACAATGGTCTCCGGCGCCTTCAGTTAGCAGCCGCTTTAGATTATTCTTACCATGTACTCCATGGTACCTGTGTGACCTGTCCGCTCCCGACGGCCTCGCAGCATCTCCTCCGATGTACCGAAGTCAGACAGTAGAGCTTTTGGGCTGTCCGGTCAGTGTTTCCACATAGTGTGACACACATAACCTCTCCTTCTTCCCAATAGAGCAGAACATTCGAGCACTTGAGGTCCAGATGCAGGATAGAGTTAGAGTGCTGTGTGTCAGCCTTGGAGGCATTCATAACCTACCAAAAAAGCGAGACCAGACACGATATCGCCGAAGAGCTTGAGAATCTCTTCCAGGCCAAGCAGAAGAACTCCTCGAGTCTCGCCCCGGCGGCCGAGATTGCCGCTTTGCCGACGGCGCTTGAAAGCCTTGATACGTTCAGCCTTCGGAAGTAGATCTATGCTCTCTGAATCCCCCACGTCCGTTGCGCTCGTCGGAGGTTGAGCGGAATCACCGTAACTCCTGTTGAGAAGAAACGCGTCAAGGTTCCCAGCGGTTGCGTACATCATGAGGACGTGAAGCGCAAGGATCGGCGGGCCAAATGCGGAAAACTGGGTTTCGTCCACCCAGGAATGATAGTAAGGAATGATGTTGGGATGACGTAGAGTCTCGAGCAGACGCACTTCGCGCAAGATGCGCACAAGATAATCTTTTGATGTACCGACCGCTATCTTCTTTACTGCGTACGTCCCTGCCAGTATGAGCAAGGTCCATGTTCACTGGCTAAGCGACGCACCGAGCACGTTGCCACCAATAATGTGCGTGGCCAGGAAAACGCTGCCTTCCGCTCCAATTCCTAGACGTCTCTCTTCCTTGAAGAAGCGACGATAGTAACCCATGGCCGGAAGATTCGAGGAATCCTCGTCTGGACAATAATCGCCATTCCTTGGAGGCGTTGCGGGATGTGAATGAGGAGAGCCGCCCCTCCTTGCTGAGCTTGGCGTCCCTGGGCGGCTAGATTCATGGGCGCGTTCGAGTACGCGAAAGTAGTGCCCTTCTGCGGTTCCTTCCTGGTCAGACCTTGGTGGCAAGTCGTCGCCCACTTGGGAGATCGACATGCGTTCGTGGCCGCACAGGGGACACTTATCAGGGTCATTCAAGCGGTCGGGTTTGGTATCACTACTTGCAGTTGGCAAGATGCGAAGCTGCCTCGATGACGAAGAGTGAGACGGGGTGCTGCGAGGGTGAGGAAGCACCTGGATAGCGTGTGATGGAGGGTGATAAACGATGAGCTGATTTGAAGTCTCTCTAGAAAGGTTAGTCATTGTTGACGGGCACCCGATGGCGGAATGTGTCAAGCATACCCGATTGGAGTCCATGCTCTGCTGTCTGGAGAGCCGGGATAGAGTTGAGGTTGAGGTGGCATGAGATGCAAGGGAAGTCAAAGCAGTGGCGGCTAAGGAGGGACAAGCGAGAGGTGAGGAAGGGGTGTGCAATGTATTCTCAAAGACGACCGACGTGAGCGGAAACCCGAGGTTTGAGAAGTATAGGATAGTGCGCGTAAGTTTGGAGATGATGAACGAGAGCGAAGACTTGGAGAATTGGAGGACAATAACAAACGTGTGGGGATGAGACGAAGACGATGAAGGACGACAAGATGATGACGGCTGCGAGGTTCATTCCTCTGCTCAGGCACACCTCCAATTCCTCCAAGCTCTCCCACGGTGGACCCTCACGTCTCATCTGGCTCGTCATCACAGGCATCTCAGCATAACCTGTTTGTCCAATTGTTCAACAAGACTCCACCTTTCACCCCCCACTTCTCATGTCTTCCTTCTTTGGGTTTGCCGCCGCCCCTGTAGACGTCGAGATCCGTCTGAAGGGCGAGGAGGAGCGCAAGCAAGTAGAGTTCAAAGGCGAGAAGGATCGCAGGGAGGTTTGTCCCGTCTTCTACGATGGGGAGAGCGTCGATGGTCAAGTAAGTCTCGCACCCACTCGTTACAACACCTCCCTAGGTTGAATTTGCTTGTGCTCACCGACTTCTACAGGTTCTCGTTCGCGTGAAAGACGGCAAGAAATTTCAACATGACGGCATCCGCATAGAGCTTGTGGGCTCGATCGGTGAGTGACTGTCATGTAGGCATACTCAGGCTAACACATAAGAGCTCTTTTACGATCGTGGCAACCATTACGAGTTTGTGTATCTTAGTCAAGAGTTAGCTGGGCCTGGGGAGATGCGCCAGGCTCAGACTTTTGACTTCACCTTCAAGAACGTGGAGAAACAGTATGAAAGCTACGCCGGTATAAACGTGAAGCTGCGGTGAGTTTCCGGCACTTTGGAAACATTGGACGCTGACCTGCACAGCTATTTTATTCGCGTAACTTTGCTGAGACGTACCGGGGAAATCAGCAAGGAGCGCGAGTTCTGGGTTCACTCGTATCGCATGCCACCCGACAGCAATACGAGCATCAAGATGGAAGTGGGCATCGCAGATTGCTTGCACATCGAGTTCGAGTATAAAAAGGCCAAGTGCGTCGCTCTCATTTATGTTTTACGTCGCTGACGCCTTAGGTATCATCTGAAAGACGTGATTGTTGGCAAAATCTACTTTCTCCTCGTCCGAATTAAAATCAAGCATATGGAGCTTGCCATCATTCGCCGTGAGACGACTGGCGCCGCTCCAAACCCCTACAATGAATCTGAGACGATCACCAAGTTCGAGATCATGGATGGAGCTCCCGTTCGTGGAGAAACAATCCCCATCCGTCTCTTCCTTGGGGGCTTTGAGCTCACCCCGACGTTCCGCGACGTGAACAAGAAGTTCTCGGTCCGGTATTACCTGAACCTCGTTCTGATAGACGAGGAGAATCGGCGCTACTTCAAGCAACAAGAGATCACGGTTTACCGTATTCCGTGAGTGCCGTCGCTGGAAGGGGTATTCTCCGGGACTGACGCTACAGTGAAAACTGAAGTCACGATGAGCTGGAGTGCTCATGAGAGACCAATGAGGGGAGCCCATCACGCTAGATTAGGATTGTACAGTAGTGGTTGTGTAGGTCGTGACTGTGGCGGCGGCAGTCGTCGCTAGACCAGTGATTTAGAGGAGTAGATGGGCGGGTTGTCGGTGCTGCACAGAGCATTTGCGAGTTTTACGTAATTATGAGTGAGTGAGGTGTGTGTTATGTAAATGGAAGGCTGCAGCGCTGCCAAGTGTCCAGGGCAACCTCAAGGTGTGGTGGAGGCCGGGCAGGGTGGAGGGTGCGCGATTGTGCGGCTGTGCGCGTCACTGCTTGGCTTCATCTGTGCCTCTAATCGTTCCCTTCTCCGTCTACCTCCTCGTCCTCTTATCCATCAACCAGGCCATCATCAGCTAGCAGGCCACTCCCTACCTCTAGCTACCCCCTCATCTTCATCCTCGTCCCCATCCTAATCTCCTTGTTTCTTTCACTCCGACTTCGCTTGCGCTCCCAGACCTCACCGGTATCCAACTCAACCCTCTAACTGCTGTGTCACCCCCGGTCCCAATTCATACTCCTCCTCCTCCTCCTCCTTCTCCTCTCTGACGGTCTCCTCGCCCTCTCTCCTCCTCATTTTGAGCGTCCCGCTACATACACGTTTCGTGGCTAATCACCCTGCCCTCCATCGTTCCCCATCTCGCCCTCTCAATTAGGTCGGCTCTGCAATGTCAGAAGGAACAGGTATCGTGCTAGAGTAGGTCACCTATCCGCCACAGCCAACATTTGTTCTAGCTGACACTCTTTTTAGATATGCCCTTCGTGTGGCGTAGGTCGCTACAATCTCGCGCGTGTGACGTCCACTAACGACAGGTGCCTTCACGAGGAGATTGAGCGACGACGACGCATTGCGGTGTCTGCTCCTCCTTCTGAACTTGGTTCGGTCACTGCCAGCAGCAAATCTCAGGATTCTTCATCAGGTTTCTCTCTGGATTTGGGCTCCTTGTTGGGTCGTGACAGTGCCCGGTCGCCTCGCTACCCGGAGAAGTTCATCAAGGTCTTGGACGGCTCCCTGCAGCGCATCGCCATGGGCCAAGATCCCAAGTAAGACTGAAGATCACATGCCGCTGACATTCGAGACACACCGACCAAAGGTTTCGCCGCTCGGTTGCTTTGTTTTGGTCTTCCAGCTGGGCCGATAAGACATTTCAGCGGCAGCTCAAGGAGTCGCGGAAAGTTGAAGACATCATCCTTGCTTTCGTCTCCGCCTCGACACGTGCATTGAAGAAGGAGTTAGACCTCGTCGATGGTGGCTGGAAGGTTGAGCTCAACTCGCAGATCCTCGTTTTTCTCGACATGCTGAGCGACAACCTCAATTCGATAGGTTCAGCAGCTGTCGAGCTTCGGAGTCGCCTCAGCACCTATCGAACCCGCCTCCAAGATGATAATAGGAGGAGCGTAGCTCCTGCCCCGTCAGCGCTCAAAGAGGAAGTCTCCGTCGCTGTGCCATCCTCGGACTCCACTTTATCTACACGGGTCGTCGCCGAGCTCTTCCAGCTGGACAGCGCTACACTTGCCGAGCGTCTCCAGGCAATCCGTCCCATCTGCACCGTCGATGCAGCACTTGAGGATCTCAAGGTACGCATTTTGCGGACATAGCGCCCACTAATATGAGATCTTCTTACAACGTCTTAGCACCGATCGCTCAACACCTTACGGCGCCAAGGACTTTCCAGACGAGAGTCAATGGGCAGCTTATCGCGGCAAGGAGATTGCAGCACTCTCCGATCTTACCTTCTCAATGCTGAAGGCCGATCCGCTTATGGCCAACGAGCGCTCCGATCAGGTCGATCTTGTCCAGTCAGTCGATGGTCTCAAGCTCGATGACCGCAACTTTACCTTCGTTCCATCAGACCCACGCGAGGTCTATAGGCAACTTTTGCGAGAATGCCTGGACTACGACCTCCAGGTTCTTCGCACTCTCCCAGAGGACCAGGATGTCTCCTTGAGCATCTTGTCTCCGGAGCACACGGCCCTTCTCGACGAGTGTGCCCTGCGTTGGAGGATTCCGTCATCATTCCGGGCCTGGGTGTTCTTTGAGGCAATCGAAGATCACTACGAGCAAGGTGACGTTCCACCGGACTGTGTGTTTGAAGCCGTGGGAGGCATTGGGCGAGTCTCACAAGATTTTCCGGTATCAGACTGGGCTGAGACGGACCAAGCTGGTTTGCAGGCAGCCCTCCTTCGCCGAGATCTATTCTTTCTCAACGACATCGATATCTCGCTCAACACTCCCACCGGCTACATGTCTCCTGAGTTTCGACAAGCAGTTGATCACTGGGGCAATCTCGGAGCTGACCAGAATGAGCACCCGGCCTTCCTGCGGACACAGCGAGCTATTTGCGATCGCCTACGCCAACAAGCATATGCCAGGTACATCGAGGAGGCCAGTGAGAAATACGCCCAGGAGGGAGGCAAGAACAAGCGCTTTGCTGCGGCTCTCGCAGCTTGGATCGAGTCCAGCGCCAAACGCCTCAATAAATGGTTCCCTGATCCCCTCCTCCCGTAAGTCTAGTCGTGCCATGGTGTCTAATTTCAAAGTCAAATCGACGTCGTCTCCTTGGTACTTCATCAGCAACTCTCACTGTGGGTGCGAGATCTCGAGGAGGCCATGGCTTCCCCCAATGATTCACTCTTGGGGCCGAGTGATGACTTCGAGGAGTCGCTCGCCATGTATCATCGTGCCCAGAAACTCCAAAGTATGGGTGTTGCGTTTGGAATGTAAGTCCGACCGTTGCTTGTCTCGTATGCTCACATCGAGGGACCCATCACAGTTCGCGTTATCCTCCATCTTCGAACCAGTCATTTCTGCTTGGCTTGACGAGACGGCAGTAAAAATGCGGCAATGGGCCGACAATGCCCTTCGAATTGATGATGTGAGAGCCACTGCAAACACGTGCTGACTCGTAGTTTTCCCCTCTCACCGCGAACGGGCATTCGTCCTCTGTGACTGACTTGTTTGCCTCCTTCCAGAGCGCAATGTCCTTTCTTCTCGATTTGGAGTGGGATGATCCTGAGCAGATGGCTGCATTCGCCACCCGCCTTGCAAAGGTGCGTCTGTGTATATCTCTGCCACCAACCACAGATCATCAGCCTCTCCATCGACGACTATTGCACAAAGCTTGAACGGTTGTTCAGCGCGGAAATGAATCAGACAGAGAGTCATCAGTCCACGGCGAAGCAAAAGGCGTGGATTGAGAAGGCGCGCAGCACCATTGCTCATCTTCAAGGCGACCGAAAAATTCAGGCCTTCTTCAACTTTACCCCCGCAGTGAGCATAGCAGCGCTGTACATCCTGCTGATTGGCAGTCGTGTGTCAAGCTGAATAACATTGACGCCGCTCGCCATGAGCTGGATCAACTTTATCGAGAGATGCGTGTTGACGAGTATGCGTCTCTGGACGTGAATAAGCCTGTCGTTGCTACAGTTCAAGAAGCCTCGCTGTTCACGATCAAGATCGTCCTCGGGGAGGACCTAGTGGTCGAGGGGTCATCTCGAGCGCCCGACGCTTTCGTTGTGTTGTCCGATGAGCACGGCAACCGGTATGCCAAGACACGCACAATCTATGATGACCACGACCCGCGCTGGGACGAGACATTTGACGTAGCTGTGCGGCGACCTGCATGGTTCATGGTCACCGTTCGACATCGCAATCTCGCAGGCAAACACGATCTTATTGGACGGGCATACCTACAGCTTGACCCCTCACAATACGTCGATCTCATTAGCAAGGACGTCCTACTGCCATTGTCCACAAAGGGTCATGTTCTTCTTCGGGTTAGCATGGAAGGCGAGCGGGACGACATCCAGTTCCACTTTGGCCGTGCATTCCGGTGGTTGAAGCGCACGGAGTCCGACATGGTCCGGCTCTTCGTTGACAAAGTAAGTCCACGAGCAGGGGATGCCGAGTGCTGAAGCCAAGATGACTCCCGTTCTTCGTCACACCTTATCGCGAAGCGCCATCAAATCAGTGCTCAAGCCCAGTGTGGGAGGCATTGACTACAATGATGCGCTTCGTTTCTCAAATGATGCTCTCGGGCGCATCTCCGCTGCTTATCGAAGTGCTGTAGGCACAGGTCAAGACAAATATTCTATCCCGCTTCCTCCTTCGGAGCAGGCGAAGGGAAGCCCTCAACACATCAGGCGAGGACCCTCCGACGCAGAAATTGAGGCGGCGATTCACCCACTGTTCGATTACCTTGACACGAACAATCACACTTTGGCGTCTACTCTGTCCCCAGACGCCATGCATATGGTCATGGCCAAGCTCTGGAAGCAAATTCTCATGACCATCGAGGCACTCATTGTGCCGCCTCTGAGCGACAAGCCGAGCAGTATGCCACCCTTGTCCGAAAGCGAGTTGGATGTCGCTCTGCGCTGGCTAAAGTTCCTGCGCGACTTCTTTTACGCAGGGGGCGACGACAGCGGGGTGCCTCTATCGACTCTCCAGAATGCCAAGTTTAACGAGATCATGAGCGTGCCGATATATTACGATTGGAGTACGGATGACCTCATGGAGGTAGGTGGCTTGTGGGACACCTGGGGGCCTTGGTTTGAATGGACGAACTAATCCATCAGGAATGCATCCGCGGCTTCCAAAGTACACTCAAGAGCAAGGCGATGAAACCCAGTAAATCCATTATCGGTCAGCGGAACCTGGGTACCATTCGAGCTCGTAAGACCGCTAAGCGATCCGCGCCGCAAGCCAGCAACCATACCGAGTTGATCATGAAGATTCTGCGGATGAGGTACGATCTGGGCCATTGGAACAACTTGATATGTGCAGACTCGCTGATGTTAAAGGGAAGGGACACATGAGTTTCTTGCACAACAAATCCAGACTCTAAACGCCGTCAAGCTGGAGGACACAGGCCGTGCGAAGAACAAGAGTCGGCGTGGGGTGGGATTGCGGGGATAGGCGGTGTAACATAGTAATCATATCTGATGAACTGCTACCTCTGTGTAGCAATATAGTGCCCCACTGTAGCTGGGGTGATAGACGAATGTATGGGTGCGCGGGCTAATAAGACTTGTGATGGCGAGACATGCACGGCATTGTGCTGGCCATCCTGTGCAACGGTCGGGTCTCCTGATTGATGGAGGTAGTCCTGTGAATTAGAGCGGTCAGTCTATTACCATGATGACTGTATATCAATACCTACGTATGGCACTTTGAACTACCTCGCTAATCTCCGCCCATTGCCCTTTTCCGAGATGTGCTGCCGCCGCTAGCGCACCAATGCCCAACCAACGACCCCTGATGCAGCTTCCACGGCAACCCTCAGGCCGGGCAGGCGGGCAGGCGGATACCCCACCCCCACCCGGCCACGCTACCCAGCAATACCATGCACAATCACCAACTGACACCTTCACCAACGTTCACTCATTCACCCACCCATCCATCTTTCCACCCCTCCTTCCATCTATCCATCTCTTCATCGGTCACGAGTAGTCAGTCAATCCATCACCACTCACTCGCAAGCCTACCCCCACCCCCTCTACCTCTGCTCCTCCTTGTTCTCGCTCTCTCGACCTCCTCTCTCGCTGTCACTTTCCCTCCTCTCTCCATCTGCCCTTCCATCACATCCTTCCGAAGCCTGTGCCGCACCCCTGCCTCCGTGCCCCGCTTGTCACTTGGACATTAGCGGAACCTCGGCCACCGCCCTCCAACCCTTTCACGCTCTATGACAGCGCTCAACATCGACTAACAGGTATCAGTCCTCGCCAGCAACATCTTCGCCGCTGGGTTTCGTTCTCAACCCAACCTCGCTGCATTCCCATTTTCCACCGCAGACAGCATACCGGCCATGTCCCAATGGTCACAAGCTTCCCTAACGCCTTCCCGGCCCGCCCCACCTCCGCCCGGAGCCCGTGGATCTCCATCCAGCTTGCCACCTTCGTCTCGAGCTCCGCCAAGGCAGCAGGGGACCGCAGCGTACTCCTCACGCACTTATGCGAGCTCCTACCCCGTCCTTCACAACTCGGGCGCAACGCCGTCTAATGAGGCTATCAGTGCGATCGTTCGGACAGGGGCTGCTAGCATCAAAGAGGAAGGCCTTAGGTCCTTCTTGTGGAGTAAGAAATGGCTCGTTTTGACAATGAGCGAGCTTCAGATCTTCAAGAATGAGGTAGGACTTGAAACGGCACACTTATAGGCTGACTCCAGCAATCGTCATCCCCTTCCTTCGTTTTGCAGCTTGTCGACGTTGTCGATGTCCAACGTGTCGATTACAAGCCCTTCTGCATTGAGGTCGAGGCCAAGGACAAGTTGATATATTTCGCCTTCCGTTCAGACGAAGAGGTGTACGGCTGGATGGAAGACATCTACTCGCGCTCCCCCCTCATGGGCGTCAGCCAACCCACCAACTTCGTTCATCAGGTGCATGTCGGCTTTGATCCAGTATCTGGAGGGTTCACTGTGCGTAACGGAGAGGCTGGAACGCAGCTGATTGTAGGGACTTCCGCCGCAGTGGTCCAAGTTGCTTACATCGTCCGCTATTACGAAGGAAGAGGCTGCCCGCCACCCAGAAGCTGTCCTTGACGTCCTTCAGTTCTACACGAATCAGCAAATGATGCAGTCTGATTATCCTCCGCCCTCCGCACAAATATCAGAGCGGCAACAACCCTCATCGGCGCCACGATTTGTCGATGGCACCGGATTCCGCATGCAACAGTCTAGCCAGCCGCAAACTACACCGAAAGAGGCACACCCAGCCCCGCCTTCGTATCCGAGGCAAATGGATGTTGCTCGCGACGAGGTGCGCGGTCGTCGTACTCGGGCTAACTTGCAGTCTAAGCAGCAGCCGAAACCTCAACTCTCCGCGGGTCGCGTGGCCCCTGCTCCACCCCGTCCCCCTGCTGCTCCATCCTCAAAGGCTACTGAACAGAAGGTGGCTCCATCTGTCGCGCCCAAGGCACCGTCCTCTCAACAGCGAAGCAAGCCCGCTGAGACGGGGTCAACTCCAGCCACGCCCACTGCGGCAGCGCCTGCCGCCTCTCGCCCAGCGGAGCGACGGATCAGCACAATGAACGAAGCTCAGATTATGGACAAACTGCGATCGGTGGTAAGCTCTGACGATCCGCACTCACTGTATGCCAAGATCAAGAAAGTGGGACAGGGGTGAGCCATCATCCCATTGCCTGTGCTGACCCACTGCGCCTCTGGCATGGTTTTTGTTGCCAGGACGCTGGCGACGAACAAGAAGGTGGCCATCAAGCAGATGGACCTCGCTCAACAGCCCCGCAAGGAACTGATCGTCAACGAGATTATCGTCATGAAAGAGTCTCAGCACCCCAACGTCGTCAACTTCTTAGAGGCATTTTTGGTGAAGAATACTGAGCTCTGGGTTGTCATGGAGTACATGGAGGGCGGCGCTCTCACGGACGTCATCGAGAACAATAAACTAGCAGAGGATCAGATTGCCTCGATTTGTCTGGAAGTGAGTCTCACACATAGAGTTTGGCGCGCATCTTTCCGCTAACAATCGCAGACTTGCCGCGGCCTGCAGCATCTGCATTCACGTTCCATTATTCATCGTGACATTAAGTCCGACAACCTTCTGATGAACGCCTTTGGCGAGGTCAAGATCAGTGAGCACCGCTAACGTAGTGCGAGTTGACATTTTTAGCCGACTTCGGGTTCTGTGCGAAACTCACTGACCAGAAGTCGAAGCGGGCGACTATGGTTGGAACCCCATACTGGATGGCACCGGAAGTTGTGAAACAGAAAGAGTACGGCCCGAAGGTGGATATCTGGTCGCTGGGCATTATGGCCATCGAGATGATCGAGAACGAGCCACCATATCTCGACGAAGAGCCCCTAAAGGCCCTCTACCTCATCGCTACCAATGGTACACCGACGCTCAAGCAGCCCGACAAGCTGAGCCAGGACTTGAAGCACTTCTTGAGCGTGTGTCTCTGTGTGGACGTTAATTTCCGCGCTACATCGACCGAGCTGCTCAAGGTGGATTGCTTTGCCATGCACACGCTGACATGCAGCACGATTTCCTGCGGCTGGCATGCCCGGTAAAGGATCTTGCACCGCTGTTGCGATTCCGTCAGGCACTGGGATAAGGGTGGGCACTGGGATAGGTGGATGGGGTGGAGGTCAACAATTCGTTGTGCCACAAAGTAATTCCGAAAACGCCGGTCTCTCCGCCATAGGTTTTCATGCACACCGATTGTCATATTCGTTCTTCACAAGTCACCATCGTTTTGCAGAAATCACCTGTAGACATGGTACGTCGAGAGTCTAACGCAGCTTTCACTGCACGGCCATCGTGCTGCCTGAGGCAACCTCGCATTGTGCGCAGCGATTGGTACTGACGATTCCTACAGCCCAAGGCCACTTCCACCAAAACTGCGGGCAAGGCCCTGCACAAGTTCTACGTCGACTACTCGGTCCCCGTGAACGACAATGTTTTCGACCCTGCCGCCTTCGAGAAGTTCCTTCACGACCGCATCAAGGTCGACGGCAAGCCCGGCCAGCTCGGTGACTCGATCCAGATCTCCAAGGAGGGTGAGTGTCTTGTACATCCAATCTTAAGTCTGCAGGGATGTCTTTTGATCGTGGCTGACATGCCCCAGCCAACAAGCTGGTTCTCACCTCGCAGATCCCCTTCTCGAAGCGCTACCTGAAGGCAAGTGCGATCGTCAGCACAACTGACCCTGCCAGTATCTCACGAAGAAGCACCTCAAGAAGAACTCGTTCGAGAACTTCCTCCGGTTAGTGCCTCCTGCCGTCGCAGCTAACAAATTTTAGTGTTGTGGCGACTTCTAAGGACACTTACTCGCTTCGTTACTTCAAGGTCGACCAGAATGAGGCGGACGACGAAGAGTAGATGTCTTAGACGTTGTTCCATCACGTACTCGACTAGTTGAGACTCATATGGAGCCGTTCGCATGTTGCATCTCCCTCTTCCACCGCAGTCTGCACGGCAATGTAAAGAATTTGGCGATCACCCAAATATTTCGTCCTTCGTTGAAAGAGTTTGGTGTTGAGACAGGATCCGCACATGCGGGGCACCACATCGTTGCTTCGCTGGCTTTGTGCTCGATCTGCTCTTTGTCCTGTGCCTCCACACTTCGTCATCGACCACTCGCCACCCATTGCCGCAGACTTTTCGCGCGCTCATTGGGGGTATTCATAAGCTTAGAAGTCCTCATCTGCCCCTCCATATCCATTGTCACTTCAGTTAACAAACCGTCGCCTTGCCGAATGTCTATCACGGACACAGACACCCTTGTAGCGAACATTATGGCCCAGGCCGTGAAGGACACAATCCGACGCCTCGAAGTCATCGTAGCCACTTACACGGACAGTGAGTTCTCTGTTCTTGAACAGTTAGTTGATGGACGCAGCGTCTTCCGATTCCGCTCGAACCAGCGGCAGCAACAAAACCGATGACAGCCGTGACGCAACGCGCCACCTTAGGGCGTGGTTTAAGAACAACCTCGACCATCCTTATCCTTCTCTGTCCCTCCGACAGCGCTTCGCATCGGAATTAGGTGTTCCCGTCCGCAATATCAACGCTCAGTTCACGAATTGGCGCCGTCGAACCGGCTGGTCTCATATCAGGAAGGCGTGGGCGGGCAACTCGCATCAAGGGATGGTTTTGCTCCTATCGCGATACGCATCCGGAGAAGAAGCGCGGCCTGATGTGCGGGCAGCTATCCGCCGCATGGCTGAGTACCTCGAGGAGGATCCTGCCAGGCAGTGGATCGGGTCTGTGGGTTGTTGCTGGCTCTCCCTGGCTAACGTGGTGTAGATCCTATCGACCCGGGCGGAGGGGCTTTCCTCTCCTACCTCCAGGTCTTCAAGTCTGACACTTGTCTCTTATCAACTCGGAACCCCGCGTTTCTCGACTCGATCCCCATCACTCGACTCTTCGGCCGACGTAGCTCGGCACGCCGCCGATACCGAAGTCGTTGTGGATCACCGATCCTTCGTCTCGGTTTCTCAATCGGAAGCAGAACATACACCAGGTTCACTCACACAACCGACCCGCAAGCGCCGCCGCTCCATCCCACCGACTGACAGTGAACTGAGAATTACACGAAAGCGCATCACTCCCGTCCCTCTCAGGGCGAAGAACTCGTGAATGAGGCTGATGCAAGAACAGTAAGTTCACGGCTTGCGTGGTCAGTTGGCCGGGCGGCTTCACCCTGGTCTCGAGAAGAGGCAGCTAGCAGTCGGGCGTTCTTGCACACATGATAGTCAACTGCACGTTCACCTAACTATCTCGACGCTATGTACAATCCGATCCTGGTTGTGCAGGTAGCATCTCTGAGACCTGTCCGACCGTCACAAGCCATGCGTTGGCGTATCTCCTGCACTAATGATCCCACTCTCTCTTTGTTGTAGATGGGGAGAAGAAAACATGACGCTGTAATAGCTGTAATAGCATCCGTCGCACATTAGACGGAATGAGCGCATGCCATGGCCTTGCTACACCTGCAGCTGGTTAACATTTGCCAAACGTCGGCGAATCTCCGGAACTAGGTGTGAACAGACTGCGCAGTGTCTGAATCGTAGAGTACGCGCCGACGACAATGCCAAAGGCTAAAAGGAGATAGTCCAAGGCTTTGGCCGCCCGTGTCGTGGCACAACCTCGCAAATGCAGCATTGGAGGGTAGATGAAGCAGAGAGGAAGACTAGGGTTAGCCAGATACATGCCAGCGCAGAACAGGATAATTGCACTTACCATGCAAACGCGCCAACCAAGGAGACGAACTTGTCCAGCTCGGACGAACCAGCCCACGAGAGGAGAGAGCAGAACAGGACCGTTCCAGCACGGAAGACATTCTTCTGCCACTTGACACGGCGGTTGTGTTTGCCGCTGCGGGAGAAGAGGCCAGTTTCCATAATGCGAACAGCTGGGAACAGCTGCAGGGGGATTGAAAGGAGGATAGCGATGGAGTCTGGACGTCAGCCCGCGACGGCCTCCTAGATGTACACAGGAACTGAGAGCCTTGGACAAACTTCTCATCTTGGGGCAGGTTGACCAGGACGACTGTCTGAACATCGCTGCCATACGCCGCGTATCCGAGAATACCGAATGCAGAGAAGAGGACGGCCACGAAGAGCATAACTCCTGAGAGCGCACGGGGGAATTTCTGAGGCTCTTTCATCGTCTCTGTGATAGGGATCACCCTGTAGTCAGCAGCCTGGCCGGCAGAACACTAACAATCCGATCCCTTCGAACGCGAACACTGCCGTTCCAATGAGGAGTGGGAAGCTATCGCGGTTGAACAAAAGTACGTCCGGTGCCACTCCGTTGTGGGCAATGGTGCCCACCTCGCAGGACGCGATGTAAATTAGGCCCACCAGGATGAAGGCATCGGCGACGAGGGCGGTGCCAGAGAGCTTGGCCAGGTTGCGGATCATGGCGAGAGGGAGGAACAAGAAAAGCTGGGCGAAGATCAGTGTGGAAGTGGAGACATCCGTCTTGCAATCTGTCACGGCGAGAATGAAGGCCCTCAGATTTTCCGCGATGAAGATGGTGTAGGCTGGGGTCAGATTGGTCGGAGTGCGACTAGTCACCTGCCACAAAGCCAATTTGGGAAACCGTGATCGAGAACAGGATAGTGATGCGAAGCCAGTTACCGTACAACTGCCCTCCGATGTCTACGGCGTCAGCATGGGATGCACACTTACGTACCTCCAAAGGAGCCCGGCACCTTCATCCAAGTCTGGACGAGCAGAAGGAATGACCACAATGATATGGCAGCAATGGCTAGGAGCACGATGGTCGAGAACAGAATGCCTGACGTTAGCAGAGAGAGGAACAACTGGCTCACCGCCATTGAAAAAGGCCTTGCCCATGAAAAGAACGCCCGTCCCCACGAAGCCTTTGAGCAACTGATAGATTAGCCCATGCTTTGTCGGTTGTAACTCACCATGAGCACGGCCTGGGTGACACTAGCCGTTCCTTGATTGTGCACACTCTTGGAACGCTTGCGAGACTTGCTCATGCTCCGCTGAAGAAGAGGGGTGCGCTCGGTCGCGGGGCCTGCGCGGGAAGAAGAAGGGCTTCGGCCTTCCTCCGCGTCGGCATGCTCATCATCGTCGTCAACATCCTCGTCCTCGTCCAAGTCTTCACCGGCCTGGCGGTCAGCAATGTAAATGGAGCGCTCAAGCTCACGAAGTGACCGTAAAGGAAAAGAAAGTCAACAACGTTGCGGATCATTGGCGGCTCGTCCTCGCCCCGCTCTTGGGCACGGGTAGATAGGAAGTTGCGCCGGAAGCCACCTGGTTCCTTCATCTGGGTGATAGCGGGGTCAATGATACCCGAGCGATCCGCATGCGAGAACGATGCAGCACGGCTGGGACGACGCGGTCTAGCACCTTGCTGCCATTTGTACAGGTCGTGGCTGAGGTCAGCTTTGTTCACCTGGACGACATACGTCACGTCACCTCCCGGCGCGTCGTACGGGATGGGGAATGGGTCTTCCTGCACGTCGATCGCTGAAGTATCACCTGCCTGGCTACCGTCGACTGGAGTGCCATCGTTGCCTGGGGTAGCGACCTTGGATCCCCCACGTTCCTCGGCAGACACCAGGTGACGGCGGAGAACGCGAGCCTTCTCCTCGTCTGGAACTTCCGCCAAGTTGGAGAAGGCAGACTCGTCTGCGCGGAGGGGAGTAGCAGAACCGCTGGCTGGTTCAGGGGTGGCGTCATCTCTACCGCCTTCTGATTTACCCAAGGCGGCAGTGAGAGCCGACTTTGTCTGCGATGTCGAGGCGACTGCGGCCTTTGCGCCGAGATCAGTATCGGAGCGCGGGGGCGGGGTCGCGGTGCGTTCGAGTCCGCTGTCACGGCCGACGGATCGAGCAGGTTGGAAGGAGCCAGAAGCTATACCACGGGGAGGGATCTGGCCCAGTCGAGGGGTGCCGGAACGGGATGTGACAGACGATATGGGTCTAGGGGGACTAGAAGGTGTGCGGCCATCTGGGGGAATGGACCTCGCACTTGACATGGCGATGGCGGGGGGAGGAGGAGTGTGTCAAAGTCCCAGGTGGGGAAAGCGGGTTGAGGAGAGAGTATGAGTAACGGAGAGGAAGAGGTGGATGCTCTCGATCAAGTCATCCGTCATCTGTCCTAATGGAGCGAGAGCGCTGTGGCGTCGGCCCAGTCCAGTCCCGGCGCCACGTGACATCCCCACTCGGCCCTCACCGATGGAACCGTATTCCTGCACCTCCACTTGCGGGACCAACCAGGATCATCCTGGATCCTGATCCATCATCCGCATGTCCCATCCTGCAGAGGATGTAGTCACAGGTCACAGGTCACAGAAGCTTGCCTATGGTGTATGAAGAAGCAAGTAGCCAAGTACGATTTATACGAATATACAGACGGAGTGAAGCGAGTCGAGCTGAAATTGGCACGGCTGGCGGCGCCCTGTGTGCCGAAGATCATGGCGATCGACATCAGGGTAGAAGACACCCACGTTTGTCTGGTTGGTGGCGGTGCTGAGGCGTTGCCCAATTGCGCAACTAATAATCAGTTCCCCGGCAGCCTGTGCTGTTGATGCTGATGCGGTGACGAGCAACGGCCCACAGCCAGCAAAGAATGATATCGGACACCAATGTAGCTGGCTTGCAGTGGTGACTAGTGCGGCGTAATCTCATTGGAGTGCAGGCGCAACACACACGGGATCGAGGGATCGACAGAAAGCAGCCGCGCAAGCAGCCGTGCAGATAGCCGGGGGGCTCATTAGCGATATCAACAGCTGAGCAGTGAGGGGCCGAATTGCAAGATGGCTGCTGGATTTGCAGCAGAAGGCCAAGATCGTAGTATGGTCACATAACGTGATAGGAGGTAAGCGGGAGTGGCTCATGCTCACTCCTCGCTGACGTCTTCTTTCCACGAACCTTTGACGCCATGGCCGCATGTCCCAGTTGGTCCATAACTCGGTTCTTGTCGGCGCTCTCGGTGTCTCCGCATTACGCCAGATCTGCACGTCTGCACTCGCCGTTCTTGCCGCCGCTCGACATGCCGATGAGCAGAGTGCTATGAGGTCATCGTTTTGGGACATCGGGCGAATTGCGGCGAACGCGTCAGAGATCGTGGAACTAGATACCGCATGGCGCGCGTGGGGACTCCTGGCTCGTAATTAGTTGGTCTAACTGCTAGCTGCCAGCTGCTAGATAATTCAGAACTGAGCAGGCTTGTCGCTCAAAGATCAAAGATATAATAATTGCAGACTACACCAAGTTTTGCATAACAAGATACGCGTAAAACAGCAGGCTCCGAGCAAGCCCGTGCGGGTGCTCGCCGCCTCTCCGGGCCTCCAGACCTCATCCCGGCTGTGCATTGAATGCAATACACGTTGATAATAAAACTGGCGGCGACCCATGCCCCACGTAACCCCACTAAGTGCCCCATGGAGTGCATCCGGATCCTGGGCAGCTTGGGCAGGATGAAGAGCATCACTGGATCACAGGGCGCTGCACCTCTGGGGCCCAAGCCTCGCACACCTCGGGGCTCGGGGGCCAGCCACTACTCAGGGGTACAGAATCAAAGTGATGGAGTCGGCCCTGATCGCATGGACCGTCTAAAGCCGTCGCACGCGAGCTTTGCACTGCCGATTCCCCTGTCTGACCCCTGGCATACCTGGGTTAGAACTTGCATGCCCCGTCCGCGCCATAGCTGCATGGGTTTCCGTCCCCCGACGCTCTATACTGGGTGGCGACTCGGAACAACTTGACCAAGCCTTTATCCCGCCCTCTTGCGTGAATGTGCGATGACGGATGGCGGGCATGGAAGGGGCGTGCTGGTGAGGCATGCGCATGTTGAGTGGGGATCGTCGGGAGAGGAGTGGAGTGTTTTGTCGATAGTCCATGGATAAAACGGAATGATAAGCCCGCTGGTTAAACCGCCTGGCCGCCTGAGGAAGCTGCATGAATGCTGGGCGGCAGGCATGCATGGACTGCTTAGATGACGTCTAGACGTAGGGCAAAGGAAAGCACAGTCATCGAGGGCGGCTAGGCTATACAGTAGGCTAGTCAGTGGCGGGGTGGCGAGGTGGCGAGGTGGCGAGGACGAGTGTGATGCCAGTCAACCCGAGTGACCGGGTGGCGCGAGCGATGATGAACTACGATGGGGAACGGGGAGATGGAAGAGATGGGGGGGCGTGCCCGACCTGATCCGTATCAGAATGTCTCAAATCGATCAAATCGTCACCGCATGCACCCAGAGCTCGCGCAGCTTGAGCTCTGCTTCGCTTCTTCCCTTCCCCCTGGAGAGTAAGCCAGCGCCACCCAAAGGTCAATTTCTCAATTCGCAATCCACACAATCCACACACTCACTCAACGGAGCTACGGAAGTGTACGGCGGCTGCACGGCTGACGGCTGACGGCCGGCGGCCTATCGCCTATGCGCCAAAGGGCCACGGGCCACGGGGGGCGACTGTCCGGTGAATTCAGGGTCAAACCACTGGGTCGTGAAAAATTTGCCTCCGTCTTTGACAGTGTCGAGGCAGCGGGCCAACCAGCGCGCGCCAAAGGCGGGCGCAAGGGGAGGAGCTTACTTAAAGTGGCGACGCTCCACCCCTCGCCCCCTCTCTTTCTCTTCTCCATCCAATCCCCCCCTCCCTCCTCTCTTCATCCATCTCCCTTCCTCCTCTCCCCCTCTTACTCTCTTCTCCGCCCATTCTCCAAAACAGCAGTCTCTTTCTGCTTCAATCAACTCAACACGTCTAAGAGAAACGTTCTTTCTTTGTCGTCGCCGTCACAGCACACGCACTAGGCGTTGAAAAGCTTTCGAGCACAAAAAATATTCCCATCCATCTCACTTCCACCCCCTCCCTTCTAACAGCTAGGTGAGTCGACAACCTCCCCCCCCCTCCCCTCCCCCTTTTCTCGGCCTACTCGACATCCTTATACTCGCACCATTCGCGCTCTGCATGCTGCATCATGGGCTGACATGTAGTATCCAATGATGGCGCCTGCTGCTCAGTCCGCATCCGCTCCCGCCAAGGGCAAGTTCGACGTTCAGTCGCTCTTCGCCGCCGACAAGGCCGCCCGCGACCAGGCTGGCTCTGACTTTGCCACCTTTGTCAAGGCCAACGGTGTCGAGTCGCTTGCCTCGGTTTCCTACGTTGACGCTGCCAAGAAGGTATGTCGGATTGGTGGCTTAACACTCTTAGACCCTGTTTACTAACCCCGTTCTAGGCCCTCGGCAACAAGAAGTCGGCCGCCGCTCGTGAGGGCGCTGCCGCCTCCGTTTCTGCCCTCATTGAGGGTGGGGCTATGCAGTTCCTCGAGCCCTACATCGTCAACGGCTCTGACGACGGCCTTCTCGCCACCCTCCTCGCCGGCGTCGCCGACAAGGAGAAGCCCGTCGCCGAGGCCTGCGAGGCCGCCCTCAAGTCCGTTGTTCAGAACATGAACCCATGGGGTACTCAGGTCATCCTCCCCCTTATCACCGACCGTGTCGAGAAGTCGGGCAAGTGGCAGGAGAAGAAGATGGGCTTCAGCCTCATCTCGACTCTCACTACCGCTGCCGCCACCCAGATGGCCCTCGCGACCCCCATCCTTGTTCCTGTGCTCGCCAACGGCGTCCACGACACCAAGGACAAGGTCGCCAAGGCCGCTACCAAGGCCCTCGACAAGGTCTGCAAGCTTTGTGAGAACCCCGACATTATCCGGTTCATCCCGGAGCTTAAGAAGGCCCTGATCAACCCCGTGGAGGAGGTCCCCAACGCCGTCAAGGCTCTTGGCGCCACCACTTTCGTTGCCGAGGTGACGGCCCCCACCATCTCGCTTCTTGCTCCCCTTCTCGTTCGTGGCCTCGACGAGCGCGCGACCGCCATCAAGCGCAAGGTCTCGCTCATTGCCGACAACATGTCGAAGCTTGTCGACTCGGAGTACACCGTCCGCCCCTTCCTCCCCCAGCTGCTCCCCCGCCTTATCAAGGTTCAGGACACCATTGGTGACCCGGAGGCCCGCGCTGTCGCTGGCCGTGCTATCGCCACCCTCCGCCGCATCGGCAAGGTCCCCGCCGAGTCGGACGGTACCGACCTCCCTCCCCTCCGTGTTGCCGAGGGCCCCGCTCTCGCTGCCGAGCTCGCCGGCTTCATCAAGAAGCTCGGCGGCCCCGAGGTTGACCCCGCCCACCACGGTCTTGCCCAGGCCGGTGTCTACGCTGCTGCGATCTGCAACGCCCACATCTACGACCAGAAGACTTGGGAGGCTGGTGTTCCTCCCCAGGCCAAGCTTTCCGTTGGTGACTACGACGTTCTCCCGGCCGTTCGTGAGCTTCTCCAGAAGAAGGCGGACGAGGAGACGACCGACGACATCAAGTTCGACGACGAGGAGGAGGGCGAGGACCTCTGCAACATTGAGCAGTTCAACCTTGCCTACGGTGCCAAGATTCTTCTCCACCACGCGTCCATGCGCCTCAAGCGTGGCCACCGCTACGGTCTCCTCGGCCGTAACGGTTCCGGAAAGTCGACCCTCATGAACGCCATTGTCAACAACCAGGTTGAGGGCTTCCCCGACCCGTCGGTCGTCCGCACCTGGTATGTCGCCCACGACATTGACGGCTCCGAGGAGACCATCTCCATTATCGACTGGGTCAAGGCCGACCCCCGCCTCTCGGCTGTCGCCACTGAGGCGGAGATGGTCTCGACCCTCGAGTCTGTCGGGTTCGACCCTAAGCGTCAGAGCGAGGCCATCGGTTCGCTTTCGGGCGGTTGGAAGATGAAGCTCGCCCTTGCCCGTGCCATCATCTTCAAGGCCGACATTCTCCTTCTGGACGAGCCCACCAACCACCTGGACGTCGTCAACATCACCTGGCTCGTGGACTACCTCACGTCGCTCACGAACTGCACGTCTATCATGGTCTCTCACGACTCGGACTTCCTTAACCGCACTATCACCGACACCCTTCACCTTAACAACTTCAAGCTCAAGCGCTACCCTGGCAACCTTGAGAAGTTCGTTGAGCACGTTCCTGAGGCCCGCTCCTACTTCCAGCTCGACGTGGCGGAGGACTACCAGTTCAAGCTTCCCGCCCCTCCTCTTCTTGACGGTGTCAAGACCAAGGAGAAGTCGCTCCTCAAGATGAAGGACGTTTCGTTCCAGTACCCTGGCTCGAAGGTCCAGCAGCTCTACAACATCAACCTGCAGGTGTCGCTCTCCTCTCGTGTCGCCGTGCTCGGCCCCAACGGTTCGGGCAAGTCCACCCTCGTCAAGCTCCTCACCGGTGAGACCGAGCCCAACCTCGGCGGCACCGTGTGGAAGCACCCCAACCTCGTTATTGGTTACGTTGCCCAGCACGCGTTCCACCACATTGACCACCACCTCGACAAGACTCCCCTCGAGTACATGCTCTGGCGCTACCAGACCGGTGAGGACCTCGAGGAGCTCAACAAGGCCACTCGTGTTCTCTCCGAGGAGGAGAAGAAGAAGATGGCTGAGGGTGCCGTCGTTGTCAAGGAGGGCGTGAAGCGCACCATTGACGAGCTCGTTGCCCGTAAGAAGCTCAAGCAGTCTTACGAGTACGAGGTTTCGTTCAAGGGTCAGTCTTCGGCCGAGAACATTTGGATGTCGCGTGACGAGCTCATCTCGCGTGGCTTCGAGAAGAAGGTTCTCGAGCTCGACACCCGTGAGGCCCAGCGCCTGGGTCTTATGCGCCCCCTTGTCCGTCGTGAGATCGAGAAGCACTTCGAGGACTTCGGCCTCGAGGCTGAGTTCGTCACTCACAACTCGATGCGTGGTCTGTCTGGTGGCCAGAAGGTCAAGGTTGTCCTTGGTGCCGCCACCTGGCGCCGCCCCCACATTATCTGCTTGGACGAGCCCACCAACTACCTCGACCGCGAGTCGCTCGCCGCTCTCACCGCCGCCCTCAAGAACTTCGAGGGTGGTGTCCTTGTCATTACCCACAACAAGGAGTTCTCGGAGGGTGTCTGCTCTGAGGTTTGGGCCATGAGCAACGGTCAGCTCGTCGCGTCCGGCCACAACTGGGTCGAGGGCCAGGGCTCGGGTCCCCGCATCGACAAGAAGGAGGGCGAGGACGAGGAGATCGAGTACGACGCTCTCGGCAACCCTATCGTCAAGGCCAAGAAGGTACAGAAGATTTCGAGCGCAGAAGCTCGTCGCCTCAAGAAGCTCCGCATGGCCAAGCGCAAGGCTGGGCTTCCCAGCGACGACGAGGAGTTCTAAGCTGTTCAACAGCTCGGCCTCTTGGCTGCGTGTAGACCTGCTTCCGATTCCTTCTGTACTCTTAGACCGGTAGACTCATGGGGACTGTCATTGTGATAATTAGTCGCTCCCTATGCACAGACTCTCTTTGCACGTTGGCACAATTTTTGTGTAGCTGCAGCTTCCTTGCCTTGAGAGGAGACGTACGTACTTACACGTCTGAATTTAAAGCTGTTGCGGACCCTGGGGTCTGACAATATGAATATTCGCCACCAAGTGGGTCTCACACGCAACCTTCCGATGCACTACCGCTCATCCCATAGTACTCCAGCGCGTATATGAACGTTGATAGCAGCGTCTGCACACCGGCTGGCGATCTCGTGGCGACAGCCGGGCAGGTTCATAGCTCTGAATGCGCCTTCGAGCCTGACCGCCCTCACTGCCCAGTAAGGTCATGAGTGTCGAGCCACTCTGCGTCTGCCACTCCGCCGCCACCCCATGCGGAATCGTACTACATCGCGCCTGCCGGATCGGGCTCGCTGTCTCACGGGAGAGCGCTCAATTCTCGTTCACATGCGCTGCATCGCAGCACAGGGTGTACTCAGGATTCCGACACGGAGGGGCACAGCAGAGTCGCATCTGTGTTTTGACACGCCCGTCGTCGCCCGCATCCCCGACCACACAGCAGCCGGAAGCGGGGTGCATGACGCGGGCTCGGAGGGGCTTGACGTGGCTGACTTCCCACTTCCCACAGCGTGGCAAAGGCTCGATATTTCGGCGCTCCAGTGCCACGGGCGCAGATCCGGGTGGTTCGTGCTCTGGGTTTGGGATCTTTGGAGATCTATAGTGAAGTACGTAGGCTGGGGTGATGGTGTATGGCTAAAGACGAGGACTTTGAAGACGAGGACTTTAAAGACGAGGACTGGTAGCTGGAGGCTTGACCAGGAAACAGCTGGGAGAGCTTGGTGGCTCTTGTTTTGAGCTGTCGTCGTGTAACTGGTCGTCACTGCTGCAGCATGCAGACCTGTTTTGTGTTGGGGTTGCCATTTACTGCAACAGTCCTGCTTCATTCCCTTCGAGTCTTCAGAATTCTAGACTGAGACTGGAGAGAACCAAATCAGAGTGTGGCGGAGGGCGAAGGGGTTGAGGGTATGCAGTGCCACCAACGACGATCACAGAGGGAAGGCTTGTGCGGATGGGCACACGCCATCGTTATTACGCTGCGCACTAGCTCCGGCTTGGAGACAACACTAACGCGAACGGCGCTGGCAGGCAGCGGCTGTGAATTGCTCAGTCGCCCCTATCAACATGACTCCCATGTGGACAGGCCGGCTACCACACATCGACACAGAGATAAAATAGATAATGCATGTCGAGGCGAACACTTTTGGTGCTTCAGATCATGTACCAACTAGGGCTTGAGACGCTTGGGGTCGCGGGGGAAGAGCGAGGCGCGACGGATGTTGCCGAGACCCAGGTAGAACATCAGCACGCGCTCCAGACCGATACCGCCGCCGGCGTGGGGCGGGCAGCCCAGGCGGAAGGCGTCAATGTAGTCCTTGAGCTCGTCGGGGTTCATGCCGAGCTCCTTGATGCGCTGCGTGAGGAACTCGGGGTCATGGATACGCTGAGCTCCGGAAAGGATCTCTGGAGGTCAGCCGTAGAACGTGAAAAGAAAACTGACCTTCTCCACGCATGTAGATGTCGTATGAGTTGACGGTCGACGGGTTACCAGGCGTGGGCATTGAGTAGAACTAAGGTCAGCCAAGCACAGCGGTCAAGTTTACGGGGCGGAAGTCGGCCGGGAACTTGTCGACAATGTAGTAGTCGGCGCCGTTGTACTTCTCCTTGACAAGCTTGCCGAGGAACTTCTCGTTCTCAGTGCTCAGGTCGGCGTCGTCCTTGAGCGGGGAGCCGTCCGACTCAGTGGCGCCAGCGTCCTGAAGCATCTTGACAGCGTCCTTGAACTCAATAATCGGCGTCTTGTCAAGCACGACAAAGTCCTCGCTGGGGAACTGGCGGCGGATCACCTCAATCTCCTTGGCAAACTTGCCCTTGAGGCCGCGGAAGATGGCCTTGAGCATTGAGTCAATGACCTCGAGCGCCTCGTGGTAGTGCTCGGTGATGGCCATCTCGAGATCAAGACCCATGAACTCCGTCATGTGGCGGTGAGTGTTGGAGTTCTCGGCACGGAACACGGGCGCAATCTCGTACACGCGCTCCATGTCGGCGGCAATGCACATCTGTTTGGCGAGCTGGGGCGACTGAGCAAGGAACGCCTCACCGTCGAAGTACTTGACCTTGAAGACGGAAGCGCCCGACTCGGTCGCAGCGCCCTGCAACTTGGGCGTGTGGATCTCGATGAAGCCCAGGCCATTGAGGTGATCGCGGAAGAGCTGGCAAATGCCAGACTGCATGCGGAAAATCGCCTGGTTCGCGGGCGTGCGCAGGTCCATGACACGGTTGTCAAGACGGGTGGTAAGGTTGACGCGCGAATACTGGAGGTTCTCGTCCTGCTCGGCCTACTGTCAGTCAAGCACGACGAGTCTACACACCTTCTGGAAGTCGGCCTCGTCACGCGACGCATCCGCCATGGAGAAGGGCAGGGTCTGCGCCTCAACAGCAGTGTACAGCTTCTGCACAGAGACCTCGTACGTCTGGATCGTGCACGACTTGACCTCGGCCGCCTTGATCACACCCTCAACAGTGACGATCGACTCAGCCTTTTGTCAGCTCAGCGATCCACACGGAATCGCTTACGGGAATGGTGGTCGCGTACTTGAGCATCTGCTTCGAAACCTGGTGCTCATCGCTGTCCTTGGACTGAACCAGCACGCCCTGGAGAGTCTCGGTCTGCTGGCGGAACTGAAGGAAAACCATCTTTGCGCCTGCTTTCAGCAACTTCACTTGCACAACTCGACGTACCCTGTGCGCGAGTGTTGTGCATGCGCGCACGGAACACCACCTGTTTGCCGATGTCGGCGTCCGAGAGCTTCTCAAACTGAAGGTACTCGCGGCCTGGCAGTCAGACGCACCGCGCTTTCAATACTCACCGAGACGCTCCTGCGACTGGTGCAGTGGCAGCTTGCCATAGTTCTGCGAGGCATTGTCGACGGCGGCAGCTGCTTCGCGTCTCTGGCGCTCCTCCTCTTCGCGGGCGGCCCGCTCAGCAGCCTTTCTGGCCTTCTCGGCTTCCTTGGCGCGCTTCTTGAGCTCCGACTTGCTGGGGCCAGCAGGCGCGCCCTCGGCGGGGGCCGCGGCGGGAGGCTGGGCGGGGTTCTGGGGCTGATCAGACATGGTGAATGATGCGTTTGAGGAGTTTCCATGTCCTCCACTTTGCGAGTCAGGGATCCTTTTGCTACATTTCGTTCGATGACGGTGTCATAATACTATTGCATTACTATTTTAATTAGCCACTGGGGCTGATTACATTCTGGGAACACCTAGCAGTCAGTGGCCAGGACGTGAGTGCAGCACTCAAGACGCATGCACTCATATGCAATAGTCAACCACAAATGCGAGAGAAGGATACAACATGCCGGCATATGCCGAGTCGAGTCAAGACTGGTCTGGTTGAGTCGCGCTGTCGAGTCGAGCTTGCGTCCTTATCACCTGTGACGTTAGAGCGTTAGGCTGCCTCATGGATGGGGAAGCCACGCTGCCCGCCGCGCCTCCTCCTCGGGCGAGAGCTTCCACGCTGTCCACTCTAACCTCTGACCTGACGGCTCTCGCGTGGGATCGGGAGCAGGGCGTCCATGGGCTCGCGCGCGGTGTGCGTGGAGGGCCTGGAGAGAGGGGTGCAGGTGGGGGCGTTCTGTCGTAAGACTACTACTACTCCTCAGCATCGCACCGTCAATGAGACACAGGAAGATACCCATGCTCCCGTCAGCCCCGCCACTCGAGGAGCTTACCGCGTGGGATCCGACTCCTTGCCAAGCGCGTGGGCAATGTCCGTTGACGTCGTAAGGCCTGTATCAGTTCGTGTGGCGCTGTCCTCTCACGGTCAGGCAGCATCTGCTGACGTGGGAGCTCGTGCGGGGGAGCCCATGCCTTGAGAGCAGTTGGCGGCTCAGGGGACGCCATCTGCACATCGCCAGACATAGTGAGAGTGTCAACGCTCAAATTCAGCTCAAGGTTGCTCGGAGACGACAGTCGTTCGCCTGACGTTCACACCGGAAGCAACTGTCATAACGCGGAACGCTCGATCTCATCCCAGACCAAGGACCTAGGCGCTCGCTAAACGCACACATCGCTATGATATGAATGCCGGATCGCATAGCCCCGTGGGGCGAGAGAGACTACCACGCTGTACACTCCTCTACAACCATCCCGGATGTTTAACGGAGGCGGCTGAATATCAGTAACAATTACTGGAGACCGCTGTTGCCGATTACTCACCGGGCCTCACGCTCCGACTCGAGGAGGGCGAGGATGTCGTTGACACGGACGGGGCCCTTGACGTTGCGGATGATGGAGCGCGAAGTGTCGTCCATGAACTCGACGCGAACCTGGGTGACACCACCACGCGAGCCAGTGCGGCCGAGGACCTGCAGGGGAAACGCAAAATTCGATTTGTAGTCGAGTGCGCGAATGATGCAGCGGAGAGCAGTCGGGATGCGAGTAATAGGAAGGGGAGGTGGGGGGATATAGCGCGTGCGAAGAAAATCGAGGCCAAACAAGCATGAGGTCAGCATTCACTCCCAGCTGGACAGTGACCCAGTCTCTCGCCAGACCCCCACATCTAACTCTTCTTTGCACCCCGCTCGCGTATAGATCGTTTCGCTCATACGCGTACGAGCGCGCGAGATTCGGGGTCGGTGTGGTTTCAAGCGCTTGCGCCTAGTGTCGCACCGAGCTCCTCCGCACCCCTGCGCGCGCAATCTTTGCACGTCCGCACGACACTGCGCATCCGCGACAACGAACACTCCGAAGCGCACCCGCATGCTCCAGCCTTCTCGTCCGCTGCGCGCAGCGTCCTGCGCAGGTCCACCCCCTCCCCTCTCTACTCCATCCACATCCTTTCCCCATCGGCGCGAGAGACGGGGTCACGGTGAAGCGACGCACCTTGAGGACACGTGCGAGCTTGACGGGGGTCTTGCTGGACTCCTGTTGACGTTAGCTACGCCCTCGCGGTTGCAAGCGGGGTGCTCACCATTTTGAGGTTGCTGGTTGAAGGGAAGCGCTGCCGAGTCTCGTCGTCCATCCAACGACCCCTCCAGCCAGCCAGGTGGCAAGACCGCACCTTCCCGATCGGGAAGTCCAGCAGGTCGGGGTTAACGAAAAGCTTAGCGACAATATCGATAGATGACACATCATTCTGTGATTTAAGCCTCGGCCTCCTGATTCGACACGTGGCAAATCGCTTTTGTGCCTGATTCGCGTCGCGGGTTGTTATTGTGAGACATGCCGGGTTCAGGGGAAAGCACGCTTCGTGAAGCTCGGTGACCTCAACCACTCCACCCTCACCACACAACCACTCTTCTCATCATCTCGCCCACGTCGATCTTCTGTATTCTCCTACATCCTCCCTTAATATGGCTCCTCGTCGCACCAAGAGGCGCGTTCAAGAGGTCTCTGATGATGAGGAGGTCGAGGGACACTCGCCAGTGAAGCGGAGGGCGGCCATTGCCACCGTGAACGACGATCGGTCGCCGTCACCAATGTTAAGCCATGCCAAAGGCCAGGAGCGCGCAATTGTTCCTGACAGCGACGAGGAGCCTGTCAGCGAAGAAGAGAAGGCTGTCGTACTGCAGGCTTATCGCCCAGCGCTAGAACGCGGCGAAGACGGGTGAGGGACCATCACCGACCCTCAGCCAGCTGACTCCAGGTATATCGCCGGCTCCATTGTGCGCGTGAAGATCACTGGCTTCATGACCTACGACAATGTAGAGTTCCGCCCAGGTCCCCATCTCAACATGATCCTTGGTCCCAATGGGACAGGCAAGAGCTCCATTGCCGCCGCCATCGCCATCGGTCTTGGTTTCCACCCCAAGGTGTGTCTGCGCTATCCACAATGGGGGATGAAAGCCCGACACCGGCACAATTAACGGCAGGTGATGGGACGAGCGCACGATGTGCGCTCATACGTTAAGCAGGGTACCGAGGTGGCTACGGTCGAGATCGAGCTCAAGGGTCGTCGACGCAGTGGCAATCCCATTGTCTGGCGCAGATTTGGGCGTGACTCGGACAAGTCGGAGTGGATGCTTAACAGGAAGCCGTCCACGCGCAAGGCCATTCAGAATTTGATCCAGAGCTTTGGGGTTCAAGCTGACAACCTCTGGTACGCCTCAGAGGTGAATGATGATGCTGACTGTCAGCTCTTTCCTCCCGCAGGATAAAGTAGCAGACTTCGCCAAGATGAACCCGGTAACAGTTCTGAAGGAGACGATGCGCGCGGCGGGTGACCCAAATCTGTCGCAGTGGCACGACGACCTCGTTGCGAACGGCATGGCGGCTAAGGAAGTTGAAACAGTGCGATGTCTGCCGCGACTCTCGCTGACACAAGTCTCTCACATCAAAGACCCAAAAGCGCGACACTCTTCGCCGGCAAGTGGACGAGCTAGAGCCGGATGTCCGCAACTACGAGCGCCAACAGGAGTTGAAGAAGCAGGTGGGTGATATGGTGCAACGCAGTGCTGATCTGTAAGCTTCACATTGCTGCAGTGGAAGTGGAAGCCGCACGCTGGAGGGTCTTCAGCGCCCAAGCTCAGCAGCACAAGAAGGCTGCAGTGAAGGTTAAGGAGAAGATGAAGCGGCTACACGAAAAGCAGGCACCCCTTCGTGAACTTCAAGAGTGCGCATCGGGCACAGTCTGTAGCTGACAGTAGCGCACAGGTTGGGAAGGAGGCGAAGGCCAAGCGCAATCATGACCGAAATCAAGATGACTTGAGGAGAGTGGACGTGGAATCTGAGCGCGCCTCCCGCTCACACCGCACAGCAGTGAGCGAAAGTTTGAAATGTCACTGACTATGTGCAGCTGCGTCAAGCAGATGAGTTTGTCTCCCAGCTCGACGCTGTCAACGAAAACGCGAGGAAGATTCGCGAGCAGATCAAGAGCGCAGAGACCCACATCCGCAAACAGCAGGAAATTCTGGCCAGCCCAGACTCGGACAAGGAGGCTATTCGAGCCCAGCTAGATCTTAGAGTCAAGGCGCAGGTGAGCTGCACTGAAACCCATCAGCTTACTTCGTAGCAAAAGGCCGGGAGCGACAAGCGAGCTGCCGAAGCCCAGAGGCAGAATCTAGGCACAGAGCTGGAACGTATCCGTGCTGAGCTGAGTGAGATCAACATCAACATGAATCGTCTCAGTCAGGAGTGAGTACCATCTGAACATGTGTACTGACCCGCCAGCGAGGCCGATAACATCAATGTCGAAGCTCAACGTCGGAGGGAAGTGTTCCGCAGCGATCCTTCCATTGAGTTTGCTGTCAAGTGGATTGAGAGCAATCAAGATAGGCTTCGTGAACCGGTCCTCTACCCTCCTGTCATTTCCCTCAACGTTCCGGATAAGCGTTACGCGCGGCTTATCGAGAACAGTATGATGGGACCCACTCGCAAAGTGAGAAACGTCTCTGCTGCCGCCTACTAACCCAGACCTTCGTCTGTCAAAATCAGGAAGATTACGCTACGCTTCTCAAGCTGAACAGAATGCGCACGCCGAATGGCTCCAATGTCAGGCTGAATCTTGCAACCATCGAAGCAGCGAACCCAGGTCCGCCTCATGTTCCCCCGGAACAGGTGCGTGCTACATTCCTAGCTTCTCTAACCACCTCACAGGTAGCCGACTTGGGTCTAGACGGCTTCGCTGTAGACTTCATCGAGGCCGAGCCCGCCATGCGCACATTCCTGTGTCAAGTAGGCCAATTGGACCGCATTGTGCGTGAATGAGGTTAACGCATCTGACCGTAGGGCATCACCTTGAAGCCTCACAACCAGCTAAGCCCCGAGCGACTGGTTCGTGCAAACATTCTCACATGGTTCTCTTCAACGCACTTCAGCCGCGCACTGCAGTCGCGGTACGGCAGGCGTGACATGCAGATCACCACAAACGCTCTGGACAGGGGCCAGAACTCGTTCCTTGGCATGACCGGTGCGCCCCGAGGCAAGTTGTGAGCTCACACTCAGTGGATCAAGAAGCTGTCAAGCGGATAGCCGATGAAATGGCAGACCTCCGACGTCGCCAGCGTGCCCTGGAACAGCCCCAGGCGAAAGTGAAGTTAGAACTTGAGCAATCAAATTCGAAAGTCCAAGCTTTTAAGGACGCACAAGTGTGTAGTGACATTGCAGAAGAACTAACCATCAGGCAGAAGCTGACGCCGATATCCAAAGGCTGCGGAGGGAGCTCAATAAGGCAGACTTGGCTCGGCAGGAGCTAGGTGCGCATCACAGCGGATGCCTGCTGACGCTACAGAGCGCGCGAAGAAGCGTCTAAACGATCTCCTCGCCAGACCAACTGCCGAGGCCCAACGCAAGAGTTTGCGCGACAGGATTGAGACACACGCCACGAGCGCTTTGGAGGCGTGGAGAAATTACATGGTGCGTGGAATGGCAGTGCTCGCGCTGATTTACTCAGAAATTTGCGAGCGACATGGCAGAGATCTGCGGAACCTTTGACCAGGGCTTCCTAGCGCAGTGCCAAGCGGCTTCTAATGTGCAGGCTATTGAGGAGGTTTCCAACAAGCGCGAGGGCAAGATCTCGGAGATGGGCGAGGAGTATGATGGACGTGAGCCAGCGTAATTTATTGCCCTAATCTCCAGACATGAAGGCTCAACAACGTGCCAAGGAGCGCCAGCAAGAACAACTCAGGAGGGTGACCCAGGTTCTCGATCAAGTTCCCGAGGAGTACAGGGCCGAGGCTCAGAAAACGACGGTGAGTGTGCGCTGTATTGGCTTCGCTGATGGAGAGAGATCAAACACCACGTTGGAAGATGCTCAGGCCGCGGCCTCAGACATCCAAGCACAACTCGACCTGTCCCTCAACGTCGACGGCAACACGATCGAGCGATACAATCGCCTGAAACAGGAGGTGGGACTTGCCCGGTGACGTGAGCTGACATGGTAGCTGGAAGCCAAGGAGCAAGACGTCGCTCGAGCGGAGGCCGAGTATGAGACTCTTCGGAGTGCGGTTTCATCGATCCTATCTCGCTTCAATCCGGCTCTCGACAGTCTGGTGCAGGAAACGAGTGCCAAGTTTTCAGCGGCGTTCGAGCGCATCGGCTGCACGGGCGAAGTGCGCGTGAACCGCGTGCAGGGCAACTACGCAGAATGGGGCATCGAGATTCTGGTTAGCTACCGCGACGGGCAAGACCTTGAGGTTCTCACTGCTAGTCGCCAGTCTGGAGGAGTATGTTCATGGGGGTGACCAGCTGCTAATTGATCAGGAACGCTCCCTGGCTACTGTAACGTATCTCATGTCTCTGTCTGAGATGGCTCGCACACCGTTTTCGCTCGTGGACGAGATCAACCAAGGCATGGACGCGCGCGCGGAGCGGAGTGTGCACAATCAGATGGTGCAGGTGACCTGCGCAGGCGGCGACAACGCAGGCCAGTACTTCCTTATTACGCCCAAGCTTCTCACCGACCTGGAGTACCACGAGAACATGCGCGTCCTCGTCGTCAGCAACGGATCCTATCTTCCGGACTCAACACTTGTCAACTTCGGCGCACTTCACAGTCGTCTGGCGGACTATAAAAGCAAACTTATCGCGGCCACGTAGCTGCTCGTCTTTTGTACGGGGCAGTGTTACAGGGGGGTGTGCATGCAGGGTATGTTTACACGACCTTTGAACGGGGAGATCAAGGGACGCGCACAGTGATCGAGGGGGAGAAACACACGTTGGGCGGCGCAGCCGTAACAGTCTGGGAAACTTCCTCGGCCGCAGCACGGAAAGTATACGAGCCCGATGCCAATAAGATGGCCCCGACAATGTGGCTTGCGCTGTCGCCGGGTGCGAGCGCAGGAAGCGTTGCGGCCAGGACGCCGTCGAACGCAACTGTCTTGGGCAGCGGCATGGGAGTCGCCGGCAAGCTACTGAAGCGGCGAGGAGCAGGTGGCGGAGCCGGCACTGACCATGACGCGTCATTTGAGGAAGTCGGCAACGCTTCGAGGCGGACGTACGGGCGCAAAGTGCGTTCTGAATAAAGTCAGACGAGGAAACGGGGAAGGCTCACCGAGATGATTCGTGACAGTAACTTGGAGGTCAACAAAGTCCATCGCTTTGGGCCCTTGGGCGTCTCGTGGAGAGACAGCGAGGGTAACGGCAACCTCGCTGAGTCTCAGCGCGTCAAGCTGGGAGATTGAGAACGGCTGCTCGCGCAGGGACAGAACGCCGGCACGGAGCGAGCTCGGCTCGCGCCAGCTGATGTTGACCATATCTAGAAGGCGCTCACGGTACCAGAATGTCTCGCGCTCCAGGGCAAGCTCATCGCTCGTCTTCTTCTGTTTGTCGACAACATATTGACGCCCAGCAGAGGGGATGGCCTGTGCGCGCTGTTTGGCACTCAGCGCCTGCCGCTGAATTGGGAGTACAAGGCGCTCTGTCGCGCCTGGTGGTACAAGGCGCGTCACTACAGACCTGCCCTCACCCTCCGCCGAAGCCAGCGCCACCTCGAACGGGACACTGAACACGTTGCGGACGTTGATGCAGAAGAGAACACTGCGCTCGTCGCCGCGTGCGAGGGCGCGTTTAAGTTCCTCGTCGCTTGAGGTAGCGAATGCGGTTGATCGGGGTGTGGTGCCGTTGGCCAGGCGCTGGCGCGCCTCAGCCTGTGAATCATTTCGCATGCTCTCGAGGTCGAGCGCAAAGCATTCGAGCGTGCGGTACACAGTAAACAATACCGGGTAGGACAGCCGGCGCGTGAAGAAAGTGTTTGACGTCTCAGCGCGATTGACGAAACCGTAATCGATGTGAATTGTTCCGTCCGTGCTGCTGGTCAGCATTTGCATGTGCTAAAGCGGGTCTCACCATCCGACCTTGCCCAGCACCCGCACAGAGAGTGTCGCTCTACCCCCGGGGGGAATCAAGAGGGGAGACGTGCTGTCCCAAGTGAACACAGGTTGCTTGGAGATACTGTAGTCGAGCTCGTATGCCTGCTGCGGCGTTTGCTCCCCATCGGCGAGCAGGAACTGGGCTTCACGCGACACTGAGTCCTCAAAGGACAACTTGACAAAGTCAACTGGGTGAGCTGAGCTGTTCTCGACAGTAAGGCGGATCACCGACGTTTCGCCGTCGTAGAGCATGACTGTGCCATGATTAAGCGACGTGTTCTTGATCCAGAGCAGGGGTTGGTCCTCAACAACGTTGCACTCGAGCCACCGACGATCGTCAAGGACGGGGAGAGCTGGTGGAACGTCCGCGCCGGGGACGACCGACTTGCGGGCCTCCAGTCCTTGCCTCTTGACCTTCGCAAGATCTACGAGCGCTGCGCTCCGGCGTTTGCTGTCACTATTCTTCCCCGAAGCTTCCGCGACGGGGACGAGAAATTCGGCCGACGCGCCGTCTGCAAGGCGGATATTGACGCCACGTATTTGCAGGGCCCCCGGCGCAGGCGCGATGCCTGTGATGCGGACCGTCTGGACCGATGAGGAGGGAAGGATAAGGGGCAAGGGATTGGTCATGAATGGCGAACCCGTGGTCCTGTACGCGTCAGCGAGTGACTGCATCATGTAACTCACAGAAGAGACAGATCCTGGATCTCCAGGTCGAAAGCAAACGGATTCCGGAGTGTGACGAAGACGTCGACCTGCTCGTTGGCAACAAGCAGCGTCTTGCCCTGTTCCACAGCTTTGAGACGCGGATTGTAAAGGAATGGGTCCTTAGAGCCTTGCTTTTGCTCCACCTGCTCCATCTCCGCGCGTGCATGCTCAATGGGCACTTTGTTGGAGGTTAAGGCAGCAATCTCGACACTGAGAACCATACGACCAGGGACCCACCAAGGTAGGGGGCCCACCTCGATGGCGCGTCTGCGCAAGGTCGAGATGGCCTGTACGTAAAGCTTGGAAAGCTGCGCCTGGTTTGCCTGGCTTAGGTGCGGATGCAACGAGCGTAGCGCCGAGAGACAGAGACGTACGACGCTGAGTTGATCTGGAAGTGAGCGGCAGCGCAAAAGACCTGCAGCAATCGCGACCCACCTGGCAATGACTCTGCGATGGTGATAGCTTCCTTGATAACCTCGACCTGGAGGTCAGGCCATCCAAAGTGTGGTTCGTCGGCCGTGTCTCCTTGTTTAGAAACTTGATCGTCCCGGTGAGCGTTACCAAACGCGAGAATATCAATGCCAAGAACGGCGCAGATGCGCTCGATGAGCTCTGTAATCCCAGGGTTACCGGCGGACGCCTCCTTCCGTCGCGCAACGACTGCAGAGACCGGCACGCCCATGCCATACCCCATCGCACCTTCCATCCGAGAAAAGTCTGTGCCATGGGCTCTCGCTGCCGCCTGCGACAGGAGCCGACGATGTTGTTCTCGACCTTCAACGACGATCGCACCCACAAGCTTGAGAACTTCCCTCGTCGCTGCGGCCTCTTTGCGCTCCATATCAAGCCATCTTGCGATGCGGACGACCTCGACGTAGACTGCCAGCTGCTCCGGCTTGGCCATCGCCTTCCGGAAGGACGCAATACCGGCCTCGGCGTGACCCAGAAGGGTGTGGCGGGCTAGTTGCGACTCGGCGGCTAGTTGTGCCAATGCTAAGCGACGCGTACGGATGCGCCGAGGGTTGCCATCTTCTACCGGTGGCGGGAATGAGCGGGGGAGGGCGTGGGCAATGAGGGATGAGACGGCGATAGAGCCCCACCCGCCAGCGGCGAAGATGGTTAATACGAAGTGGCTGATGCGAATGCACAGCGAACTGTACAGATAGGCGAGAAGCCCCTCTCCAGTGCCAACTATAGTGGGAGAGAGTGAGGTTGTGGGTGGGAGGGATAGCGAATCTCGCTGAGGGGAAGGGGAGAGAATTGTGGAGCTCGGCGGGAACGGAAGGGGAGCGCGCGAAAGACATGCCAATGCGGAAAGGTAGTGAGACAATATTTCGACTGGAATTGGCGAGGAGGGAAATGGCGTTGAGTGCGTCTAGAGTCAGCTGTGTGCGAAGCTTCACGTACAGAACCGTCCCTGCCCTCCCAAGCCTCGCCTATCCCGGCGACAGCTCGTCCTTCGCGAGCCAACGCCTCCCAAAGCACGTCACCGACGCCGCGGGACTTTTCTGCTCCTTCATCATAACACTTGATGGCGTCGCTGTACTTGCCGGTGAGAATATACATATCACCAAGAAGCTTGAGAAGGCGACCGCCGGCGATGCCCGTCAAGGGGGCCGAGGTGTAACGTGCAATGCCCAATGCGTCCTTGCTCTCCTTAGTGGCAGCAGGAGAACCTGCCGAGGATGCTCGATTGAAGGGCGAAGAGAGCATTGAAGTTCGCTTGAATGGGTTTGACGAGATCGAGGTCGTCGGAGAAGGTGCCGCTGGAGATATAACGCTTGACTGAATGGGAGGCGCCGATGGGCCTTGTACAGATGTGGGGCGACCGCCGGGCGTGAGAGTTCGTACAGGCTGCCTGGAGATTGATGGGACAAGCGGCAATGAGTTGGTCCTGACCATTCCTGAAGACCGACGGGTATGTTCCGGGGTTGCCGGCCCAGGCGGCGGAGACTGTATAGAGGAGCGCGGGGTCACATTTTGTTCTGGAAGAGTGGACAAAGACGGGAGGAGCGTTCCCGACAGCGTTTTCATGCCAGCCGGTGACTCGAGGGATGCGGCCTGAATTTAGTTGTATGTCGTGGTGCCAACTCACCAGTTCGCCGAGTTCGCCATAGACGTCACCGATGACCTCTCCCAACAACTTTGAGGCCCAGCTGTCTCCGCCCTCAGCGGGTGCATAGCGAATGAAGCTGGAGCTGGGCGAGGCGCCGCCGGCGACAGACGTTCGTGGTGTGTTGATGCCTGATACGCGAGGAGTGCCGCTCGCGGCGATACGCCGGTCAGATGTGGGAACCTGGGAGGGCACAAGAACTAGTCGCCTAACGAGCGGGAACGCAGACGTCGCAGGCATAATGTCATTCAGCGTCTGGGCGAAAGTCTGGGTCCACGCCTGTGTTGCGGACGCCCTATCTTCTTTGGGCGTCTCGGTGCCGACCGTGAAGCCTTCCACAGCATCATCGACACCAATGCCGATGACGACGAGAGGAAACGCCGACATGCGCAGAAGGCTGAGGGCGTAGAGATGCTTGGCTGGGGCGTGGGAGGGAAAGGCGAGCTGAACGGTACTCGCGCCAGCTGCGCGTGAGATGGAAGCACCAGGTGAGGAGGGAAGGAATCGAGAGCGTGGAGACTCGGGTACGCCACGCCGATGCGCCTGCGAGCCTTGAGCACCGTACACAATCTCGTCGCCGCGTAGAGTTTGATGTTTCCGGAAGAGCTTAGACCAGTGCTCATACACTGATTCCAGGAGTGGCTCGGCCCCATCATGGTCGCGGTGCACGGGGACTAGGAGGATCTGGAGGCGGGCCAGCGCCATAGGATCGGCGAGGGCGCTGAGCGGCGCCGGCGAGTTCATGGCGAGAACTGCCACTCGGACGAGATGGGAGGGAGGAGCGCCGAGGGCGGAGGTAGGAGGGCGGGCTACTGGCGAGTGAGGACGGTCGACGCGGCGCGGCGCGCGACATGCCAGTGGGTGGACTCGAAGGTCACGTGATTTCCACGCGGTCGCGTTCAACGCATCATGACGTCTCAATTCCGATTCCGAGGTGCAGAGATGCCGACGTGCCGAGGACCCAAGAACCTTGTGTTTCATAGCCATCTTCCAACAATTCAACAAGCGGTGGGCACCGCGGCCCCTCCATGTCCGAAGAGAACAGGACTCCGGTGAAGCTGCCTTTGCTCGCGAGATAATCAATGACATATCTTATATGTGTTTGTTTTTATGTGAGAAAAGCGGAGGGCGAGCCTGCATCCGAAAGGATGCAGGCAATCAAGGTTGGAATCGAGGCCTATGCGGATACCTCGGGGCGCTTCCTGACCTCCTTCATGGATGGGTTTCCCTCAACTGGCTCGTGGGGGCATTGACAGCGCTCGTCCTCGGGCACACCGGCGAGCGCCTGCTCGATGTGGTTGCCTGGAGTCAAATCGAGTTGAGCAGTAATGGACTCACCACAGCCCCACCAGGTGGGTTTGCCATCGTTGGGGCACACGGCGCGGCGGCACATTGGGCTTTACAGTGGAGGAGTGGAAGAGAAGTAGCGGTTGTCGGTGGATGTGGATGGGGTACGTCCACAAGAGGTTGATGCCAGAGTCTGATATCAGAGAGACGAGTAAGATGAGTGAAGCGAAATTAGCCCTGTGCGTCTAGCCATCTTCTTATAGCCTGCTTCGGTCAGCGCTGCGGTGCGGGACTTCGGGACTCCGGGGGTGGGGCGGCGAGCGCGCAGCGAGCCACGAGCGAATGCAGAGGGGACTGATTGTTGATGAAGAGTTCAATCGCCGTGACCTCATCACTTGCCACCTCCTTCGTAATGACATTGGGAATGGCACAGCAGGCGGCAGGCGGGTCCGCTACACTTGATAATGTCAAAAGCCCTGTACTGCAGCGACCCTGTAGTTCAAATGCCGGCATTCTCGTCTTCCCTTTCTGCAGATCTCGTGACTGCCACATGCTCTGCGGAGACCGTCACGCTAGACCCTCGTGAGCCTCGCGTGCAGCAGTGGGTGGGCATTGCCGCCATCAAGTGCGGAGAAGGGCCGCTTCCGGCTATCCGCTTCGAGAGATGGAGTTTCCTGTATCCGTGGGCCGACCTTTGGGCCGGGCCGGCAACCTTACCGAGGCTTCAACATTTCAGGTGGGGCACAGCGCAGCTCTTTATCAAGCAGCGAGCAACGACAGCTCTTCTGCCATATCCCACTCTCCAAGAACACAATGGACGCTTCTTCGCTCTTCAACGTCAAGGACAAGGTCATCCTCGTCACCGGGGGTGGGCGCGGTGTGGGCGAGATGGTGAGTTGTCACATCAGGTCAGCAAGTCATGATCACCTTGCTGCATGTGATCATCTGAGGATCGTTTCGTGAACATGCTCAACGGGGCGTTTTTACAAACAGCGCCCTCTTTCCTTGTGTGAAGCTGGATCTAATCAAGCTGCTCTTCTCGCCATCCCCCCTCTCCTTGTTTGCCTCGCTTACTCAAGATCGCCTCAACCTATGTCGCCAACGGTGCCAAGGTCTACATCTCCTCGCGCGATGCCAAGGCGTGCGAAGCGACCGCCTCCGAGCTCACGGCCAAAGGCCCCGGCAAGTGCATTGCCATCGCCGGCGACCTGAGCAAGTACGACGAGTGCATCCGTCTCGCCAAGGAGATCGGACAGCGTGAGGAAGTCCTTAACGTTCTCGTCAACAACTCGGGCGCCACCTGGGGAGCACCCCTCGCCGAGTACCCCGACGCTGCGTTTACCAAGCTCTTCACTCTCAACGTGTCTCGCGTGTTTACCCTCACTCAGGCATTGCTCCCCATGATCAAGAAGGGTGCGGACCGCGACGGTGTCGGGCGTGTTATCAACGTGAGTCTCTAGTGGCAGCATCTGGAGGTCTTCAGCCTCCTGCGGTCCTGCACCCGCCCGCGGAGGCACCGCTCGCATTTCCTCCCATGTAACTAACCCAAGATTGGCTCGATCAACGGTCTCACTGTCCCTGCCATGGAGACATACGCGTACTCGTCGTCCAAGGCCGCGCTGCACCAGCTGACCCGCCACCTTGCCACTCAGGTGCCAGGCAACGTGACCGTCAACGCCCTCGCCCTTGGGCCTTTCCGCTCCAAGATGATGAAGGCGACTCTCGACGCTGCTGAGCAGCAGATCGCCGGTGTGCTCCCATCCAAGCGCATCGGCACGCCCGAGGACGTAGGAGCCGCATGCCTGTGGCTTTCAGGCCGGGGCGGTGAGTGGGTCACCGGCACCATTGTCCCGATCGACGGCGGCTCCGTTGCCACCCCCTCGCGCCTCTAAATATTGCGGCCCATCAATGTGACCTTAGATGCAAATATAGCTACAACCTGCTGCTAATCTCCGTTACTGACCTGTCGCCGCACCACCTCCGGCGCAAGGCGCGATGAGGGAGACTGAGCTGACCTCGATGAGCGCAAACTTGCTCCGCCGTTGTACTCTGTCGACGCAGTGCGTTGCGACGGCGGCGTCTGCGACATTCGCGGCAAGTATCCTCCTTCACTGACAGAGCCGAGCCTCGTGCGCGGTTGGGGTGTCACTATCGCCTATCGTCAGCTGAAACACACGGCTTGGACTCACTCTCTCTTCCTCCCCTTTACTTTGCTTGCGTAAACGCCCAAACAATCCTGTACGCCTGCTCTTTGGCGCTGCGTCACCCTCGTCGTCCGCATCTCCCCCGTCAGCGTTGCCGTTGCCGTTGCCGCTGCCATTTCCATTCGGGGTGCCGAGCGACCCTCGTCTCGATCCGGTGCGCGGAGTGATCGTGCTTTCCGCCATATTTCGCACGTTGCGGGGGGTTATCGTGTCCTCGGTCGAGGCTGTCATGTTTGAAGCGGTGGTTGCCGTGCCCGAGTACGAGCTTCCATCATTTAATGGCTCGAAATCATCCATGTCCAGCGGGGTAGAGGGTTGGACGCTGAAGCGTAATGGCGACTTGGGCTGGCCATACCTGTCAACCTCAGTGCTGAGCCCAGCAATGTGACGAAGGTGTTTTTTGGAGCGGAACACCGACGACTTCTTCATCACTTGCGACACTAGGTCGCCCTTCTGGGACCAGGCTGAACGGATGAGATCGCGCATAATGGCCTTGAGGCAATCCTTGCCGCTCCACACCTCGTCTTTGTAAGTGAGCTCGGGTGTGGTGAGCTTGAAGTCCGCCACCTCTGGAACGACAAAACCGTGTTTCTTTCTCGTCTCATCGCGCTTTAGTTAGCACTGGAGTGTACGGTAGGGCCTACCTTGTAGTCCAAGACCAGAGACGTTGATCCGATCATGATGCTCATGAAGGTGTGGTTTTGAGAAGCGCGGCGGCGCATTTCCTCAGCGTCCATGTCCATGTCCGACTTGGTTATATCCGCTTGGGGGACAATACTGGCAGCGGAGTGTGCCGAGGCCACAGTCATTTGCGACTGATTTCGCGGCAGAGGCAGGCTGTCTGTGGAGCGACGAGCAGTGGCGACGGGAGCGGGATGCTTTCCCTTTTCCGACTTCTTCGGTTTCTCAGACTGCTTTGCCTTCTCAGATGACTTTGTCTTCTCAGGCTTGACTTTGTCATGATGAGTGCCACTACCACCCTTCCGCGGTTTGGTTTTGTCGTTGAAGATGTAGTCCATGACGGCCACTCCAACTTTCTGCTCCAAGCGAAACCGCACTGGGTGCAGATACGCCGCCATCTCCTTGATGATGCTGATTCCGCCAACCTCGGGGAGTGTTGAGAAGGAGGCCGAAACAAAGCAGCTAGAGTGCTAGTGTGAATAAATTAGCACCCCAGGAACCCACCATCTTCTTTCTGCCCAGTTCCTTTGAGCTCTTCGTCAACACCTCGTGGAATAGAGCGTCCGTATTGCTATTGAGGGCCTCGAGGTCAGCGACGGCTGTCGCCATATCCATAGAACCATCTTGGTTGTGATCCATCGCGAACACAGCGTGCTTCATATTGAGCTTGACCAGCGGATTGCCATCGTCCTTGATCATGTGCCAGGCGATATTCCCGAGGCGCACGTCGATGCGGCTTTTAGTCTGCAGTGCGTCTCGCGCCTCCTCGTAAGACCTATTCAGATTGATGACGTCGAAAACCGTGTTGAGCGTCTCATACTCCTGAAGAAGGTCGGCGCGAATGTTGAACAGTTCGCGCTTGCCCTCCGGTGTTAGCCTTTGAAGATTGGCCTGATAACCACGCTGCAGCTCCGCCAAGCCACGCATATGCTGTTGGACGACAAAAAGGTTCCACAACAGCTGCTGCGGATCTCGGTCACGGCGGTCGAACTTGAGTAGGAAGCCGTCGACCTTCTGCTTTCTCGACCGCTTCTCTGGGAGATTGTACATCAACAGATCGGTGATGATGTAGTAGAGGGCTGTCCAGTGATCAGGATTGGCCGAAGCGATGAGCGTCGGCATGCAGACCGACGTCATGTTCTGATGGAGACGCAGATGCTCAATAGAGTCACCAAATTCGTTGACCGCATCCGGCCACTCGAGGCCTCGGGGGGCGCGGAGATGATTGAACTCGTCCCAGGTGATGGCCATGTCCGATCTGAGGATGATGCGGTCGTAGTCCGTCGCCTCGCTCTTGGCGTCGAGGAAGATCTCCAGGGGAACGAAGTCCATCTCCCTGTAATTTGGCGCTCCCTTGATGGACCTCTCCATGGTCTCAGCTGTTGGATAAAACACCTGGAGGCCCTTGCAGGCAGCAAATGAGCGCGAGAGAACCTCGCTCACCACTGAATCGGCGGCTTTGGAGTCAATGATGACGTAGCCTTTCATGGCCATCTCCTCCAAGGTGACCAGGACGACAGCGGCCGGGTCAGCAGTGGATCGAAGCGCAATCTGCGGTTTGAGCACCAAAACACGCCACTTGGGATGGACTGCGCAGTCGGCGGGAAGACCTCGCTCGGGCAACTCCAAGGTGCCCTGATGTGCCAGGAAGTCATCGTCGATCTTGAAGCGAGCCGGTAGGCCGCCATCTGCCCATTTTTCCATCGTGCGGAGCAGCTCGGCGACTTCGTCTGCAGGGAGTTGGTCAAGCACATCGTCCCGATTCAAACCGTTGGCTGCCCGCAGCCGCCGCTGGTTCACGCCATCACGGATAGCTCTCAAAGCGCTGGTGTTAGACACGCCAGTGTGTGCTCTGTTGGACTCACGCATACGAGCTGGTGTACTCCTCACGCTTGCGATTTGTTCTGGCGTAAAGGTATTTATAGAACACGTTGCGGCTCTCGTTGTTGAAGAACAGACGGGGGTTGTGAATGTGAACAGTGTTGTCGAAGATGGTCTCGCCCTTGCCGTCATCCTTGCCATCATTGGCTGCATCCGGAAGGCCCAGTGTCGAATTGTCCATGTGACGTGTCTCAGTGTGCGCCAGCTCATCGATGTGGTGCTTCAGTATATCAATCCGGTGGTGAAGAGCAGCGACGCGCTGGGGATCCTACACGTCAGCGCCAATCATCTTACATGAAACATACCTTGCCCTTCTCCTCTTCTGTTGGGCTGTCGAGAGTCTCCAACAGACATACTACTCGCTCCTGAGCGATCTGCGACTGCATCGGACCAACGTCAAGAGCGGCGCCCAGATAGCAGATGTGAGTTTTCTCGTGACCGAACTTGGACGCCTCTTTCCCGGGCGGCAAGTTGAGGCCCTCATCGTTTGGCTTTGTTGGCAACACCTTGACACGACGAGAGAGGAAAACATGGGGACAGTCGCCCATGTGCACGATCTGCATCCGAGGATTGCGGTCGAACGGCTTCTGATCGGCGTCGATGAAATCGAAGTAGTTGTACCATACCTTGCCGTCGTCTGAGAGATCCGAAGCGTGAGGGAAGGTGCGGTCCAACGCGGGGTTATCACTGGAGATGTGCGCCTCGTTGAAATCGGCCACCATACCTTTGAAGGTGATATCGTCCAAGAGGAGATCACAGGCGTAAAAGGGTTTATGCGTTACGATCTTGACTCCTTTCAGCGCTTCGCTGTACTGGCGCTGTTCTTGCTGGCGCTGATGGCCATCAAGGCGGAATCGACCTGACCGGAGCTTGAGGCCTAGGCTCTGCGCGAGACCCTTTGACCACATCTCCTCCGATGAGACGCTGTACATGTGCGACACGTAAATGGGTGCGATGTCGCATCTGTACTTTATCGTCGCCAGGGACGCGCCGAACTTGCTTGAAGACGGTGGGGTGTCGGGGAACGCTCTACCCTGACGGATAGGAGACGGGATTTTGCTTCGGAACAGGCTGCAGTGAGCAAGCATTGCGTTTCGGTCACGTACCTCCACCAGTTGAAGAAGTGAGCAAAGGCCTTCGGGTTCATGTGAATACTGCTGTGCGTTGCAGCCGCAGAGTCCTTGGTGGTCGGCTCGACACCGCCAGCCTCCCGTGGAGCCACAAGGGAGACAGAGAAGTGGATGTAGTCCGACCGGAAGCCCTCGTACGAATCGACCTCATGACCGCACTCCTCCCTAAGCCGCTCCGCAACCTTTGGGTGTTTGAGAACGACTGTGTTGTGGGGTCTGAAGTCAAAGATACGACATTGGCGATGTAGCAAATTGAGGGTGTTGCCACATTTGTCGCACGACCAAGGGCGACACGTCCTCTCGAATACGAAGCCTAAACCGAAGCGCACGCCGTTGAGGAATCTTGCGCATGGCTTCGTACTGCGTCTCTCTATGAGCCTTCTGTCGGCCTCGTCCTCGTCCATCTCCGGCTGATCGTCCGAAACGCCAAGTGCGGCTTGGTCTTGAAGCTCGTTGAGACTATGGTCAGCTGCCAATCGTTGTCGCCGACGTACTCTGGTATGCTAACCAATAACTCGTCAGCCATTACCTGGACGAGCTCATTCTCAGCGTTGGGCTGGCCGATCTCGATGCAAACGTTTCGACGCCAGACGAGAGCGAATCCTGCTCCAAACCCGGTAATTGAGTAAGGGTTCTGACTCCCCTTGATGTACCAGCGCACCGTGCCGGCAAAGTCGATGATTACGCGCCAGTGAAAGGCCAGGCGAAGCTTGTCCCAGAACCCAGGCTTCGAAGACGGATCCAGAGGAGGGTTACTGAGGGTCTCAAATATGCGGGTGAGGTCCGACATACCGGGCTTGTACGAGTTGCACCAAGTGATTCTCGTTGCCTCGTGAGAACGGACCTTGATCATTGGCCTTGCGTATGTCTTAGTCGGCATGATGGCTTTGCCGATGTTGACAGTGAGAGGATCGGCCGCTTCATGGCCACATTGACCAGGTACGACCTCTATGGGAAAGAACATGGTCGAGTCGTCGTCCGACAACTCCTCGGCAATGATGAAAAGCGTAGTAACATCCCACCCTGGGGTCTTGTTCGGCCCGGGTAGAATTCGCAGTAGAGGGAGTGGGTAGTCGCGGAGCTGAACCTTGGCTTCCATCATAGTCCACGACAGGTCGAACGGGACCATGAGGGAGAATTCAACATCGTCCTTGAATGGCGCGGACACATCACCCATGTACTTGATCAACTGGGCACGCGACTTGTCGGGCGCGGCCAAAGTGACATTGACGCCAACGAAGGCGAAGCGGAAGAGAGGTACCGTTTGCTCGAGCGGCAGGACTGGGATTGGCAGCTTGCTTGGCGAGATGAGCAATCTCCTTTGCGTTGACTCTTCGCGGCGCCTCTGTTCAGCCTTTGCTCGCCTTATCCGGCGGACCCAGTTGCGCGAGTTGTGCCAGTCGAGGCGGTAGCGGGCCTCCTCATCCGTGACAGACTGAGACCTTGAGAGATTGGTGGGGGTAAAGGAATCCTCGTCCTCCGCCATTATCGCCAATTTCTGCTCGAAAAGCTCGTCCAGGTCAAGGCGAGTCTTCTGTTCATGGAGGCCCACGCGATTGGCAAGGTTGAGCTTGTTCTCCACAGGATGGTCTCGCGCTTCAAAGTGAACCAGGTCGACCTGGATATTGATGTGGGGCAACTTCTTTGGAGACTCCGAAACGGGTTTCTTGTACAGCGAAAAGGTGTGAGATCGCAGGTTGCTGAGTAGGAGTTTGACCGTCTTGATCGTCATATTGATGTTGAAAATGAGTTGTGAGAAAATGAAAGCGTAAGGGATGCGGATGCGGAACGCAATTGCGTTAAGCTTCACCGCATGTGAGACATCTATCGCCATCGTGAGGCGCTTGATGCGACCCAGCTCATCCCACATGCCTGGCTGTGTATCGCTGGGAATGTAAAGCACGACGTAGTCGGATTTGGCGATCGTTCGCCTCTCCAAATCACGCTCTACACCTACATTTTCGAGGGCAAGGAAGGCTTGCTCCTGTAAAGGGAAGTGGAAGTGGACCCACACCTTGTGAATGGCTAATCCAATAGTGATAGGAATCCTGGATTTGAGGACAGGCGACGATACTGGTCCACCAGTGCTTGGTCCGGAGGTAGGAGCCAGTCCAGAACGTTTGAGCGCTTTCGTAATCGTCGCAACAGTATGAACAGCAAGGAGAGCGCAATAAAGGTCGGAGATGTTGTTCTCGATGTGTACCAACTCCACGCGACCATACACCTGGATATGCGACGGTTCGTGCGGAACAGGTTGGTGTACCTTAGCAGTGAAGTGGAGGTGCGGGACATAAAGGAGATGGGATGGAGATAGATACGTCCTCGGAGCATGGCTTAAATGAAGCTCGCGCGGCGCCTTCTCGCGACGACGGCTCCCACTCCAGCCCCAAGCAACAAATTCCGGGTCGGCGGGCTCAGGTAGAGGAGCGCGGGCCGGGGAAGCTGGCATGCAACGGTCCGTACCGCCGTTCTCGACGAAAATCTCGCCGTTGAAGACCGTTTTCATCGCCGTTTCACGAAGCAAGAGAGAGAATAGCGCCGCTTGGGCGCCTCGGTGCTTGAGCTTGTGGGTGTGGTCAAATGCCGAGGCAGTAACGTCCTTGAACAGCTTCAGTCGGTCACGCATCTTCAGATTTTTCAAGTGCTGCGCGCTCCCACTGGCCTTCATCGTCCGGAAGCGAGCGTAGTCGATGACGACAGCAGTCTGCAGCCAAATACCACGTGCGAGAAGGGACGTGGAGAGAGGGTGAACGTCTTGATGCCCGATGAAGATGCTTGCGGCCCCGAGTGCGAGCCGTACGGACAAGCCGCCGGGGAGGACGTCCAACAAGTCCCTGCGTGGCTTGTGAGTCTGCAAGGAAGAGGCAGGCTTGAGCTTCGCCAAATCGGTAATAGCCTTGATCACATCTGGATGCCAAACCTGAAATTTCACGCCTTCATCAATGAGTACCTCGACGTCTGTCACAAGCGTGTTGGGTAGAAGTCGATAGTCATCCAGACCGCATTCCAATGTGCGGAATGTGCCCGAAATGTGCCCAATGACCTTGGTCTGAACACGGCCAATCTTGGCGAGCTTGTACGTATTCTCGCTCTGCGTGCCGAGTGAGATGTGAAGACTAATGGGCTCGATGGTGACGAAGCCGTCGCCGACCATCCCGAATGTGGGACGCTCCTCGTCCAAGGCCTGGGTTGACGTGCTGGAGGCGTCGTCACCGGAGGAAGGAGACACCGGCTCATCAGTTTGTGATGACGTCGCACCATGATCATCAATGTTAGCAGTGACACCCAGCGAAATGCCTTCGGAGGTGAGGCTGATGGTAGCAGAGTCCTCGGCCGCGCTGTTTGCAATCATCATGGACATGCGTCCAAGGTCGACGAAGAGCCGGACACGGGGTGGCTTGGGCCAGTGCGTCCGCGGAGCGGACGGTGGCAGCGCAGCCCTGGAGACAACGGGATGAGTGTCAATCCATGAACGAGCCAGCTCGCTTGTGAGCTGCAGGTCACTAGCCAGATCCAGCGACGCCACACAACCGCGAGCGATAACGATGGAGAGCTCTGGATCGTCGCTGAACAAAGCTTCGCGACGTTCGAATCCTTCCGGTGCCCAGGTGGTGAGGACATCAAAGTCAGCCCTGCGGATGGCGAACAGCTGAGATTGGTCGCCGACAGCCTCGCCAGGACCCATGCACTGCAGTCCGACGGCCGACCACGAGAGCGACGCAGTAATGCCGTGGACGCGCGAGCTCTTTTTCTGGCTGGTACCGAAGATATTCCCGAGGCGAGGATCCATGCCCGAGTGAGTAGCGCCGAGGCGCATAGACAGTGACGAGACCTCCAGTGCCAATGTGTGTCCGGGAGGGCTCGTTTCGCTCGCTTCCGATGCAGCGGATGAAGTGGAAGGTATGTCAAGCTGCTGCAGCGGGAGGACATGAAACGCAGAGCCTTTCTCACAGGACACTGTAACGTACTCGAGCGCACGAACAACGCGCTTCTCATCAGCACTTTGAAAAATCGCCGTCACTCACCCGGGCAGCTGAGCCTTCTGCCCACAGGCGTGAAGGCCCTTGGCTCGAAGAGTTCTTCAGCTTTCGGTGGGCCTTGTTGATGGCGATGACCTTCTCCAACCCTCCGACACCAAGCTGGGCATTGCCTAGTCGCACATCGACTCGCAGATTGTCCTTGTCGAAGACTTGAGTAGCGGGTCCGATGCCCAGTGATAACAAAACATGAGAAGGGCTGTCCAGACATACGATGCGCTCATAGCCTGGCGGTACTCGCCGAGTGGTGGTGCTGTCGACTTTGCTCTTCCTCTTCCTATTCCTTAGGACCGAGTTTAAAGAGGCGAAAGGCGTATGTGGTCCCTCAGAGGGCCTTTCGGCTGTCACTGACGACGATCGTGGGAGCAGGACGGCAACGTCATGCACGCGGAGGGAAAAGGCCATCCTGCCGATGGCATTGCCGATAGCGTGAGACCATACGGCTTTGGACATCTGTGAGAGGGAAGGCGATGGCGCATGACGCCGTGCCCTCGGTGTCCCAGACGCCTCGTCGGAAGCTGGAGACCCTTCCCGCGGATTGTCCTCGTCCGGCTGCAGAGGTGGTCGATGAGCGGGGGGAATGGAGACGTCTTGCCCAAAGGCAAGTCGGCCATCGCTGATGCGAATTTCGAGGTCGTCGAGTTTCTCGAGGATGACCCGGACGTCGGTGATGTGAACAGAGAGGAAGCCAGCGACGGTAATCCACTGATGGAGGAGAAGATGTAGGAGATAGTCTACGACGGGTTTGGCCCAAGAGGGTACCTGCAACTTGTTCTGCGGCGTCAGCACCTTTAGCCTACTAGCTAACTGGAGCCTACTTTCTTCGAATGCGGCGCATCACTATTGTTGACGGAGCGCTTCTTATGGTTGCGGTACGTGATGCCTTGGACGTTAAGGGAGAGTTTCCCTGGCGCGGCTGGGCCCCCGAGCGACCAATTGATGAGTTCAATGCGAAGAGTTGGGGGAGACGTCTTGGCCTGGCCTTTCATGCGCCACTCCAAGCCGCGGACGCGCAAAGGCGATAATTCGGACGCAGTGAAGCGGAAGCTGGAGAAAAAGCGGACTGCCCACGGGAGGGCGACGCGCGTAACCAGCAATCCAACCAGAGCTATCCCGATCAGCCACGAGTACCACCTCATGGCGCCGAGATTCGCGGTGCGACGCAGAAGAGATGGCTTGAAGGCACAAAGTAGAGGAGGGGGTATGCGATGAAGGGTAGAACCTAGCAACGAGACGGAGTTCCCTGTGGGTGTGAGCCATGCGTATGTAGAGACCCGCGCATGAGCATGGAGCGATATGAAGATGATGGCCAAGTCAGCCCAGTTTGTGCACACGCCGGCAAAGGCAAGGAGACGAAGAAGGAGGCAACAGATGCTGAAGCAGGGTATCCAGCTAGACTGCCTCAAGAGTTCCAGTTACTCACCATTCAGTCAAGCGCGTGACTTAACGAAGTCCCGCGCCGAGGATGTCGTGGCAAAAAAAAAAGAGAGAGATGCGCTCCATACGGAGATGAACGAGGTGCGTGAATGAATGTCGATTGAATGTGTTTGCGGCAATAGTGACTGACCCCTATAAGGTCTCCTTGGCGTCGACGTAGGCAACACAGCAAGACCGAGGCGCGGGGTAAGGTCACGTGATGTTCAGGAGAACCTGGATCAATCGACGCCACCCAGCTTTGCGTGTCTCTCACCCCTCGCCCCCCTCCCATTAGATTACAGCGGGACTCGCATAAAAGAACTCGCAGGAATTTGATCGCTAGGTCTCTGTACTTCATTCTGCAGGAATCGCAACTGCGATGAGATGGAGAAGCGAGAGATGAACAACGTTGGATGCGGGAAGACGCGTCACCGAGACACATACCGACCCCCTGGGGCGAATTGCGTCATGTACCTCCACTACCCTGGTATCGTGTTTTGACATCGCAATAATCTGGTTCCGCTCCTACAGGACGATCGTGAGGGTGGAGGTGAATCATCCAGATATCCTGCTCATCCTCGACGCTGACAAAGCGTTCATTATATTTATGCTACAGCATGATCCCTTCCCCGCATTCAGCTCTCTTCCACCTCTTTGACTCGTAACTGCAATATTACCCAGTCACTATGTCACTCATCGGCAAGTTTGCACACCTCCCGGGACGGCCAAATGCCTCGGAGGCGACGTGAGTGGCTTCGCCATGGCGCAATGGCACTTCATGGAGCTGATTCCAGACCCTTGCTCGAGAAGATTGCAAGCCAGGTTAAGCCCATCATGAAGAAGCGTGGTTGGAAAGTTGGCGTCCTCGGCGAGGTAAGTTTTGTCATCGAGCTTCACTGACAGCAGTTCTTTCCCGCCAACCCGGCGTTGCTTGGTATCAACATCAACCGGGGTCAGCGCATCAACTTACGACTGCGGCCGCCTGATAATCCATCGGGGTTTTACGACCTGGAGCAGCTTGTCCTCGTCATGTTGCATGAGGTAAGCCAGACCTCCTATCGAAGCTGACTTCAGCTGACGCACATCGTCCATGGCCCACACGATGCCTCGTTCTACAAGTCCCTCGCCGAACTTGAGGAGGAATATTACGACCTTAGGCGAAAAGGGTACACTGGCGAGGGCTTCCACTCGGACGGGAACAGGCTGCAGGGAATGCGGGTGAACGAGTACGAGGGGCGGAGGAAGGGGCTCGCCGCCGCAGAGAAGCGGCTGCAGCAGCAAAGAGTCATGGGACGAGGCGGCGTGCTCGGCGGTTCCAGGACCGCGGGGAAGAGCATGCGCGAAATCGTCGCAGAGGCGGCTCAACGCCGGCAGAATGACGACAAGACGTGTAAGGTGGATACGAAGGAGGCTGAGGAGGAGGCGCGCATAGCGCAGGAAGAGAGCGTGGTCGTCGAAGCGACAAGCGAGGACACAGCACGGCAGACAGAGGCCAAGCACGGACGCAAGCGTGTACTGGGCGAGGCAGTTCCGGGCACTGCTGAGGCCCCGATTGTCATTGACGATTATTTTCCAGAGGACGTGCAGCACGCAGCTCGTATTAGCACGTCTAGGGTTCATGATGCTTTGGCGGCGAGATCTGGCTCCGCCTCGCTCTGCAGCAGGACAGACTTGCCGACTAGCGCGCCACCGACCTCTCGCCTCGGGTCGGCGCCAAGCGATCCGGGTAAGCCCTTTCCTGTCACTCCCGAGTCGAGCCGGAGCGCAAACAGTTCATCTCCGTCGGCTCCACAGAACGGTAACAAGAACACTGCTACGGGCATGGGCGGCACAAGAAAGCCCGATGCCACCGCCTCCTCTTCCGGCCGCGCCGCCCCTGCCTTGTCAGCAACATGGTCTTGCAACACATGCACCCTCATCAATCCCATCTCAGCCTCTCAATGTGAAGCCTGTGCACATGCACGCCCGGTGCCGAACACAGCAACGATGGGCGCATGGTGGTGCGAGTTCTGCGGAGCAGGCCCGCGCGAGATGAGTTACTGGAGCTGCCTCGAGTGCGGATGGGTGAGGAAATGGGGATGAAGGTAGAAAGACTTGTACGAGTTCATTGTATTGTTTGGCCATTTAAACAGTAAGTAGCTGCCGGTGCGAGACGAGCAGAGAGGTCCACATGTGGCGAGAGGCAGATCCGGATGGAAGGGATAGAGCAATTTGAATGAGCATAGCAGAGGGACGGAGAGAGCTGAGTCTCTCAGAACGCGACGGCACCGTGCAATCCTCCTTAGCTCAGTTGGTAGAGCGCGACACTAGTACCCTGAAGCCATCATTGGCCAGGCTATGTCGAGGTCAGTCGTTCGAGTCGGCTAGGAGGAACAATGTGCTTAACCTTTTGTTTTGAATCTGAGTGTATGCACGTCAACAATGTTGTTTGTGCGTGCACGCTGAGATCTGATGGACACCTATCCTCGACCTTGAGGGTGGTTCGATGACTGTGTTGTGGCTTTGGAGTGCCACCTCCGGAACCAAATTGACCTCCACCTCCACCATACATGGACTGTTTCGGTTCGGATACATCAACGATCCACGACATCGTTAATTGCCACCCACCATCGACCATGACTGAACCTCTGCCCCTTGATGTGCCACTGCACGTAAAGTACATCCAGCAGCTTGATGAGGTGTGTGCTCTTGACATGCGGCTCGCTTTGTGCTATGCCAGCTGACGGGGAGAAGAAGGATCTGGCCTACCACCTGACTGAACACCTCCGCCTCAACGGCGTTTACTGGGGCCTAACAGCCCTGTGTATCATGGGGCACAAGGACGCGCTTCCTCGCGACGCGATGATTGAATACGTGATGGCGTGCTGGGACGAGTCAGCTGGCGCCTTCGGAGCGCACCCAGGGCATGATGCGCACATCCATGCGACACTGAGCGCGCTGCAGGTGTTGATCATGCAGGACGCACTGGAGCGAGTGGACGCACAGCGCGTCGTGGCGTGTGAGTCTGAGCCGCACCCCTACTTCTATCTCAGCTACGGATTGCGCTTGTGGTAACTGACACCAGTCCTCATTTCCCTGGTTGGGGCGGACGGCCGCGTGGCAGGAGACGAGTTCGGCGAACGGGATACGCGGTTTTCCTATATCCTAGTGTCGGCACTCTCGCTTCTAGGGCGACTCGATGCCCTTGAAGCCGCGCATGGTGGCAAGGGACGTGAGCTAGTGCTGGACAATATTGTGCGTAGCATGAACTTTGACGGCGCTTTCGGTGCCGAGCCAGGAGCCGAGAGCCATGGCGCACAAGGTGAGTCGGGGGTTGCGAGTCGCCAGCCACTCCTCTCGCTGCCTCTTCGATGCGCGCTAACCGCAGTCTGGGTGTGCGTCGCTGCTCTCGCAATACTGGGCGAACTCGACCGCGTCGACCGCGACCTCCTTGGGTGGTGGTTGAGCGAGCGGCAACTGCCCAACGGCGGACTGAACGGGCGCCCCGAGAAGCTTGAGGACGTATGCTACTCGTGGTGGAACCTGGCGGCGCTGAGTATCATCGGCAAGCTGCACTGGATCAATCGCGACAAGCTTATTTCGTTCATCCTTGGGGCGCAAGTGAGTTGGCGCAAGTGTATGCCGCTGACAGAAGGACACCGAGGACGGAGGCATTGCTGACAGGCCGGGGGATTGGGTCGACGTGTTCCATACCGTCTTTGGACTCGCCGGCCTTAGTCTGCTCGGATATCCCGGCCTGAAGGATGTGGACCCACTGTACTGCATGCCGGCCGAGGTTATTGCCGCCCGCGGCCTGAAGCGGGAATACACTACGCGGCCGAGACTGGAGGCGTGGCCATAGCAGTCTACACGGGTGCATTGCATCATTATATGGGATTGAGTTGGGGAGTACAGCAGATTCTAGGTGACAAGGTGGTGTGGATCGAGTTGGTTAGACGATCGCGATGGGCGTTGAGAGTTTGTCGCCACGGCGCGTTGTGGTTCCAGCGATGAGGCACATGCCAGCAAAGAAGAAGGCGAACAGGATGAACTGGATCCATGCGAAAGCTTCCGTAGCGACATTCTGGCCACAGTGCAGGAGAGTGGTGTCCTTGTTACAGCGCTCGCCGCCGCCGATTGCCTGGGTGAACGCCGCGGCGCCACATAGCCAGAATATCCATCTGATGTGAGCGGGCTCCCATGTAGATCGTCCCGTAAGAACTCACGTGACGCAGACGTAGACAAGGTTTGAGAGGACACTCGAGACCCAGCTTCCAGCAGCCTCATAGAATAGGACGATGTACGTGACGTTGAAGACGACTGTCCACCACGAAGCGAACAGAAGGAACTTCGTGCGGTCGCGGAACGAGCTGCTTTGCCATGAGTCGTGGCTGCTGTTAGTACTGTTTGGACCCAAGCCGCCGAGTGATCCATGACCTACTCATTGTTGCGTGCTACGAGGTAGGCGGTGATGCAGCCCTCTACAACTGCAAAGACAGCAGTTATAGCCAAGAAGACGGGCTGGAGCCTGCGGAGGCGGTCGATCTTTGAGTCAGTAGAGCGCCATAGCACCCAAGTGGTGGTGGTAGTGGTAGTTGTGGTTTGATACCAGGCAAAGGGAGAGGTAGGGGGGCGCGGCCAGTCGACAACGACACGAGTGCGTGGGGGCTGAGGCCAAGCGGGGGTGGCAATGGGCTGAGCAAGTGGACCGAAGAGGGGCGTGACGAGCGGCGGGAGGTGGGGAGCACCCAGATGTACGAGACAGGGGACAAGAGGGCAGCGCGGCGTGTGCGGGCAGGACATTGTCGTTGCTGAATGTGGAGTTGTGGTCGTTGCTGAAGTCGAAGCCGGCGCCATCGGGGAAACGGAGTAGGCCGGGGGGTCTGGCAGGACCGGCGAGAAGCGAAGAGCACAGCACTTACCCAGTCACCCATGGCGAGCCTTCGAGCAAATTGTGGTGAGTGGCGATGTTCAAGTGTGCGTGTGTAAAGGCGGGGGGATGCGCTCAACTTAGTGTGCGGCGAGTGAGAGGGTGGCGGGACTTGCAGACGAAGTCAGTAGTGGTACACAGAAGGCTGCTGAACGGGGAGGTGAGAGAAGTGAGTCAGTCGAAACACGCCTTTAAAGAGCTCATATTAGCGCCTGCGCCATGTCAGCTTGCTGGAGGAGCGAGAAGGATGAGCAATGGATACGTGGGCAGATCGAAACTGGTGGCGGGGGTGCGGGGGTCAACGGCAGACTACGTGAGATTGACGACGTCACCATCATACCACTATAACGAGCGCTCGGCCACACGTCCGGAACTACGCCGTCGCTTTCGGCCTCGGTCTCGACAGCTAATGACATCACGGGCGTCATCCGGACTCGCGTCGCAAGTGGCCTGACACTGAGCATATTCTGCTAATGGTCACATCTTAAGTCTATCGCCCCGCTCGGTGGCACCTGCTCACCCTACGTCTACTGCACGCCGCTTTCCTCGCCTGGAGCGGTCGCTCCGCCCGCCCCTCCTGGGCCACCAGGCGTGCTCGTACCGGTCGCGGCACCCGAGAAGGCGCTCGCAAACATGGATGCCTGGCCCGCCTGAGTTGCCGCGAGACGTGCACGCTTGCGCTCCGCCTCAGCCTCCTTCTCGGCCTCGATGCCAGCGACGATGGCCTCGATCTCTGACTGCTCCAGGCTCTGTATGTCAGTTTTATGCACATTTTTTGTCTTATGGATCCTCGACACATCGCGACCCAACCACGTGGCGGAGGGCTAGTTGTACTCAGAATTGGGTGGTTCACCAATACTCTGAGGGGAAGCCGATCGCGACATATGCTTGCGTGGAACGAGACCACCTTAAAGAGTTCCACTTCTGAAGACACACCGTCTCCCGTATCCGTCCGCTTCGTTGTACTCACCCGCACAACGCCGTAGCGCTCCATAACCGAGATCTCGATGTTCTTGGCGCCCGTCTGCACGACCTCAAGCAAAGACTTAACGGCAAGCTTGATGGTGTCCGCGCGCTCCAGATTCTCGGTGTAGTTCTTCTCGAGGAACTCACGCACCGTCTTGGATGCACGTCCTATGGCGCAAGCCTGCGGGTGAGTAGCGATCCACGGGTAATGCGAGGCAACGCACCTTCCACGCTGAGTAGATACCGCTGGGCTCAGTCATGAAGAGATGGGGCTTGGTGTCGTTGGGGTCGAAGCCGACGATGAGCGTCGAAATCCCGAATGGCCTCACACCACCGGACTGAGTATACCGCTGCTGGATTCCGGCGACGTGCTTGGTGATGTACTCAACGGTGACAGGGTCCTCAACCGTCAGGCGGTGGGACTGGCACTCGACGCGCGCCTTGTCGATAAGGATACGACCGTCGGCAGTGAGGCCTGGTGTCAGCATAATTGGTTCTCAACCGCGAGATGAGGGAAGGCAAGGTCACGGCTGCACAACCCTGCAAGGCTGGCTGATCCGCTGTGCTGAGCCTCCCCTCACCTTGTCAGCCTTGGGTGGCTGTACTCACCAGCAAAGGCAATGCAGATGTGGTCATCGAGCATGGCGACCTTGCGCACCGTCCTGGGGTCCTGAAGCTGCAGCGTCGATTTCTTCTCGACGCCGAGCACGACACACGACTTGCCTCGCACACCAACCTGAAGTCAGCTGAAGGCTTCTTCCGAGAGGTCCATAATGCAACTCACAGCAGCAGTTCCGCGGCGCACTGCCTCGAGAGCATACTCGACCTGGAACAGCTGCAGGTTAGTTTCCAGTAACTCCGTAGTCGGAGCCAGTCAGCAAACATACGTGTCCATCAGGTGAGAAGACCGTAAGAGCTGGTGTCAGCTAGGCGCACAACGGAGGAGAGCTCCTGGGACGACGCGCGTGAAATCGTGATGGAGTGGATTCAAGAGGAGACTGTTCCAGGGGGCTTAGAGAGCGAAGTACCCACCACGGTCGTAAGAGCGCGACATAATGTTGAGCTCCGCGTTGACGAAGATAAGACGGAAGAGCTGCTCTTGAAGCGGCTGAGTGCGAAGAGGGAGAAGACGAAGGTCGACAGACGAGTCGCGACAGTGATGTTCCGAGTATGTTGTTCGACTTCGATGACGCTTGCGACGCGACAGCCAGCGAGCGACAGTCAGCGTTGCGATTTGCTTCCGGTACGGAGATTGGACGTTGTCCGCCATCCCGTCTGGTGGAGGTGATCGAGTGTTGACGAAGTCCCGGATCGAGGTGGCTCTGTTCATCAGTACGCGAAATCATGCCACCACGAAGGCGCACGACCAAACAGGTTAAGAGGGAGGAGGAGGAGGAGGACGGTGTGTTTGGATAGCACGATAGAGTAGCTGACGGCAGTGCGGCCGATCAGCGAGGAGGGTGAGTACGTCGATTTGCCTGTGAGGTTGTGGAGCCGCCATGGCGGATAGATGGATAGGCCAGGCATTGCAAACGCTTCATCAGGAATTTTCAAGCTGACGGATAGAGCAGGAGGCCGAGATCAATGCGCTGCGCAAGAAGGCCGAGCGGGATAAGGAGACGGGACGGATGTACTTGGACGCATTGGTCTTGGTGTGTTTCGTCGTGTGAGTGATGAGTGATGGCCACTCGGTGCCGTGTCCTGGTCTTTTACCTCAGAGGCCTGCTGAATCTTGCCTTGAGGTTTCCGTGCCTCAATCTTTACCGCTTCCGCTCCAAGCTGACACCAGCTTCATTCGCCAGCTGTACAGGTACGCGAGAGCTGGATCAGGCGCCCCGGCCTTGCTCAAGCTCGTTGCACTCGCCCAAACTCTTCTCATTCCCTTCTCAGTGACGCCGGAGCGGCTGCCTGTCCTCGGCCCTCAAGTGGCGGGGTATCATCACCTCGTAGTGCTTGGGCAGCTTCTGTTATTCGGCATCAGCTTCGTGCTTCAGATCGGCCAAGTGCCCATCACCGAGCTGCTGCGCGCCGCGCTGCCTGAGCTTCTCGCGTTCAGCGTTGAGCTTCAGCGCCGTGCAGAGCGGTCTAATGACGTTGAGCTCGATAAGCTCGAGAGGCTCAAGTATCCGCTCAAGGGTGCATGACGCACGCATTAGGAAGTATATGCATATAAGAGCACCGGAGTTGTCGACTTGATCTACTTCTTAGCCTTACCTGCTCCTACACTGGGAGCCTGCTCCACAAACTCGCCCTGGTAGTAATGCCCATCGAGAGCTAGAAGTGTCGCCGCGCGCGGAAGCACCTCCACATGGAAGCTGTCCCACTCGAACGCCTCGCCGTCCACTGTGAACAAGGGCTGCTTCTCCTTGTCCAGGTTTTCAACAGTATACGCGCGCACCTTGTAGTAGCACATGCTCTCCAGCCAGTACGGGTCACCGGTATGGCCCACCGACGCCTGCGATAGCAGAGTAGAGCGCGCCGCGGTTCGCTGCAGCACTATATCGATCACACCCGACCCAGCGCGGGCAACAGGCCACTGATTGAGGTCGCGACTAGGGTACGGCATGAGGCCAGCACTTGGCGTCAGCGGGTGCGGGGAGTGAACTCACTAGAGAAACAGTAGAGAGTCACCTGCCTGCCACTTGTTCGAAGCAGCCGATTTGGAGGCACGACGCCCTCTCTCACTCGAATCTACCGTGGTCCAAGAGCTGGTGGGCTTGACCAATCCGACGGGCGGCAAAGCTTCGGTTGCGGGATGAGCGCTGCCGTTCATCAGAGCTGTACTGCTGGACTCATTTCCCTCTGCATGGCTGTTCTGTCCTGGCACATGAGGAGTCTCCGGCGAGTCCGAAGTCTTGCGACTGCTGCTGGGTGTGTGCCCGTCACCGTACGCATCACCCTTAGCGACGGCCTGGCTGGCAACTGACAGTGACTGAACGCCGCGGATTAACTGAAGGGGATCTGTGCCTCCGCCCAGTGTCCGCGTTCCACGCTCTGCGAGAGCAGCCTCTCGTGCCTCTCGTGCCATCTTCTCCTTGTCGTCTTCCACAATGTCAAGAGTGATACGCGCCTTGCAGGACTTGCTTTGCACCACACCGCGAATGTAGCCATACACGAATCGGGAGTCGCCCATCCATCGAAGGTTCTCCGTACCAAGGTCAAGGTCGACCATGAGACCCAGAGCCACGCTGAGAAACGAGACACGGCGCTCACGCGAAGGCAACAACACAACGGACTGGAGATCGATCGGCATGGGCTGTCCCTTGATAACGTTGAGAGTGGCCAGAGCGACGTTGAAGTTGTCCTTGGGCCCAAAAAGGTTTGTACACGCTGCACACGCCGAACCCGTCGGAAGCGGCGCAATGGGCGTGCGCAGGGCCTTGCGCCCGTCAGGTCGCCCAGCCAAACCATTGAACGCCTCGTAGTATCCTCCGTCACCCGAGGCGACAGCAATCACGCTAGCATTAGCATGGTTGATTAGGCGCAAGCTGATCTCGCTAATCGCTGCTGGCTGTATCACTCACTCTACCTTAGACAGGTCGGCTTCCTTGCAGATCTCCTCGGCGTGGTAACGGTATCGTGTCTCGCGCATGTCAACCTTGCATCCTGCCGCCTCGAGAATGGGAATGATCGTATGCTTAGCGATAACCATGCCCTTGCCCTTCCCGCCGACGGGATTGACGAGGAGCAGCACACGGCGGTAGGGCTTTGTAACTGATGTCAGCAAAGCTTGAAGTCGACGGAGTGCGTCTGCGCCCATGCACGGCCTTCTTTGGCGGCTGCAGCGCCAGAGCGAACGTTCACCCCGCTAATCTCTCCGCATAGAGGTCGCAGGGACCAGGAGGAAGACCTATGTTCCGCACGCCCGGCTGTTCGGTCGCCGAACACCATTGCATTTCAATGAACTTACCGGGATAGGCAGCGGCCATGAGCTGGTCGACCCATTGCTCGGCGTCTGCAAAGTGCCGAGGCTCGACGAGCATGCGTATCTTTGTGTAGTGAAGGTGGGAACTTTTGGCGCCCTTCTGGACCAGCGCATGAATGTCGAGGATGCGCTTCGCGCCATCCAGAGACTCGCAGTCAGACTTGCGGGTAGGCGAGGTTGGGACGCCGGTTGGCGCGGGCCCAAGAACGGCCCGCAACAGGAGGCGCACTGGAGCGGATAGCAGTTGTTTGGGCGCTAGATTGTCAGCTCGGCCGAAAAGCCTGCTTACGCCTCCCATCTGCGCTCAGCTGCAGGACGTCGAGGCGGCCATCCTCGATTGTGAGAAGACCGCGCTTGCCGTTGTGAATGATGACCGGGATATCCTGTTTGCTGGCCATCTCGACAGTGGGTAATGAAGAAACCAACGACGAGGAAGGAAGGCTCTTTTGAGGCCTGCCGGGGAGTGGACGCGACTTGCCAGTGACACGGAAAGTTAACCAGAGTAGGGACGAGGGGCGCGCTAATGTGACTTGTTCCGCAGCTCGGAAGGTCGGGCCCGGGCTTGTGGATGGGAACAAGAAGGGGTGTAACCGTGCCGTGTATGGGCTACACCGTTGCCGCGCGGGCCGAGCCGGATGGGGTGGTTTCGGAGGAGTAGGAGCGGAAGGGGAAGTGGAAGTGGAAGTGGAAGTGGGAGGGTGAGTGCGAGTGGATAGCCAGAAGTGAAGCGGGGAAGCGGCGAGGCGGCGACACGGAGAGCGTGTGAGGGGAGCGGAGGGAGGGGGGAGTGGGCACGAGGGGTCGAGGTGGTCTACTGGGCCGAGGGGGCAGCGCTGAGGGGAGATGGAGAAGACGAGTGGTAGGATGGAGAGAGTGAGTGGCGTGGATGATTCATGTGAGCGGTCAGAGGCGGACGCGGCCGAGTCCCCATGGCCAGCATAGCCAGGCGCGACCGACTGTTTGGGTACAGCTGGAATAGCTGGAACGGACATTATTGTCAGGGAGGTGGCTTTGTATGACGCAGGCACTCCCGACTTGCTCTTGTCGGCTTGCCCCGACCCCTCGTTGCTGGCCAGCTCGCCCAGTATGCCCAGGAGCGCCTTCGCCTGAGCCCAGATGCTCTCAATCGGCGGCCATGGGCCTATCGGCGACTGAGACATGCTGATCAAACTTTCTCGCTTGGGCGTTGCAAGGGGAGTCGAGAGTGATGAGCTGGACGACAGTTGTAACAAGTAACGGGGTGGCGAGGTCCAGAGGCCACAGGTCCAAGGTCCAAGGGCCAAGGAACAAGTTGGCCGTGCCACGCGTGCCAGTGACCAGCGCGACCCGGCGGTGGCAATCATCGATGAGCTCCGTGCGCGTCGGGCGGTTTGGGCGGGGCGGACGGCCATTCGTGCCGACCGTGCCAGGTGACGTGCCTCGGCCGATTGCATGTCTCGACTCCACCCCAGTTCTCAATTGTGACTCATGCATTCTGCGGCGGGCGACCTCCGGCTCCAAAGTACTGCCCCACTTCCTGAAGAGTTGGGGGACAGAATAGCGTCACTTATAAGACGTTCATTAGGCTTCATTATATACTACAGTATTTCCACCCGAACGTGTATGCAGCATACCATAGGCCGCAGATAACCCGCACTATCGCGGCCTCTCACTCGTCAACAACCTCCACTTTCCACCTCCGCCATGCTCACTGGCTTGTCTCTACCTCTTTGTCGTTCATCGCGTTCTTCCATCTTACATCTCACATCTCACAAAATCTCGTCCCACGCGCCCGTGTTAGAATGACCCTCGAGGCGGCCGCCGGTCCCATGGGCACGACGACGCCATCCCACAGCCATAGCGATCAAACCCTCCGCGGCGACCGCCGCGGTCGATCCCCACGATCAAGTGCATGTACCAGTGCGAGCAAGAGCACAAATGGCGACCACACTCAGGCCAAGGCCAAAGAAAAGGCGGCGTTTGGAGCACAGCCGGAATCGGGCATCGGAGCCGGTGGCGCCACTGAGCGCCCTCCCACCGCGATTGACGACACCCGTGAACAGGGCGTATACGGCAGGGCGACAGATGGCCGCGGGAGTGCCGCCGTCGTAGAGAATGGGGCGCGCGCTGATGACATCTCCAAAGTCCGGCCCCGGTCGTCCCTTTCGCCTGCCTCGCCCAATCTTCCGCCCGGCACTGGACACGTCCACCTCTCCGGCCCGCCGCGGTCGCCACGCGCCTACTTCATCACGAACCACGCCTCGTACCCGCTCAAGCTCCTTGCCCCGCGCCCGCTCCCATCACAGCCTGCAAATGTTGCACTTCTCTACACTCTCGCGTACGGCGGAGGCCTGGTCTCCGGCGATTGTGTGCAGCTCGCGTGCACCGTTGACGCGGGACAGGTGCTGGTAATGCGCACGCAAGGCAGCACGAAAGTTTACAAGCACCGCCGCGGGCTGCGACCCGCCGCGCACGGTATCTCTCCTGCCCTGGCAGCTGCCGTGAAGCAGGGTGCAGAGGCGCCATCTGTCCGGCAGCGCATGCATGTTACTCTGGGGAGTGGCGGGACATTTGTGCTTCTCCCAGATGCACTGAGCCCGTTCCGAGGGAGCCGGTACGTCCAGGCCCAACGGGTCTGTCTGCCAGAAGATGGAACGGGCAGCGTGCTCCTCCTCGACTGGATCAACTCTGGCCGTGGGGACCGCCCCGTCGGGCGCCCAGAGCTCCGGCCGTGGGCCGAGCGCTTCCCGGACGGACAGCGGGCTGGAAAGCCCAAGTCGCGCTGGACGGACGCTGCCGCGCAAGATGCAGACGTCAAGAGTGACTGGGGCAAGGCCGAGGAGGAGTACTGGGCCATGGAGTACTACGCGTCCACCAATGAGCTCGTCTTTGGTAATCGCGTCCTCGCGCGAGAGCGCATGATCCTCGACAATGGAAAGCACACGGGCGACTCGCTGTCGCCCACCGCCCGCCGCCTCGCACCATACCACGTCTACGCAACAGTTCTTGTGTATGGGCCGCAGTTTGCGCGCCTGCGCGCACATCTTGATGCGCTCGGCGACGCAACGAGCCAGTTCCAGGTCCCGCGCGCCCCGGGACTGTTGTGGTCCTACTCTCCCCTTAGCGAAGTTTGCGGGATGGTCCGAGTGGCCGGTCTCGAGGTCGAGGACGTGCGTGACTGGATGCGCGGCGCATTCGAGGAGGGCGGTGTAGCCGAGCTCGTCGGGCCGGGCTTGTGGCCGCGGTGCATTTAGATAGTCATAGATATCGAGCCAAGCATTGTTCATCTACTACAACATGTACTGTTACACGCCAGTCTAGGAGACAGCCGAGAGGTACTTACCCAGCAAACATGCCTACGTCATGCCTGCTGCCGTGTCGATAAACTTCTGTGCCTCCTCCTGCGTGATGGTCTGAATTGTCGACACCTTCTGCTTGTCAAAGTAGACGCCGTAGAATTTGTCCGCGTTCACGAGCATTTCGCTGCGGAAGGTGGTGGTGATAAACTGCGCCGAGTCGCTCAGCGTGTGAATCATGTTGGCCACCGCCGTGCGGTACTGGGTGTCCAGATTGGCGTCGATTTCGTCAAAGAGGTAGAATGGAGCCGGGTCGCACTTCTGAATTGCGAACACGGTCGCGAGAGCGACGAGTGACTTCTGCCCACCCGATAGCTGCGAGATGCGTTGTCCTTCGTCTTCCTTTGAGTTGAACGACACCTTGATCGAAACGCCCGTGTAGCTGTCAATCTCGCTTTTGCCGTTCTTCTCCGCCTGCCGCTCACTCTCCTCGTCCACGTAGGTGTCGGTCCGCTTCTGCATGATGAGCCGTCCCCGGCCAGCCGGCACCAGCAGCTCGAAGACCTCCTCAAAGTACTTGGACACTTGCTTGAACGTGCGCTCGATCGCCTCGTCCTTGCGTTGATCAAGGGTGTCGATGAGGTCTTGGATGGAGTCGGCCGACTGGTCGAGCTCCTCGCGACGCGCAATAAGCTCGTCGCGCTGCTTGGTGAAGTTGCTGTACTGCTCAAACGCCTTTTTGTTAACATGCGCAAACTTCTTGAGTCCGTCGTTGACCTTGTGCAACAGCTTGACCAACTTCTCCATGCCGCTGGCCGACATGTACTTGTCACCCGTGTATTTGGTGAACGCCTCGTCCGGGAGGACGCCCAGATCACGAATGGCTACCTCGCATTCCTCCTTACGGTTGTCAAGGGTCTGCTTCTTGCTGAGGTACCGCTCTTGACTTTTCTGGATGCGAAGCATGGCGCGTGTGACGTCGTTGGCCTCGTTGTGAAGCTCCTCGAGTTTAGCCTGCTGCTCAGAAATGGTTGTCGCAAGGGCCTCGAGCTCCTCCTCTGTGCTTTGAATTTGCGCTGACAACGTTTCGATTGACCGTGAAACGCTGCCGAGCTCCGCCTTGCGCTGTTCCACCTCGCCCGCATTGATGACACCAGAGCCAGATGCGCCGTCAAGATCGTCGAGCTTTGCGCGCAGCTGATTGCGACGGCGACGGAGATTCTCTGTAAGCTCAATTTCCAGCTCGCTGCGCTCAGAGGCCATCTGATATAGTTAGCAATGTCTTGCGAATTGGCTAACCTGCTGCCGTTTCTGGGAAGCCTCCAACAGAGCCTGCTTTTGCTGTTCGGCGGCCTTGGATAATGTCTCCAGTTCCTGTACCTCGGCAGGCGACAACTGCTGCTGGAGCGGGGTCTTAAGTTCCTCCTCCAAAGCAGCCTTTTTGGCCGAGGCGGCCTTGAGGTTTGCCTCATCGTCCGCCAGAGATCCCTCTAGGCGGGCGAGGCGCTGCCGCGCCTGTTCAACTTCCCGCAACATCCAATTGACTTGGCGCGCCTGGTGTCCGCGGTCTTCAACCATCGCCTTGCGCTTGGCATCGATTCGCTGTATCTCACCCATCGCCTGAGAGATCTGCTGCTCCAGTTTGGCGAGACCGTCCTTGACTTCGGTGTGGCGCGTTGCATCGCGTTCATATTCCTCGCTCCAGCGCTTTACCTGCTTGACGATATCAAGACGCGAGCGCCGGTTGTCGTGATAACCTCCGGTCAGGGCACCTTTGCGATCCACCCTGTCACCAGAGTCAGTTACTCCGTTGAGACCATGGCTACGGGTATACTGGGCTGCAGTGGCCAGGTCAGAGCAGACGACTGTGCGTCCAAAGACCTGCTCAAAGGCCATCTGATAAGCGCGGTCGTATGTCAATTTGGAAATCAACGGCACAGCGTCGTTCGCTTTCGGGTACTGGACGTTGACGCTTTTGAGGCGGTTGAGGGGCATGAAGGTAACGCGACCACTTCTTTCCTTGTTCATCGCGTCAATCAGGCGCGATGCAGTGTCATCGTTGTCGACAACAACATGGAAGAGGCTAGGGTCAGCGAGTTCCCAAAGCTCTGAGGCTCACCTTGTTCCTGCCACCGTTTCCACAGCCGTCTTATACTTATCTGAGACCTCGAAGAGCTCGTACAGCGGGCCATAGACACCCTCAAGGCCAAGTCGCCTAGCGACGCTGCGAACAGAACGCAGGCCATTGCTCGTGTCCTTGTCCATCATGCCCTGTAGCAGTCGCTGCGCATTGTCCAGCTCGTTCTTGGCATTTGTGGCGGACTGTGAAAGCTTGCCATCCTCACGCCACAGCTCCCTACATGTCAGTCACTGGCCAAAGACAAGATAACGCTGTGCTCACTTGCGCTTCTCCTTCATGCCGTCGAGGTCAATCTTAAGCTTGCTCTGCTGCTCGCTCATCCTCTTCAGAGTCTCACGCTGCCCCTCCTCGTAATCCTGCTGCTCGGCAGAACGCGCAGAAACATCCTCGAGATGCTCCTTGGCCCCCTGTACGTCCCGCTCACGATCGGAAATGATCTTTTGTTGCTGCTTCTCGTACGAGTCGAGGCTCTTGATCTCGTTGGTCAAATATGCGTCACGCTCAGCCTTAGAGCGGAACTGGCGCGTCCGGCCCTGTTTGGCATACAACACTTGCAGACGTGACTGAGTGGTGTCCAGCCTGAAAAAGTTAGATTAACTCGACAATAGTGACCCACAAATCCTTAGCAGCTCGCTCCTCCGCGATGCGCTCCTCCAGAGCGGCGTTCAGCTCGGCAAGCCTATCGGTGGTACGCTTTACTCGTCTCTCTAGCGACTCGAGCTGTTCGATGGTCTCTAGTCGCCGGGTCTCGTTACTCTCGCTCGCCTGCGCAAAGTCGGCGACGATGCACTCGACTTCGGTTTTCGTGCGGACGAGGTCCTCCATCTCAAATTCGTACTGCTGGAGCGCGATGCTCAAAGTCGAGTGCGAGTGCTTGCTTCGGGTGAGCTCATCCTCCATTTTCTGAAGTCAGTTTACTCTCTGAAGCGACTCACCTTGATACGAGCCTCCAGCTCGTAGAGAGCCTTCTCTTGCTCGTTGATCTCGTGGTGACCATTTGAGCGGTCCTCCTCCAGCTGGTCGAGCGCAGCCGTGATATCGTCCAGCTCGCGCTGCTGTAGCGAATACTCGAGGCAACGGCGGTCGCGGTCAAGGCTCTGGAACTCTTTGAGCTCATTCTTCTCCGTCTCAAGCTCAGCCAGGCGCGTTTCGATGTTGGCCAGGAGGTCGTTGATCTTGTCGCGCTTGCTGTCCGTGTCCTCCATGATGCGCGTCGACTCGGCGCGCTTCTGCTCGTACACCTTTGTTCCTGCAACCTCTTTGAGGAGGTTTAGACGGTCTTTCTCCGAAATGTTGGTAAGATGAGTGATCTACGTGCGTCAATACACACCGAGCGCAAGCGACTCACTCGTCCCTGTGGCACAATATAGTACGGGTTACTCCTTGAGAAACCGGCGCTCTCCAGAAGATTCATGACTTCCGCCTTGGTAACACTTTTGCGATCGAGGGAGTACTCGTCTTTTTTCAGACCGATAGTACGGCGAAGATGAAGCTCGGGCTGGCCTGTGGGGAAGCGGCCGTCGGCATCTGGGGTCAGCAGTGTCCAGGCCGCGACTTCACTGTCGAAAACAATCTCGACATAGGCCGATAAAGTAGTCGTTGTGCTTGTTCCCTCGTGTAAAAGACGCTGGCGCTCGTCACGCGAGAGCGTGGTGTACGCGTCAGAGAGCACGAAACGGATAGCTGCATGTCAGTGGGGCACATGAGCCAACATCACCAGCAAAGAAGTTGGACTTTCCGCTTCCGTTGCGCCCTACCACCACATTGTGCCGGGGTCTGGGGTTAGTCCTTGTCAAAAGTACGCGCACGAGAAAGGGTCGATGGCGACTTGGTCACGATATGACTTAAAGCCTTGAATGGTAATTGTTTTGATGTGCTACGCGTCAGCCTGCTGCTTCGGCCCACACAAACCATGGCCGCGGGTATCGTCTGGCAGCAAAAGGATGTTGATGGCTGTCGGCCAAAGCGAGTTACCCGTCTGGATTGCCCTGTATCTGATGGATGGAGCGGATGAGATGGATGAGATGGATGAATTGAAGTCAAGGTGAGCGACGCGACCATACCTCCATTACCCACCACATTCAGGCACCAGACGCGCCGTCCACTCCAGTCGCGTCACCTGTTCATAACAAGAATCTGATTCCGCTGACCTCCACCCATCAGGTCCAGTCTGATGCCATCGCAGTACTCCTTCATCTCGGCCCCTTCCCTCCTGACAATCATCCAACCATGGCAAACGACGCTGAACGACGGATGATGGAAATGCTTGCGCGGTAAGGATGACGCCCCAGATTCGGATGGAGAACTCTGGCACTGACGGTGCAGCGACCAGATGGCGCGTGATTCTCGTGACCGCGGGCCTGTTCCTCGCCCAGGCAGCAACGACGACTTCGACGAGTACGTCCTCGAGACCTTTGGATCTTTTGATCCAGACTCTGGAGTTGATATGGGAGAGTTGCGCAAGTGAGTTTTGCCCAGAGTCGAGCTGATGGAAGGGCGGCATGGCGAACGTGGCGCACGGCTGGGCCAAGCATTGCAGCACCGAGCAGGTCTTCGCAGGCGGAGGAAGACGCAGAGCTCGCCAGGTAACTCCGTTACGAATCTTCAGCTAACACTGGAGGGCCATTGCCCTGTCGGCTAAGGAATTCAAGGAGGCTCAAGGAAGCGAAACCCAGCCCATTGTGATAGACAGTGACGATGATGACGACGATGGCCTGCAACGCGCACATGCCGCACCGGTGGAGGAGCGTCCAGCCAAGCGGCGTCGGGAAGAAACGCCAGACGAGGAGAGGAAAGCGTTAGCTGCGTGAGTGATGCCCCAGCTATTGACTAACCATGAGTGCAATCGCTGCATCCCTCCCAAATGAACCTTTAGATGACGACTCGGATGCGGAAATGGAGCGAGCCAACGCAGCATACCAAGCCTCTCGTGCCGCGTCTCGCGAAAGACAAATTCGTGAACGAGAAGCAAAGCGTGCGGCGACCGTCGGGCCGAGCTCCAAAGCCCCTTCAACCACCACTTCATCAGCCCGCCCCAGTCCTCAACCGAAGGAGGAGGCAGACAAGCCCGTTGCCGGCGGACTACAAGCTTTAGGAATAGATCGCGCCCAGCTTGAACGTGAACGTCTAGCGCGCCAAGCTATGCGGTCGGGAAGTCGTAGTGTCCAGACTCCTGCAGGCCAGCAAGCAGATGCGCCGAGGGGGCCTAGGCCCACCCAGCGGACTGGTACTGCACGGCTCTCGAACCATCCACTTCAGTCAATGGGTCCTTTTCCCACCGACGACGCCGGAGAATACTACCTCGATGGCGAGCTTCGTCACGTGCGTCTACAGATCGGCTCTTCCACGACAGAACGCACTTTCAGTCCACAAGACGTTTTCGGCAAGGTCGGTCTCGAGTCACGGCATTACTGACGTCTCCAGTGCGACCAGATAGTACTCGTTATCGTGTCGGCTTACTGCTGGGATCCTGATTGGATTGAGACGTTCATGCCACGGCCCGACCTGTGTCCGACTATTCGAATCCTGCGACCACCCGTGAACGACCAGTTTGAGCGACGGAGAATGGCTGGCAAGCTTAGGCCTCTCGAGAACGGCGAGGTTCAGGTGTATCCCAACATGGACGGCAAGATGGGTTCCGAGCACATGAAGTTTGCCTGGGTACGTTTCGAGAACCGAAAAAGGGCTCTGCTCATCGCAGATCTGGTTCAAGACAGGCCGCCTTCGTGTCTCAATCATGACGGCCAACATGGTGGACTATGACTGGGAGCTGATTGAAAATGTACGGTTGCACAAGTTCGACTGACATTCAGACAGTTTTTATTCAGGATTTCTTGCCAAAGGGCCAGACACTTGGATCAACCACGGCGCCAGACCCTGCACTGCCTGACTTTCCCGACCAGTTCCGTCACCTCTTTGCTCATTTCAAGGTGTACAAGGCGCTGAAGTGGCAGATTGAGCGCCACCCACGGGGCAAATGCATCCCCATCTCCGACAGCGCGCATTTCGAGGACTTCAAGAAGTATGACTGGAGCCGCGTACAGGTCCGCCTAGTCATGAGCATTGCTGGCACCCATACTGGGTTCAAGGAGATGTCCAAGTACGGAATTTGCCGTCTGGGGAAGATTCTGGCGGAGGAGGGCTGGCACCCACGCAAGGACGAGAAGGTTGTTGCCGAATACCAGGTCAGTCACCCGTCCTTTGATTCGACTGACGATAGGGTTCATCGCTGGGAAAATACAGCCTCGATTGGTACAGCTACTTCTATCAGCTGTGCAATGGCAAGGACCTGGCGAGCATCGCACGGTCCGGCAAGGCTGTCACATGGCCACCACTCAAGGTTGTATTCCCTAGCCTCGCCACCGTGGATACCAGTATCAATGGGCGACCAGTGAGCGGTGACATTGATCCGGGCTGACCTCAGGGCGGGGGTACAATGTTTTGCGGCTCAGCCTTCTCCGACCGAACAAGGTCGCTGTTCCATGATGCGAACTCGAAGCGTGGAGGGGTCTTGATGCACACCAAGGTACGCACTATATATCGTTTCCCAGACACTGACTAGCTCAGATGCTCATCGCCCTGTTCGAACCAAGTTCTTCTGGTCTCGGGTTCAGCACGGCGGCGACAAACCTCGGCAAGCGCAAGGCGGACGATATCGTCACTGAGAATGAAGGCGTTGGTGGCTGGGTTTACGTTGGAAGTCATAATTTCTCTCCATCGGCGTGGGTGAGCTTCGCGGTCGTGTTTCCTCGCTGAATAAAGGGTACACTCAATTTCAAGAATTCGCCTCCGACACTGAATGTAAGTGATACCATGGCCTGCCCGCAGCTCGCTCTCGCATTAGTCTCAACGACCTGGACAGCAGTTTGCTGTGTGATATAGCTGACACAAGATAAATAACTTCGAACTTGGCATCGTCTTCCCACTGCGTGCGTTTAGGTCTACAGCGCGCTGACTGCAGCTCGCGGCAGGGGCGAAATTATGGCGAACGAGATCGCTGCCCACAAGCGTCCTCCGCGGCCGTATGGCAAGAGCGATGAACCATGGGTGAGCTACATGGACGGAATTAAGCTCACAGCAGGATCAGAAGAAGTACTTACCCAACCTCTGATCTCAGCCTCTCGTTGTTTAGCACCATCTCCCCGGATGTATACCTAGCAATGTTATGACTAAGGAGATGGCAGAGCCCGTCAGTTTAACGATGCGTAACAAGCCTATGACTTTGAATGGCGACAGGCAACAATGCTGATGCAGAGGGTGAGTCAACGGACATCAGGTGGTCACACGCACACCAGACCGGGCCTCATGGTTTCAGACGATCAGACAACCTGCCACTATCACCAATAGCTGTCACGGCAACATCGAGGTGGAGGCAGATCGGGGCGGTGAATTCCGCGGATAGATCGGGAACGGGATTGGCGGAGACCCCAGTTCGTCTTCCGCTTGATCGCGTAACTGACATCGTCTCGTTGGCTTGCGTGCCTCTCGTCACAGTTCCTTACCTGCAATACAGCCGCGCGCACTGGACGGCATGAACGGACCATACTCGTCCGCGGTCCGCCCGGTATCACGGGTATCCGGCCCCAGCGTCATCAATCGGTTTGTCGCCGGTCGGGCAGTCTATGAGATTGATGGATAAATGATCACGACAGTCGGGCGGTGGCCGTGTCTCCCAGCTATCTCATCACCGAATCTCGTTACTGAGAACAATGTCCACGGCACCAGCGAAGACGCTGAAGTCACTCACGCGGGATGAGGTTGCCAAGGTGTGTCGACGTCTTCCCGCAACAGGGGCCCAGCGGGTGGACGACATGCCCCATTCTCTCCAACGCCTGCTGCCATTGTATGTATCAGAAGCGCTGACAAGCAGCACAACAAGGCTGGCGATCTCTGGATTATCATCGACACCTACGTGTTCGACGTATCAAAGTTTGCCCGGCTGCATCCCGGTGGCCCGGGCGTGCTCCTCGACTCTGACGTTGCCGGCAAAGATGCAACGACTGTGTTCTTCGCGCTTCATCGCCATGAGGTCCTCCTTAAGCCGCAGTATCAGCGCCTCAGAATCGGACAGATCGAGGGCGAGAAGGCCAAGATTCGCGCTCCCAAGCCAGACGACCTGTCGCGCGTACCCTACGCCGAGCCCCAGTGGCTGCAGCCTGCGTTCAAAAGCCCTTACTACAATGACTCGCACAGGAGGCTACAGAAAGGTGCGTGGATATGGGGCGCACTCTCAGTCGCCAACGTCATCAACCTCGCTAACCTCAGCCATGCGCAAGTTCATTACAGAAGTAGTGGCGCCCGATGGGCAGATGTGCGAGGAGAATGGCAAACGGCCGAGCAAGCACGTACTGGACGCGATGGCGGCAAACGGAATGAACAGGATGCGTATGGGACCTGGCGAGCACCTCCATGGGCGCAATATTATGGACGGTGCCGTCAAGGGCGAGGAGTTTGACTACTTCCACGAGCTGGTCGTCAACCAAGAGCTTGCTCTTGTGGGCGGGCGCGGCTACATTGACGGGTGTCAGGGGCACATGGTAATTGGTCTCCCACCAATCATGAACTACGCCAAAGAGCCCTTGCGCACCAAGATCACGAACGAGGTGCTCGACGGGCACAAACTTCTTGTGCTGGCCATCACAGAAGCGTTCGCTGGCTCGGACGTGGCCGGCCTGCGCTGTACAGCGACGAAGAAGGAGGATGGGAGCGGATGGATCATCAACGGCACTAAGAAGTGGATCACGGGTGGGACCAATGCAGACTACTTCTCCGTCGGAGCACGCACAGGCAAGCACCTCACCATGTTCCTCGTGCCGCGGTGCGAGGGCGTCGAGACGAAGCAGATCAAGACTTCGTACGGACAGACTGCTGGTACAGCGTATGTCACGTTCGACAACGTGGAGATCCCGAACGAGAACATGATCGGCCCGGAGAATGACGGCCTTCGTGTCATCCTCGCGAACTTCAACCACGAGCGCTTTATGATTTCTTGTCAGACCGTTCGTTACGCTCGCAAGGCCGTCGAGGAGTGCCTCCTTTGGGCATCACAGCGTGAGGTTAGCGGCAAGCCACTTCTTGCCCAGCCTGTCATCCGCCAGAAGTGAGTGATCGGAGGACGGATTTCGTAGAGCAACGCTTCCTCGAGTACAGAATACTGACGCACAGGCTCGCCAGCATGATTCACAAGACCGAGGCCGCCCAGGCGCTTCTGGAGACGACGTGCTATCAAATGTGCAACATGAGCTACAAGGAACAGAGCAAGCACCTGGCTGGCCCAATTGCGTTCCTCAAGCTTAACAGTACCAAGATTCTTGCGGAAGTGGCGGACGACGCTACCGCAATCTTTGGCGGGCGTGGCCTGACCAAGACTGGCATGGGCCGCTTCGTCGAGCAGATCGGGCGTACGCGCAAGTTTGATGCCATTCTCGGGGGAGCCGAGGAGGTTCTAGCCGACCTGGGCGTGCGGCAAGCCATGAAGTTCATGCCGGCCGACCAGCGTTTGTAGTTTTAGAGATGAGAACCGAACGAGGAATCGGAAGTCTAGTTGTTCTGCATGAAGACCCCTCTTCTCATTCATCACAATGGCCCGGGACTAACGGAGTTACTTTCTGTTAGCTCTTGGCCCCGTCTTCGGTCTGAGACTCGACTGGCAGTGTGTTCTCGCCGCGGTCAGTGGAATGCACGAAGCACGTAGCGACGATTATTGATTCCAAATGAGTGAGAAAATCCCAGCAATATCATTCGTCAACACTGTTGGTGAAACGGTATCATGCGTCGTTGCCATCGACGCGGCGGGGGTTCGACTCCCTCACAGTGTACACAAGAAGCATGGGACCCCACCAAGGCTTCCCTTTTGCAGGTTTCGACATCATCATCCGCGATTGGCAGATGCGACGAGGGGAAGTATCCACAGTCGGGGAATGGATCGGAGCTTCGGCCACGCCTGCCCCGCTTCTATGTCTCCCTTCACACTGGCAATCTCACCGCGGCTTGACACAGCTGGAGCATGAATTATGATACAGTTACATCAACCATCTGCTCCTCGATGTTGTGATACACAAATGCCCTGATCCCTCTTCCTCCCGGCCCACTCGCCCGATTCTGATGGACGCTACCCCTTAGCTACGCGTGCCTTCTCGCGCCTGAGCGCGACGGCAACAGCGCCGAGCGTCGGTGCCAAGGCGGCGCGTACGCGTGCCGGGTCCGCCTTCTCCATCTGCGCCGTCATCACAATGGCCTCGACCTTACCCTCCGTTCCCTCGAGGTACTTGGCCATCTTCGCCGCGCGCGCGGCGCGCATCGCCGGTGTATGGTTAGTCGCGAGCGTCCCAGCCGCTGGAGGGAGCACGGCAGCCCAGTACTGCCGTAGAAACTCAGATGCTGCGTTATGGCACGAGCGCATGTCGTCCACTATCTTCTGGGGCAGATTGGCTGGAGTTAGCGCGTGCAGGCTCGGGACTTACGATAGACGGCGTCCTCGGCATTACTTGCGTTGTGCATATCGCGCACGACGCGTTGCGCGATAAACTGTGTATCGCGCTGGTACGCGTATGCGTCGTACTCCTTCGTGCCGGGGCCGGGGCCACCCTTTGTCGGCTCGGGATTAGGAAGGCAGACAGAGGGGAAGTCTGCGTCCCAGGACGCGATGCGCGCTGCCTCGGCGTTAGCCATTGCAAGCAGGTCGGCGTCGGCGCGGCCAGGGAGAATGCCGCGCGGCCCGCCCTTGTCGTCGGTCGTCGCGTCTACCACCTCGAGCGGGATGACGGCTGGCGCGGCTGGCGCATGCAGGTCGGTCATGTCGATCTGCTCATATATCTCGGACGAGGGCGTTAGGGAGATGGGGTCTTGGCGCCCGGCGCGCAGCAACTTCTCGCTGTGCTGGTTGAATCGGCGGATAAGGGGGAGACTCGACCGCTCCTTGCCAGCCTGCATGGTCACGTCGCGGATCGTGCTCGAGTCGCCGTGATCTTCCTCGGTCGCTGCGAGGTCGAGATACTTCTCGACTGAGTCGGGCATCTTCTTCCGCGGCTGGATCTCTGCCAGTCAGCATAGTTCCTCACGCTCCTCTCACCCCAGTCGGGGTCCTCGAGATAGGCATCGAAGATGTCGTCCTTGCGGCGCGAACCCTCGTCCAGCGCTGTCTTGCGCACACTGGCGCGATGCCGCTCCCACAACGTGCTGGAGAAGTAGCGTGTCCAGAACTCGCTCTCGCTGATGCGCGGCACGTTCTTGAAGTAGGCGTCCTGTACGACCGGGAACTCCTCGAAGATTTCCCGCGTAAGCTCTTTCGTGAGGTTGATGACGCTCGGCCCGCTCTCGACTTTCTTCAAGCCTACACCGGTACCGCCGCGGAACGTCTCGTTGCGCTTGTCCCCGCTCAAATCATAACGGTCGTCAAGCAGGCGCGAGGGCCGGCCCGGCCGCTGCGCATACGCCAGTTCCTCGGACTTGAGCAGCGCCTGGCGCTGCTTGCCGTCCCAAAACTCCTCCTCCGTGATCTTTTGGCCGAGCACAAGCTCACGGTGCAGGACTTGCAGTGTAGGATTGCTGCGGAGCACGCGCTCGCGGACCTTGTTCATGCGCCGCCGCGCCTCGGCGTCCGCAGGCGTCATTTCGTCGGCCTTGCGCTTGCGCGCGATGCTCGCCGGCGTCCCTGGCGTTCCGGGGGCGGGGGAGCCGGGGGTGCTCGTCGGAGTGGACGCGGACGCTACCGCCGCCACGGCGGGGTTTGGGGCGGGCGCCGCCGTGCCGCCGGGTGCGCGATTCGCGCTCACGTACGGAATCAGGCGGTCCTGCACCGCCTGCCGGTCCACGTCCTTGTTCGGTCCCGTGAAGGTGAACAGGAGGCCGCCCGCGGGAATGTCGTCCTTGAACACGAGCTTCAACGACGTGCGGGCTGAGCCGGCCTTGCTCGCAAGCATGTCTTGTATGAGCTTCACTTCTGCGTTCTACCCACTTATCACTCGGTTCAGTGCCTGGTGCTGCCTGTCCATTGCCCCCGCCGGAGCCGGGTTCCACGTGATGTGCGTCGAGGTGACCGACAGAGTGCCGTCCACCTTTTTGAACGAGGCTCCGAACTTCAGCGTGGCGCTCGACATGAGATGATGAATGATGTAGCGGAATGACTTCTGGTGATGTTGTTCGGTGGAGTGACAGATGACGGTGGACGGAGGCAATTTCGGGTGGCAAAAGGGTAAAATGCAACAAGAGTACGATGGGTGCATGGCACTGGACAAGATACTCTCTCTATCTATACAGAATGATAAATGTCAAGACACGGATATGCTCATGCTGGACACCACTGCGGTGGTGGTTAAATGCAAACTGCTACACGGTTGTCACATTCACTACTCGCGTCGTCCTCTTCGCTGTCCGGATGACATGGAGGGAGATGTGGCCGCCGAGCCGCTACGCGCCGTCGGCAGCGGTGGACAGGTTAGTGTCGCCGGGGTCGTGGACGATGCTGATACGGCACTTTGGGGTGTACCTGGGACGCTGCTTGCGTTCGGCCCACGCCGTTTCTTGAAACTTGCTCTCTTGGCCAAGTTAACGGCACCCTCCGAGCCCTCGGAGAGACGCAGGCCAGCCACGGTGTGCAACCGCGTATCAACCTCCGGTTGAAGGTCGGCAGACGAAGGCTTCCGCTTGATGTGCGAGTCGTCCTCGCTCGCCGACACGGAAGTCGCAGCGGTGGCGACCGAACTGCGTGACAAGGTGGACTGCGTGTCATACCCAGATGACCGGCGACGCGCTTCATCATCCGCGATATCGAGATAATTGGCAATGATGGCGCGGTGCACAAACAGGTATTGTCGCAGGCTCTGCACCAAACTCATGCGCTGCACGCGCATGCTTTGAAGAACCTCCAAGATAGGCTCCTTCAGCGAGCTGAGCGGGGTCGCCGCGCGGTGTCGTTTGTGGCTCTGGGTAATAGGTCGTGGCTTTTCCGGTTCGGGGGTACTCGCGCTAGAGTTCGTGGCGATGTCGACGTCCATTTCGTCCTCATTCTCCTCGGGGCCCTCGGTCGGATGTACGTCCGGAGCTTCTTCAAATGCTGAGGTCTCGCTGCGCAGCTCGCGACGCAGGCCGTCCGAAATAGCGTCAACAAGAATGTAACTTCCGGTCCGACCGACGCCAGCGGAACAATGCACCACAACGGGAGGAAACTCGCACCTATCCTCGCCACACCCGGTCAGACCCGTCTTAGCAACGACGGAGTCGACCTCCTTCATAAGGTTGAGCAGAATTTCGGGCGATTCAGGAATGTCGAAGTCAGGCCAGTCGACACACTGGATCTGTGTGACAACGCGCGGGGGCTGGTCGAGACAAGCGTTGTGGCGAAGTTCGAATGTGCGGTGGATATTGCCACCCCGCCGGCTTGGTGCTGCGGCAGCCGCGCCAAAGTCGAAACCTGTCGTAGGCTTCTGTTCAACTTCGTCCTCTCCGCCGGTCTGCGATACCAGACGCAGGTTAAGGTCCCCGTATTGTTGCTCTTGCCAATAGTTGCCGCACTTCAACAGGCCACCCTCGAATTGCTTGGTGAGCATGACGATGACGCGCACGTTCTGCTCCCAGACCAAGGTCCAGAAATCGCGGTATGTAGAGTCGAGTGGGCCCTGAGTCGCAATGTAGCGGCGGGTGGTACCACGAGGCTGCACAAATGAGGCGTTGATGTAGTCTGAATCATCATCGGCCGGGGAGCCCAGTCGTACACGGGAGTAGTCGAACGGCCAAATGTTCTTGTAACGGTTCTTCGTGCCGCGCTCAACGCCGGCGGTGATGGAGAAAGGGAAGTAGTTGCCTTGATCGGATCCGTCCGCCATCAGCTTCTCAATTTCATCCGCACACAATGCTTGTGCGCCCGCAGCTGGGGACTGTTGCAAGCCCTGTGCCCGCGAGCCCTTGCTGAGGACATTCATGACACCTTGCAAACGCTCCTGCTCGCCTCGCTCGAGGCGATAAAACTGCTTTGCCAGGACGTCCTGCGAGTCGGTGTCGGGCATACACACCAGGTTGCGCAGAAACTTGGGCAGCTCGTTGGCGCGCCGCTTGACCGCGTCTGGCAGTGCGAGAGAGATGCGCTCGGTAATGCCCCCATGTGACAGCTCCAAGTTCTGTCGAATGTTGTCGAAGAATGGGTTGGCGGGCTGCAGTTTGCTCCTCCCCAGCCGCCGATCGCTCGCAGGCGCAGAGCCGAGAGGCAGGCTAATTGTCTGGAAAGGGTCACCTCGGTGAGAGGCAGCAGCTGTGGTGACGCCCCTTGAGGAGCGGCCGGTGGAAGCTATGAGTCAGCAAAGTTCAAGCCCGTCGTGGTGACCTACACTGCTGGAAGGCGAGCCTTGGCAACCGCCCTATTCCAAGAGTCCCGCTGCTGTCGGATGCGGGTGCGTTGTTGTCGTCTGTTGCATTACCAGCTACGCACTCGATATCCGGTCGATTGTCGAGGGCTGCTTGGCCGCCCTGGACATACCACAGCCGACCGGCATACCCCTCACGCTCAAACTTGTGGGATAGGCCCACAAGTACACCACCCTCGACAGCGACGGTCGAATCTTGATCGACGATAACGATGTCTGATTTCTCGCGCCACCGCGCTACCGCCTCCCTAGCTTTGGATGCGAGCATGGGCAGCAGCCGGGACATGTCAAACGTGGGTCGCAACATCAACATCGACGGGACAGTGAGTAGGTGGGCGGCGGGGAGGTGCGATGTCTGGTAACAAGAATGTGGCCGAACATCAAGCACGAGAGTCGAATCCGCCGTCAGTAGGGAGGGCAGTGTCGTGCCAGGTGCAGGCCTCAACTTGGAAGTTGATGCTCCCGATGTCGAGGACGAGGTTGCCGATGCCGAGTAGGAGGAGGTAGATCCTGTCGACGAGCTGGAGGCACCGCCATTATATTGACTCGAGGCCGATGGCTGACTGCCACTTAGACCGCCAAGACTCATTGCGGCACCCTTTGCTCGACGCTGTGCCAGAGAGGAGCCCATAGAGATGGGGGCGCCAAGTGAGGTCCGCCGGCCGCCGCCACAAATTGCCCCGCTTGGAACGGCCACTCCATTCGTTGCTCGTGGCGGCGAGGGCGACTCGGTGGTCTCCTGACGCAGGTTAGACGAGCTCCATGTAGCCTCTAAGCAGTCGAGATTGAGTCTCTCGAAGGGCTGTCTCAGCTTGGGGCTCCCGCGAGGTGCCAGGGAAGGCCCCTCGAGGGCAGGAGTCATAGCCCCGCCAGAGGCGGCGAGAGCAAGCCAGGGCGACTGTATTGTTGAGGGCTGGGTGGTCGAGCTTGCTGAAGGCTTGCTCGATGTATCGTTGGCGGGGAGAGGAGGAGTCTGTGAAGGCGACGGCGTGCCCTCTATTGAGGGTGGCGGGGATCGCAATTCGCAGTTGGAGGGAAAATGTGTAGCTGTTGATGACGCAGACGGCCGCCTCATGTGGGTCTGGTCCAAGCTAGGAACTGAGGCGACCGTCGAGGGCGTGTCGTGTTTACTAAGAGCTTCAACACACAAGTTGAGCCCGTCGTCAGATTGTTGGTCACCCAAGTGGGGGCTGTCGACTTGCTGGCGATGATGTGGAAGGTCGGAGGTACTGGAGAGTGATGGCGAGAGGTCCAGCGTGGTGCTCATGCGCGCCAACGCTTACCGCAAGTCGAGAAGGCGAGAGATCGCGATTGAAGACGAAGAGGTTTGGGGTAGCGGGCGGTTGGCTGAGCAAGCAAAGCAGGGCGTCCCAAGGGGTGGGTCGAAAGTTAGTTAAGATGCAAGGAACGAGTGTCGATCGGAGTGGCGACCAGCATAATCTGCCTATCGGTGGTCCAAGGCGACGAGATTGTTAATCGGTCTAGCTGAAGAGCGAGAGCGATGTTGGGGGGGGGGGGGAGAGCAGAGAGTTGAGCGGGTGACCACGAGACGTTGCAAATGAACGATGTGGGGACACAAGGCAGAAGAGAAGAGAGGTTGGAGCAGGAGGCGAGGGGAGACGAGGGGGAAAAGTGTGAGAGTGTGACGAGTGGGATCGAGTGGAAGGAGGAAGATGGTTGACGGTGATGAGTAGTTCGGAGGTCGGAGGTGGAGCTCGGGAGAAGGAAGAGGGAGGGGAGGGGAGCGGGGAAAGGGCGGTAGTAGGTGAGATGAATGGGACGAGAGACTGGCGTGGACTGGTCGGAGTGGCACGCGCTGTACGGCGCACGACGTGTAGGCGTCAAGGGGTGTGGATGAGAGAGAGTACAGGTGTAGCGGAGTGGCGGAAGATGCGAGGGAGAATGAGGATGCTTGGTAATGGTGGTGGTGGATAGATGGTGGATAGGGGGTAGAAGCGCAGAAGATAATGTGGCAATAAGGCAAAAGATGACGGCTGATGGATTCTCGTGGCCGAATGGGTGGCATGGGTGGGGTTATAGTTTGGTAATTGGGCGCAGCTGGTGGCTGCTGGGTGGGATGGATGGGTGGCGCCTCGACTGCGCGCGCGTTAGGGGAGGGGAGGGGGGGGGGGGGGGGGGGGGGGGGGGGGGGGGGGGGGGGGGGGGGGGGGGGGGGGGGGGGGGGGGGGGGGGGGGGGGGGG